TTTGTTTTTTAAGGGGAGTTTTTGTGGGTGTATGGTTCTTTATCTTGCCTCGCTATCCAACCTCTTACCTCCCCTTTTGGGCCTTTAGTAGCATCCTGTGACCTCTGACCTCCTGGACAATAGAGGCCAGGACGTTTCCCAGTGAGCGGCGATGGAGCCAACAACAGGAACATGAGGGGTGCTCCTGGGAAACAAACTGTTTATTGTGCAGCAGGATGGACAGCCCCCCATGCCCCAGTCACTTACTTTCACACACAATCACAGACACTAACCACACACCTCTGCACAGTAAAACCCTGTCTAACAACAGGTGGCAGCTTTAAAACCTGAACCACCCTGCTGGAGATATGCTCAAATGCCTCATATTTTATGAAGAAAACGTCTACATGTGCAGGTTCCCCTGTCTGGCTGTAACATGAGGGTAAGATTAACAAGGGCATTTGCTTTTCACCTGTGTCCCAACTTGTTGCAGCTACATGGATACTCTTTGCATCATTTTAGTTTAACTCCACTCTCTCTGTTCCAGCATGCAGCCTATGGAGACATGTACGATCGTTCCTCTCTGCTTTATCTCTCCCCTTGTTTTGGGTGCAAGTATAAACTTATATTTAGTCAAACTTTCTATGTGAAAGGAGTACCAAGCCATTTGTTGGTGCTGCCACTGCCTGTCTGTTTCAGAGGAAATCCCTTCTTTGTCTCTCAAGGAAGCTCAGCAAACTGGGAAAACCTGAATTTATCATCAGAGCTCAAACAGCTGGAAAACATTTGATCAGGGAGAGTCACCACTGAATGTATTAGTCAACACTCCACACTTGTTATTACCTAGGCTCTGGAGACTATTCAATGCAAGAGCTGCACCGTAAAACAGTTTCCAGAGCTGTCAATCACCCTGCCAAAAGTCTGGTGCAACAGAGTGACACAGAGGGCCCTGGGGATTGCTCTTTAAGAGCTTAACCCCAAAGGATTTTTGCTTCTTTATGACTGTATGTGTGGTTTTGTCTGTGCTCCACATGATGTACATCTGATAAGGGTGGATCAGATGAGGAAAGACACAGGGGACTGGATCTGATCTAATTCTTTTTGCTCTCTCTGAAGAAATGCTAAATCATGTTAATCACAGAAGAATACAATAATACTCCTAAATCAGTTTTGAGAATGGATGCAAAACAAAGGGTTACCGAGTCTCAAGGGTGACTGAAAATAATTATAATAACAACCATGTTTAATATCAATATCACTTCACATTACTACGCTTTATTGGTTTCATCCAGAAGTATGCACAGACAAGAATGTTCCTGTTTCTTTTTCAATGTCTACAGAAAAGATTCCACTTTAATTTACTTTTCCACTAAAAATGTGAAATGAAAAACTAAACAGTTTTACGAAGATAAATATTGGATAAGATAGATATATATATACATTTATTTATTCATTATTTTGCTACTTGTTTACTAGTTTATAGCATGAATAACATTAAAACATTATTTCACAAATGACTCAAGACTTACGCTCAGGCCAAATGTGGTATTTGCAGTAAAATTAAGTGATGTTTTTTTGTATGCGGACTGCTTCTTGTAAATAAGAAATCCCATCAAATGAAACCTACATGCTTGTTAATTCCATTTAATAAGCACATCTTTGAATCTATAAATGTTTATGTGATTACATCATGTCAACCTTGTTCGCCAAAAAAAAAAAGAAGAAAAAATAAAAACATGCAGTCACGTACTCACATGTTTCAATACCTAAGGGGAAGACTTTCTGAATGGACTTTAAAGTGTTCATTCAAGTTTTAAAACTCACATTACAAATACAGACAATGGCAAAAATGAGGATTTTTCAACTTTTCAGGTCACAGGCCACCTTAACACTGACAAGCAAAATCAAATCACAGCTAAGGAAATGAGCTATGAAGCACTGATTGCTCCACACATAATGATCCTTTTTCCAGTTGCTTGGTTCAAGAATTATTTGATTGTGCAGAGTGCTGACTTCACTGCAAACATGAGCACTGCTTGCACATATTGCCTGTGTGTATAATCAAATCAAGACCACTGATACAAGGAGTGAACAAATATCTCTTAGTATGCAGGAACAATGGATCTTTGTTCCATATGAGAGACCTCAGAAAGCTAATAGACTGACCGAAGGTAGAACACCTCTGGGGACTGAGCCGAGCTTGTGCCTAGCATTAATTGGTTGTGCTTTTATTGGATAATTTAGGCATTAGCAAGACCCATTTAAGTTAATTTTGAAATGATATGTGCTTTGTCATGGCAACCATGGGAAAAGTGACACAGAGTGTGTACTAAGGCCCAGACAAAGCGTTAGCTTAATTGTCACAATGACTGAAACACTTTCTTTTAAACAGTTGAACTTTAATGTGACCTGATAGACAGATCACGGGGGTCTGCTGAGACTGTGGTTTCAAATAACTGCACTGTTGGCCGTTCTCTCGGCACACAGCTCAGCTAAACCCCCACCCATGTAATCCCACTTCAGCCACAATCACACCTCAGGTACTAACATCAGATTGGAACTTGGGGCACTAGTCTTGTAACTAAAAACTGAACTTCCGGGTGAAGATGGAAAATTCCCCACACAGGTCAGTGACGTCAAGCCTTGCAGAAATAACTATTTATTTATTTATTTGAACTGTTAACCAGCACCGAGCGCCCCTCAATTGCTGAAATCAATACTCTTGTTGAAAACTACAAACTCTGTAGGTTTCAACACATAGTAGCAGGAAAATCAATGTGATTTGAGATTTCAGAGGAAACTACTAGAGAGAGAGAGCTTGGGAGGCTTTGTGAGTTGAGGCTTAAAAACAACAAAGTGTGGGCTTGACTGTGTCTGAAAACCTCATGTTGATAAATGGCCTCTCCAAGTAGACAAACTCAGAAAACAAGGCTCCTGCTGCACCAGACCCAAACTGCTACCTCTGCTGTTAGCTGAATCTGATTACTGGCAAGCCCTGAGGACAGACAGGTCATTGAGAGCACGGAGATGAGCAAACAATAAGATATTATCTGAAGGAATCTTCAGTTTTCCAAAGGAAAATGGTCCCTCTCAGTGTCACATCGACGATAGGATCCTCAACCTGACACTGAATCAGCCATTTAAGAAGAATGAACACTGCAACCCATTCATACATACTCACTAAAATAATGAGAGCTCTTTTTTCTCCTCTTGTTTAAGACATATAAAGGGAACCTCATGAGTCTTTGCGAGACAAGGCTGTGCAGAAACCGGAGCACGCAGCTGACTCAGATGAATATGCCTTTACAGTGTTAGGGTATTGAATAAACACTTCCATAGACTTGTTTTCTTCTATTCTTTTTGCTCTTGTAAATGACACGTGTGTAAACTTCTTTGTCTGCTAATCCATTGTTGTGCACATCTACACTAAAGAAATACATTCAGAGAATAAAACCTAATGTATATAAACTTATTCTGAGATTGCAGACTACAGTTTGCAATGACAAAACTGTGAAGATTGCAGAAACTCTTTCTGGGTTAGGGTTACTTCACAATCTAAAATAATCCCTTTATGTAATTTGCCTGTGCTTTGCTGTTTTCAGATAGTGACATCTTGTGGACACTTGGCTTCAGGTGATGTGCTGAAGTCACTTCTAAGCCATTTTCAATATAACTGTAGCTGCAAGAGAAAATCAATTTCTTTAAGATGGAAAAAGGATTTTTCACAAACCAATTTTAAGAGCTGATTAATATGAAAACAACAAGTAAGGTGATCATCAAGCCACGCGTCTCGAAATTTGTAAAAAACGTTTCTTTAAAACCTTTGGGTATCAACATTGACGAGCCAACTACTTCTGTACTACTACTATATATTATGTACCATATTATCATATGATTACAGAGAATTTCTGATGGTAAATATCCAAATAAATAGACATTAAACCTGAAAGAGGGTTTTACTCTATACATGTTTAAAAAGAGGAAAGTTGTGTAAAATTCAAATCATAACTGGATCAGTCTTGCAACATGTATTTCTGTGACATCAAATACAAAAGAAAAATTCCCCAGATAGGTCTGACGAATTGCCATAACAGGATGTCTGTCCTGTCCTGATATTTATTTGCCTTGATACGTTGTAAAGCATTATATCCCTCCTCTGTCATCAAAGATGGTCCACTGTTTTCTATTCTAAAGGAGATAATCAAAGAAGCCCCAAAGCCTCTTCCCTTAGCATTAAGATGTACGAGGGCAAGGTGAAGTCATTTTATTTAGTCAGGAAGTTAACAAACAACAATATGCCAGTTGATGAATGAAATTATTGCTAATATTAATAACAAAAAGGAAAATTAAATTAATTTGAAAAGGAGCTGAAATTAATTAAAATCCAAGTTTGTGATTCTGTTTGGTAATAATAATACAATTTTTAGGCTATTGTCATCACTGAAAGTTATATACCGGCTTGGAGGCAACATACTTACTTTCACGCTTTTCCAATTTTATTAAATACTGTTCTTTCATCAGATTAATAAAATCTATCAAAAAAAATCCAAAATTTGTAATTATCCTTCTGTAAATTCCCTGGACAGTTTCAGCAACATTGCAAAGAAACCTATTTTTATTTTAATTTAATGGAGACTCACAACTGTCCAATAAACACAGCTGGATGAGGATATAGCCAACACAATATCTTTGTCAAATTGAATTAAACCCATTTTGTTTTTCTTTTCCTTGTATTCAATTTTAAACTAAGTAATATGTTAGTTTCTGAAATTCTATGGAAAGTGTTGTGTTGTGTTGTTCTATGTTTTTGTTTATATCCTACCACATTATAATCGAATCAATTTTAATCTTTAACCCTGATGGAAATGTGTTCTGTGACGGAGAGCATACTGTTAGAAACATGATGAATTGTTTTTCGTGTTTTTTTTTTTTTTAATGGACCCTTTCCAAACTGAGCGAAATGAGTACAAGAACTCCAAATAGTTCATTACTTGAAATAAGTCTCGCGATATTAGTAATTTGCCTGGCACGAAGAGGAGTGGGAATGAGAGGACAGAGAGCGAGACTGCTAAATATTTCGGTTGTGCCGTAGTCAGAGAAAATATCATCCTAATTTACACGGTTGGTCGCATTGACTGGACGAGCACTCCAACCTACTAATTTATTCTTTGTCAAACGTGATATCTTGTTTAAGTGTGAAGTGAGATTTGGAATTACGCGGCCACAAAAACGAAATTGTATGTGTCAGGTGCTAAGTATTAGCTGACAGGCTAACTAGCATAGTCATTAAAGCCATGGCGTTGAAAAGAATTCAGAAGGTGAGTATATATTTTAGTGTGCGAAGCAAACTTTGTTGTAAATCTGCTCTTGTTTTTGTGAGGCACTCGGCAAATATAGAACACGATTTATGTATTTTTCAAAACTCTAATTAGACACGGTAACATTGTTTTCGTGTCTTTTTTTATAATACAAAGACAAAGACGAGCTAACCACTAGTGGCCCTGTTGGTGCATTGCTACAGCAACGATGGCTCTTAGTCACCATTTATGTGTACACTTATTTAGAAGGTCACTGATTGATATCTCTGAATGTTCGATATTACTTTTGAACCGTTGCTAAGCAGCCTGCCAATACAAGGATAAAAGCGTCATCGTTAGTTAGACCGTCGTAAGGCTAACACCTAATGCTAACAGTAATTTCAGTGGTCTTTAGGGTGATTGGCGAGTAAAATGCACACTAATAAATTTCAATCCCCATGACTGGTCTTGATTCAAGTGCTATTTCACTAACGTTTTAGATGATGATATGTTTAGTTGCTGAATGACAGCTGCCTAACGGTTGCCAAAATTGAACCACATCGTCAGTGTTGCCATATATGGAATGGCAAATGGGGCACTGGAGCAGGCCATGGGGTGTATTTATATAACAGAATAGATAGGCTTGCTTTCAAGAGATGTTGAATAACGGACTTAAGTCTGTTTAGGCATCTACAGATTGTTTTTGTTTGTTTATTGTCAATTTCTGTGTGATATCTGAATGGGATTGGTCACTTGATAGTTTAACTGAAGTTAACATATGTTATCAATTCCTTTTTGTTTCTGTACAACTTATTTACTTAATTGTGAAGTCTTTTTACTGTAGTTGAGACTTTAGAGCTTAACATAGGTAGGAATAAAATGGAGAAAATAATTGAGTTAGTTGTTAATGTTATATTTGCGTGTTTAGGCTAACAACCAAAAGGGGAGGATTGTTAACAGTTAAGTCACTTCTTTTATTGTGCTAAAGAAAAAAGGATTTAGCTCAGACCTAAACTTTAACCTTCACTTTAGCGTCTTCTATACTACTTATGGTTGCATTTTCGTGAAACTAATTTTTACTGTGAAAACTGATAATTACACATTGGCAGGGGACATGTGGCATTTACAGGTTTATCCTAAAGCTAAAGTTAGTTTAAGATTAATAGAAAAAGTTAGCTACACCAGAAGTGTAACTTATTTGTCTAAAAGTTGTAAAAAAAAATGTAAACGACTGAATTTATATGACAGTATAAACAAATTATAATTTATACCCTACTCATTTTCATTATTATGAAAGATGTTTTTAAATAAACTTTCATTTAAGTCCTTTAGAGTAAATACAAATTTAGTTTGATTTTCTCAGCACATTAAATGCCTGATTTCTTGCTTTCAGGAGCTGTCAGACCTGCAGAGGGACCCACCAGCCCAATGCTCAGCTGGACCTGTAGGAGATGATTGTAGGTTGCTTAAAAATTGCTGCTTACTTACATGATTTATTTGCCTTACAGGCTATTCTACACACAGACATACTCCAAAGTGCTTACATCTTTTTTGTTTTTCAGTGTTTCACTGGCAGGCAACAATAATGGGTCCGGTAAGTAATGCACTTACTTTAATTGCATTTTAAATCAATTATCTAAAACCCTTTGTAAATACCTAAATTGTCTAAAGGTGTTATATCTTGCTTTTTCGTTTCGATTTCAGAGTGATAGTCCTTATCAGAGTGGAGTGTTTTTCCTCACCATTCACTTCCCCACAGATTACCCCTTCAAACCACCAAAAGTATGAGTCTGTTTCCTGTGTCAAGGCAGAATATTTTAACTTTCTTTCAGTCATTTGTATTAATTTGCCTGTCTGTTCATATTTTGGTACAGGTTGCATTCACAACAAAAATTTATCACCCTAATATTAACAGCAATGGGAGTATTTGTCTTGACATACTGAGGTCACAGTGGTCACCAGCACTTACAGTATCAAAAGGTAAGAATATTTTCAAGACCTGTGATTTGTTAGGAGTAGTCCTATTGAAATGTTCTCTTCTTTTTTTAAATTCTTTATATTGTAATTAGTTGTTGGAGGTATCAAAGTTGCTGCAGCAATTTGGAATACATTTAACAGAACTTTTAAAGAGGAAAAATAACCTTTTCACTTAGTTTTTGAAAGAGAACTAAGTCCAGATGCAATATATGTAATTTTGTGGAATTGTTTAATTTTTAATGCAAAATATCCCTTAGGTTTCTTTGGTCCACAATGGAAAGACTGACATTCAATTCTTAAGTGATACTCTAAACTTATGGGACATGTCATATTTTGTTTTCAGCTTGAATTTGGCCTCATTCACTTCATATTTATTTCCCCAAGTATTAAATCACTGAACAAGTGCACAGAGCCAAAAAAATAAAATGCAGATGATATTACATAATGTTTCTTCATGCTGCCAAATCGACTCTGAGCAATCAGAGCTTTGCCAAATAACATCTGGATTTTCCCGAAGTGTCTGGACATTGATTTAGATCCTTTGGGACCTGTGGGTTATGGAGTTGGGTCTTTGTGGATCACTGGCCAACAGAGGCCAGCCAAGCATTCGTGTCCTCTGTGACCTTTTTAAACAGTTTTGTTCAGCTGCTGTCTTGTTGGAGGGGACAGGTAACAGATCTTTAGAATGAAGATCACACTAGATATGAAAAAAGGATCCTAAAATGAACATCTGACATATAAACCATGTCACGGTTTAGTTAAGCGGAACAAAACCAATATGCAGAGGAGTGCATGAAATAAGTGGAAACTAAAAAGCACCAAGTTTCTATTTTGATTAATTTTCTTCTCGGTGAGGGTGACATTAGTTTAACTTGTTCACCTTTGTAGAATAAAAACTAGTACCTATGTCTCACTAGATACCAGTTACCAGCTGGACTGGGTAAATTATTTAAATGATATGAATTAAACTTGCAGTGTTCCACTGATTGAGGATCCATGCTTTCTCTTTTCTTCCTCCACAGTATTATTGTCCATCTGCTCACTTCTTTGTGATCCGAATCCAGACGATCCATTGGTACCAGAGATCGCCCATACATACAAGGCTGACAGGGAAAAGTGAGTGTGACACTGGAGTGCGCCTACTGCTTGCCTGAACTCACAGCCGTTCTTAATCCTACTGTCAAACATGAAGTTTTTCGTTTGCAAGTGAAGCTTTAAACCATTCTAAACTATGCATGGTTTATTCTCTACAGGTACAACAAATTAGCAAGAGAATGGACACAGAAGTATGCAATGTGAGAACGCCAGGGAGATCACTATTCAGTTGAGAACAAAAGAACCACAAAGGATTTGTAACTTGAGGCAAATGAGCAACAGAAGGGGAAAAACCAAACAACAGCCCATGATTTGAGAAGGAAGTGATACAATGAGGTACAGTGCCACTTGGCTTTCCGTGTGCAGAGCTGCTACCATGTGCTGTCCTTCATGACTTGTGCGGATCTGCAGAGCAGGACCTGATGGACTCCTAAAGCACTCCCATATGGAATACTGGAATTTCTTCACAGTCCCTAATGCCACACTCAGACTTTACACTGTTACCCCAGTTATTGTTATTATCACTCTTGCCATCCATGCGCTTTATTTTCATTGTCAACAAGTCATATCATTGTGCTAATAAGATGCAAAGTGTTTAATTTAGGAGATTTGCTCTCCCATCAATGGAGGTACTCTGTCCCACTGGATGTCTTGTTAGTACTGTATTTCCATGTATTTAGTGGCCTTTTTGTGTTATGTTTTTGGTATATGTGCAATTGAGGCAGAATGTTCCCTGTTGAACACTGAATGGCGCAGTACCTTTACCAGCAAGTGTCTGTTGGCACTTACTGTTTCTACCCCAAAACAATGTGAAAAGCATAAAAAACATCCATTTCTGTTGCCCACCGCAGTTGAAAATGAAATGGAATTTGGCAGAGTTTAAGACACTGGAGAGCTGCTGTTGAGGCTCCACCATACTTATGGTGGGTCTCCATTCAATGGACATCCACTTTTCCTTATTTACACATGCTGTCATTGCTCTTCCATCCTACATTAGAAACGTTGATGGCTGGTAAATCCATTGTGCGAATAATACTACTGTCATTTTTACTTGTGTTGTGTAGCTATGACCATAGCTACGTTTTTGGCATAGCTTAGCTGTGTGCCACCTACTCAGTACGGTTACTCAGGTATCAAACCTCATCATCAGTCTTGATATGCATTCACCCCTGATTTAACAAGTCTAGACATACTACTTATCTGCGTTCATCCTGAAGAGGCATTGTGTTTGCACAAATACGGTGTGTAAGAAGTACTGTTCCTCTCCAGGCTTCTCTGCTAGTTGTTTTTTTTTTCTTGAACATAAAGATCTAAACAGCATTTGAATATTGTTGTGAGATGTAAATGCTACCTTTTTTTTTCCATTAATCAAATGGCCTTTGGTTTCAGTTGGTGTCCATCGTTCTAGTAATGGGAACTTGAACAAACTTGACAATTGGCAGAACGTGGTTGTTTGAAGTCATAAGCGCATCGTTACATGAGCTGAATAAATAGTTACTTGCCATGACTGTTTCATTTGCTTTAAGCACCAGGTGATGTAATGCTTTGCAATTCTTTATGTTCAATATTCATGGGTTGGTCTACAAAGTTTTCATTTTGAAATGAGTAACACTGACAGTAAAACACTTGGTCTGAGTGATTCGTTTGTGACTTTTTGTTTTGTATCGTTGAATGCTTTAGTTTTAGGCTTTTTTTTCCTTCTCATTTGTGTCACAAATATTTGGAATTGATTGTGATGTCAAAGTAATACTTGTAATATAATCCATTTGTAAACGATGGGAAAAGTTGTGATGTTTAAAATCACAATTTAATGTGCTGATGCTGCCAATGTAAAGGGAATTATCGGTTATTATAAGACAAAGAAATTCTACTATTGAGGCATTAAGGAATGGATACACCCAGAAAAGTTAAAAGCTAAGCATGATGGATTTTTAGTAACTTTGATGTAGAATTAACATGATTTAGGCTTTTAATATAGATTTTTATCAATATTAGCTGCTGTAGAGAAAATAGAACAAGTTTTCCTGAAATACAGTATTATGCTAAAATATTTTGAAAGGATAAACTCGAAAAGCAGCAAAAAGCTTTTCTGCAAAATCTCATTTGTGTTACAGCAAATTTAGATTGCGTGCGTTGTCGATTGTTCATCTGGCTATTTAATTTACTAACTACTGTACCATTGAATGCGGCCTCAAATCACAATGCAAGCGATGCTGTAGATTGACTCCCCTTGTCCAGTGTGCTCGATAGGGCTTATATAGGCAGCTTGGCATGCTTTGAACTCTGGAAAACCTTCTCACAGCCATTTGCCAGATATCAGGGATTTCGTTACATTTCATCTGCCTAATACCTTGGACTGAAACTCTAGCCTTAACCATCATGTTGTGTATCTAGAGTACATGTCATGAACTGTAAATTTGCTATGGAGGCTGTATCCCAAAAAACTGGGGATTCATCTAATTTCAAGACATGAAAAACCTGCTTTACCAGTATGAATATTTGGTTTTGTCTGAATGCAGAACCGCCCTTAACGCATCTTAAAAATAGAGGTAAATGTGCTTCGACTGCCATCACGAACCTACATGTTGTCACATAGTATTAACAAGATAATGGCTGACCTTGTTATAATTTAAGAATAAAACTCATCTTGGTTTCTTGCTGTTTTCAGTTCTTCCTTGTGTGAATGTGTCTGTGTAATCTGCTCAAATGAGCCACAGCCAGCTTTAAAGACACTGAAGGTCCACAATTAAGACAACTTTTACTGTCATTAAGTGGGGCAGCCAAAAAAAAACTGAAAATCAGACTTGACTGGGGCACCACTGGAGTCCCTACCTGAGCAGCACACTCCGGGGGAGCCTGGATAAAGCAACACCTCTCCAGAAATCACCGCTGCAACCAACTGACGTTATACAGTACTGTTATGATTATCAACCAATGAAACAACACTGATTCATACTCTAATTTACGGTTATTTGTAACCCATTCCGCATCCGCATGCACGGTGTGACAAGCTGCGTTGAATGAAAGATGCTGCGGCTGGCTGTAGCCGCTAGCTAAACTAGCTTTCCACAGCTGAGAGTCAGCATCATCGCCACTTCCCCTGTCGGAAGGGCGCACCCCGGATAGCTAGCTGGCTAGCTGTACTCCGCAAACCATGGCAGTAAACCTCAGCAAAAACGGCCCCGCGTTGACAGCGGCGTTTAAAGAAGTGGTGGATGAAAAATCTAATACTAATTGGTAAGGAGCAGCATTTTTTTTTTAGAGCAGAGCTACCTGTTCGCAGGAGGCTGGCTAGCCTCTAGTGTTTGCTAACGTTGAGTGGGTCGTCAAAGTAAGTTAACGGTAACATTTTTGCTGGATAAACTAACTGGGGGTTGAGGCTACATTTTAACCACAACATAAGGTCTACTTTTCTTTGGATAAACGAAGAGGTTAGGTTTATTGGTCATTAATTTCATTATCAGCCTATCTTTATCCTGGGTTAAAGTCACTTATGTGTCCCAACGTTTCGGACGAGCTAACAGCGTTAGTGGTATTGTAGTTAATAAGCTACCAGATGGTCCCCTCGCCAACCATCAGGGTTTGCATGTTTTACTTTGTTTGTTTTAGCTTTTGTTGCATGAATGAACTTGGACTGAACTGGGTACAAATATGGACATGTCACCCACTTCCTGGTTAGATATCAGGGTGTTAAGCACGAACAAATGAGTGTCAAAACCAGGAACTTCTTTTCTGCCTTACTTAAAGAACCAAAGGTGTTCTTTTCCCTGAGGTGGCGCCCGTCGAAGGAAGCCAGAGTGTTTAAGAGTGACCTCGATTAATTAAAGCAATGGAGTATTAGCTCTGGGAATCCCGCTGGCTCTGAGAAGCCCCAGCTCCCTGTCTGTGCAGTTTTTTCTGAAACTGAAATGGAGAAGTAATGAGGAAGGAAGTGGGCTCGTTTCTATTCTGGAGAATGTTCAAAATGAATATAAGCAAGTTCTTCATTTTCATTAAATCAATAAGCGCCTGTTATTTCAAGACTGAAGTACACCAAAGGGAACCTGTAGGAAATTATTTGGGCTTTATTGTTTGGGAAAATCATGTTAAATAGCTGCTTTATTTCCAAAAGGCAGTACGTTTAATACTGTACTGGTATTTAGCTGCGTCATGGCCGCTTTACGCTTAAGTGAGAGGATGCTTACAGCCTTCCTATCTGCTGACACAAGTGGAAAGTCCTCTTTCTCAAACACATAATATTTACCTTATGATGATCGATTAAAGCTATCTTTGATGTTTTGGAACTAGTGGATATGAATACGTGTCTTGGGGGGGGGAAGCGGATTAAAACAGAAGTATTTATACTCCTCTACTTCCACTGTTACTGTGTTATGGGGCTTAAGTGTCACAGATGCTTTGAATATGTTTTCAAAACATCTCCTGTTAAGTCAGGTGACAAATGGCTGATAAAGACTTTAACATCTAAGTATTCTCTCTGTCTCTCTTACAGGGCCTTGTTCACCTATGAGGGGAACAGTAATGACATCCGCCTGGCAGATAAAGGGGGTGAGTAGATGAGGAGAAGCTGTCATCAGATTTTAAGCATGTTACAATGTGTGTAGGAATGTGGCTGAATCTGGAATATCGGTCCAGGAAAAACTGCTTGCCTCTGCTTTCTCAGCCCATCATTTTCCAAAAGAGAGAGCGTGCTCCGGTTCCAAAAGCAACCACAGTAACCATTTTCCTTTTCCACCATGTTTGTGTGTCAGATGGAGGCCTGGAGGAGCTGGTTGAGGAGCTCAACAGTGGAAAAGTGATGTATGCGTTCTGCCGGGTCCAGGATCCCAATTCTGGTCTGCCTAAATACGTCCTCATCAACTGGGTCAGTGCTGCCCTCAGCAGCTGAGTGTTTGAGCTCTCTCTCCGAGGTGACCGCTCTCCTGACTGTGGGGTCCTCATTTGTTTTTCAGACTGGAGAAGGAGTCAAGGATGCCAGAAAGGGAATATGTGCAAATCACGTTAGCTCCATGGGCAATTTCCTTAAGGTAACATTGAATGTGGATGTGAACCACTGTTAGACCCTGAGTTTTTTTATAAGGGGGTGTTACTGCATGGTAATAAGGGGAGCCTTAAGGTGGCCTTTAGTGCTGTTTTTCTTCCTGCCTTCAGTTTTAACGTGTCCTTACTGTTTGTGCATGTTAGGTGCTCAAATAAACATGATTTACTTTCACAGAAGAATCCACTTCTAAACGGCCTAAAAAGCTGTATTTGCAGTCCAGCCGTCCTCCTTTTATTTAAGTTGCTCTCACACACACAAACACAGTGGAGTCCTGAAATGTTGGGGACACGTTCTGGAGTGATAAAAAGTGAGAATGCAAATGGTTTTCCGACATCAGCTGGTGAAACGCGTCCTGCATTTTCTGCAGCTGTGCTGGCGTGTGTGTCTGTGTGAGGCTGTCTTTTTTTAAGACCTTTGCCTTCCAGCCGGTGCAGGAGAGGGTGCATCCTGGGTGCTTCCGGGCCTCTGGGTGTTGACAGGACATGTTTCTTTCTGGCTGTCTTAGGGGGCCCACGTGACGATTAATGCCAGAGCAGAGGAGGATGTTGAACCTGAGGCGATCATGCAGAAGGTGGCGAAAGCCTCAGGAGCCAACTACAGCTTCCACAAGGAAGCTTCCAACCGCTTCCAAGACAGCGGTCCCCAGGGGCCTGTGGTATGCCCTTCTGTCTGAGTGTCTTTTACGGGGAAAGATAAGCAGAGGAAAAGATCTTAACATGGCTCCTCAAACATGAACGCTTAATGGTTTTAGAAATAGTTTCCTGGAAAGGAAAAAAGGCCTTCAGATAATCCAAACCAATGACCTGTAATGATGAGCTGAACTTTTATGATGTTCCTACTTTATTACTCCTTTTTTATTAAATAAGGAAGTGATTGATTCTTATTACAAATGGGGAATTTTTTAGCATATCGACTCTATTAATGGCAAGGAAATTTTTCTTTTCTTTTTTACGAACAAATTAATTGTGAGTCTCGGTCATTGTTGTGATGTTTTTCCTCTTGCAGGGCTCGGTGTACCAGAAAACCAATGCAATGTCAGAGATCAGGAAGACCAACAAAGACAACTTCTGGGCTCAGGCAGAGGTAGGTCCACAAACGGGCATCAAACCGCTCTGCGTCTCAGGAAGTCTTTCATCTGAAATCACACTTTAGTTCAAAATGGTTTCGGTCACTGAGATTTCAAGCTTTATAACAATGGCGGCAGACCAGTGCTGACCTTGGTGGCACTTTTAAACTACAGAAAGAAGAAGAAAAGCGTCGGCAGGAGGAGCGGCGCAAGGCTGAGGAGGAGCGTAAGCTGCTGGAGAGGGAGAGGAAAGACCGGGAGGCCAAGGAGGCAGCACTGAGGGAGAAAAGGGACAAGGAGAAGGCCTCCCAAATCGAGCAGCAGAAGTGGGTTGACACTGTGGCAAAACGCACGCTGGATCGCACTTTGAGGCAGCGTCCTTTAAATCACTCACATCTCTTCCTGTTTTCTAGGAAGCACCAGGAGCAGCTGGAAGCTGAGAGTAAAGAGCAGGAGAATCGCCGTTGGGTGAGTGTCTCATGAAGACTGGCACCTCATTTAATTTCAGCTGGGAAGTCTCCTGGAAGAGAGCAGATGCTAACCGGTGTGGCACTTCCGTTTTGTAAATGACATCACCTGTCAACACACATCTCATGAACGCTTAAATCGGGCTGGTAGCAAATGTCAAAAGTGCCAACATTAATGTGAACATCATCAGGAGGAGAAGCAGGAGAGCGAGGGCGGCCAGAAGAAAGCAGTCAGGAGAGGGGAGTCTGTGGAGAAGGCAAACGTGAGTCCCCCCCCCTCCCTAAAGCACTTCTTTCTCTTTGCTCCTGCATTTCTCCAGACCAGCAGTCGTCTCTTTTCAACCCTGAATGCTTTCAGGCTGGGTGGAAGGAAGCAGGTTTCCTGTCTGTCCTGCGCAGCACAACTAACACAGTCACTTCTTTTTCTATTCGGAATGACTGTTAAAACCTTTCTAATGATCTGTAACCTGACCCCGTTTCTTGGGTTTCTCTTCTTTTTGTCTTCAGGAGGCTGCCTCTGTCATTTCCCAGCGTGCTGTGAACCCCAGAGAGATGTTCAAGCAGCGAGAGCGGGGGGTAACTCCCAGTGACTCGGAGGTGCCCGATGCTGCCCCGGCTAGCCCTCAGCCAGGTATCCCCCGAGCATAAACAGTGGTCTCTCCTCATAGATGCGTTTGCTTCAAATGCCTTTCCTCCATTGCTGCAAAGCCCCGTTGCCCCTCCGTCAGGGAGTGGTGGGAGCGCCTGATGTCGTCCATCCTGAATGCAGAAACACTTTCCATCCATCTGTGTAGTTGTCTCATTATCATGTTGAACTCTGTCTCCATGATGTTGTCTCCTTTATTCAACCGATCTGCTCTTTGTTTTCTCTCCCATCTCTGTGTTGGCATGTTTCGGGGCTCATTGTGTGTCTCTGCTCAGGGCGCCTTCAAAGCCCTTTTCTGTCTAAGCCAGCTTATGAATCTGAGCGAGCCAGCTCCCCTCAGCATCAAGCTTCTCCCTCTCCTGTGCGAGCAGGCTCTGCCTCTCCTGTCCGTGCTGCAGGTGTGAGCTTATGACACACACACACACCAAGCACACTTACACGACATGTTAGGTGTCAGACTCGCAATTAACAGCTCCGTGTTCCATTTGTCACGCCTGTGTGTTATCATCCCGGTGTTTGTTACCATGATGCTTTCCGTCATTGGCTTCCATTAAAGTGACTGGGACCGGTTGTGGTGTTTGGCCCGTGTGGATTTGTGAAGATGTTCCTCGTGTACATGCATGTCTGTGCTTGTGTTTTGGGTGATAAGAGCCTGATGTGGATGATGGGCAGTCCAGATGTGGGTATGATGAGCAGGAGGCAGCCCCCCCGGAGCAGACGGAAGGTGGGGTTCATTTCACACACATCAGCCTCCATCCTTTTTGTTTCTCAGTTTCAGCCCTCTCATCCGCTTCAGTAGAAAAGTGCTGTTGAGATGAAGAGTTCTGCTGCTTTTAGCTGTACTCGCTGCCACCTGCTGGCTGAACTCCAGCCTCGTCCACCCGCCTCACACTCACTGTCGTCTCATTTTTCAGAGGAGGCGCCGGCTGCCAACTCGTACGTCCGGGAGACGCCTCAGGAAGAGCCCGCTCAGGTGGGGGTTTGCTCTCTTTGAGGTGGGCAGCTTTCTGGCATAGGAAGGGGGAAGCTGTAACATAGGTTTATGTCTTTGCTCACTCAGGTCGATGACAGTAACTACGATGTGACTGTGGAGGAGACGGCAGACAGAGGCATCTGTGCAAGAGCCTTGTATGACTATCAGGCTGGTGAGTTTTTTTATTTTATTTGTTTGTTTTTTTATGTGATGGGCTATAGAAAGATTAAGTAAAAATTTAAAATCAGCTGCTATATATTTTACTTATCTGGACTTTAGTGTATGGTTAAGGGTATAAGGACATTTTTTGTGTCGCATGCTTTTACTACTCACTTGGGAGGGGACTGAACCCCCCCCCCTTTATATAGTCGACCGCCTCACTGGATTGTCATGCTTTACACGTGAGATTGACGGAAGGGGATGTGGAAGTGTCAGAATGTTTGTGAATGCTGTGGTCAAAACTGTAGACTACGAGCAGCAGCTGCAACTTTGACAGTTCACACAGCAGAGGGAGTGATGAAGAACAGATCCAATCAACAAGCTGAGGACAGAGAGGAACATCAGACTGGATCTCATCTGCTCTGTTCTGTGTTGTTGCGCTTGCTTTGCTCGTTTCTTTTATTCATGCACTATAAGATGTTTTGCTCTTTGGTAGTTGGTGCTTGAACAAAATAGTATTTAATGTTCAGTTAGGTGCATCTTACATTTCTTATGAAACTGCGTATGACTCAATCATAAGTATCTATAATCTATCAAATCGGCTAGTTTTTCCAGATGTGTTTGATGGTGTGAAATGGTAAAGTAGCAGTGTTAATGGGATGCCCGTCCTGTCTCCTTTCAGCTGATGACACAGAGATCTCGTTTGATCCCGATGACATCATCACCGGAATCGAGATGATAGACGAGGGCTGGTGGCGAGGGTATGGCCCTGACGGCCATTTTGGAATGTTCCCTGCCAATTACGTGGAGCTCGTTTAGCCCATTCCCTGCACCCCCACCTCCCCCACCCCCCACCCCCAATCACAGTCAAGCCCAGAGGATGTCTGCCGTAATACAACATAGAAGAAGTCTGTCCTCGCCCACGAGAGATGAAGCTGAGGAGGAGGGAAGAGCCTCCACCATTGTGAGCCAGAAAGTTTTCCTCATTTCAGCAATTCCACTGTTGATGTTCGCAGCAGCAGACGGCGTAGTTTAGGGATCTGTGACAGACCAAAACTCCCCCAGTTCCCAGTCCCAAACGCAGTACGTCTCCTCCCCTGTAAATGTGATGCCGTGTAACGTGTTGGCCTTTGTTAAGTCTTCATTTCTGTTGTGAGCATCAACAGCACTTCTCATCACATTCCCTTCAAAGTGGCTTCGTCCCCATTTCAGGTCTAATTTTGATGTTATTGGTAGCGGCTGCTCCTGCACATTTAAGGAGAAGAAAATGAGATGGTGGTACCATTACAGCCTAATCTTTGACCTTTTTTGCCTTTCTTTACCGGCAGACTGAATTATGCTATTTTCTTTTTTAAGAGACTGAGTTTCTGTGTGAAAATCAAACCTTTTCTGATCAGACTGTGGTTGAAGTGAATATCTAAAAAATCATGATGTTTGCTGTGTTTGGATTGTTGGCTTTAGTAGGGCAATGCATAAGACAGCCAAGTTTCTTATTAACTGTGAGTAAAGAGCAGTTTTCATCAAAGGTCCTTCCTCATTTGAACCACATCATTTCAACATACCTAACTTTTCAGGGAAAAACTAAATAGAAGAATGCATAAGTCAGCATTTCTACTTTATTTGGATGTCACTGGGCTGACGTTGAGTTGGAGTGCACGGAAGACCTGTAAAAATGGATATTATGCTATAGTGCCATTATGAGGGCGACGGGCAATTCGTCATTTAAACAGCTTGACGGTAAACTTTATGCAACTTCACTGTTTTACGATGGGCAAAGAAATTCCCACTCTTTGAAACTTTGAGGTCAGTTGACAGGATGAAAAATGAACTCTTTGTGTCTCATTTGCGTTAGTCGTGGTTATTTTTCCAGAGTCTACTGTAACGCACACATCCTTCATAATAAAAATGAATAAACAAGCTGTGTTTTGTCAGTCTTTTTTATTTTTTAAATCTAAATCTAGATCAGTGGAAAAAAAGCCTTGAAATATAGAAGAAACTGAGGGATTTCCAGAGTTTTAACAGGAACTCAGATGTATACATGGCCTCTGTATTTGCTCTGCAGTTTCCTGGAATGAGGTGAGAGCTGGGGAATTCACCCCTTAATGCATAGGTTTCAATTTCATGTGAAAATCAGATTTTTTTCTTTATATCTCTCGGTTCAATCATTTTTCAAGTGAATGAGAAAAGATTCACCTTCCAGTTCAAGACCAGGTGTAATTTTCTGTTCAAACCCAAACTTAAACCAATATTTTGGTTTCCAGCCTTTTGCTGCTTTGTGAGAACAGATCTGTTTCTGACATGGTGCATCAATAATGATACAATTCAATACATTTCAGAATCCTGCCTGCATTCATGTCTCTCAATACCTTTCTCAAATTTAAACTTAGTCAAAATATAGCTCAGGGAGAAATTAATCAGCGAATGTAGTTTCAGGACAGATTCCACGCTCAGGTCTACCCACACACCAAAAACTATAAAGACGATAATATCAACTCCCACCGAGAGGCTTCTGCACTTCACGAAATACTACTGATCTTTACAAATGTATCTGACTTTCCACTGTTATTCTATCTCACAAACAGCCCATTTGCATCGGGAAAGCTAAGACTGTGCAACTGGAGTCTTAACTAATTACATTTTTTAAACATTGTTCCCAGGAAAATGAGTCATCACAGATAGGAAATCTTTTCTGGCCTGGAATCGCAATATTTTCTCCACCAGTCCTCGGTTAGATCGCGCTGCCCTCACCCCAACCTCATGTCTATGACAGTGAAAGTCTGAGATGAATGGCCGGGGACTTTTTCACTGTTGCAACGTCATGTTTTTGCTCATCATCTCCACGTTTGTGTGTCGACTGCCAAGGACAGAGACGTCCTCGCCACACTTGTTTAAAACACTTTTACACACAGAGCTAAGCTACAAATGTGTCTCATGCCAAACCCTGGCAGAGGTTTGAGCCACAACACTGGACTTTTCCAAGTCCAGTGTGGGCCTGTTTACGGCTGGGAGGTTTCCAAGTCCTGTACATCTAACACATGGATGCAGAACCAATGTCCGAGTCTGAATAATGACAGGAAAGATCTCAAATATTGTCTCTGCAAAAGTTATTCACAAGTGAAACACAAACTTGTTTTCTACCTTTTTTTTTTTGGAATCCCTGTGATATTTGGACAGTTTGAAAAATATTTGGTTATTTTGACTTTTCAGACGTTTAAATGTCACATTGTATCCGCAGCTGATGGAGGAACAGGGCATCCCCCTTTCAAGCAGAACAAAAACATGCAGAGGAAATGTGGATTGTATTAGGTGCTGCCTTTTCACTCTTCTGAATCACCAGATGTGCATGGGGGGTAAAGTATCCAGAGGAAAACAGGGTGGGAAAAACTGAAAAGGACTGAGTCTGACCTCAGGAGAAGCTTCAGAAACATGGACTTAAAATCCAGCTCGATTCTAGTTGGGAAATCTGTTGCTGACGTTCAAACTTAAGATGACCTCAACATTTTCCGAAAGCTTCAAATCAGAACAGTCTGACTCATAGTTGGCACTAAGGAAGTGGGTGATCGTTCTGTAACTCATTGCCACACATTTCAGATGGACGGGGGCCTTCGTCCTGCTGTCTTGTTTCTGATCATCAACGGCCGGTAGAAACCATTTACACAGAAGTAGCGCGTTCCGCTTTCCTCAAAATCTGCAGCCTGAAATCCCTGCAGCTATATACCACGATGGAAGCGTCACAAACTTGATTTCCCATCGACCAGAGCGCCTATTGACGCTGCTGCCAGGCTAATGCGGTTTGTGGATTGAGCATTTTTTTGTGGATCATGATCTGTGGACACATCATAACCTGGCATGCGAGTCAGAGTGTACCTTCTGAAATATGAGACACTCACAATTCTTTGTTGTGAAAGCACAGAATAAGTTATATTTGTCAATGCGCAAAGCCCTTGAAAGAATTCTATTTCAAAGCCACTCGTCTGAGGTAGATAATGAGGAAAACAGCCTCTTCAGGCTCATTCCTCCCTTCAGTGTCCACCTCTGTGCCGCTGATGTGCGTCGGCCCTGAGGGGGGCAGCCTTTTATTTATGTTTTACTAGACATCTCACAGGCATCCAGGAAACGTGGCCCTGACATTTAGACACTGTCGACCTTTATTTAGACTAATGTTGAGTGTTGATTTCACTTCTCCAAAATCTGCAATTTTGCTGAATTTGGGCTCGTCTCTGTGTGTGTCTCTATGTGTGTAGCCGAGCACCCCCAAGAGATTTTAGTTTTTAGTTAAAATTTTTTTAAATGTACAGAATCAGTAATCGGTAGAAACAGCAATCGCACACAAGAATTGAATCCGAATTACATTACAGTTCCTCGTCATTTTCACTCCGTAAATACAATAGAACTCAGTGTTCTCCAAAAATCATTTGTGTTTATTACTTTGAAAGGTTTTTTATTTCAGAAGTAAATTTGTTGAGCTGAAAAAAAAACAGCAAATTAAAGGCAGCTGCTTCTCTATCTGACTATCAGGAGATGAAACAGAGAGATCAGGTATTTTGAGAGCTGAGAAGAAAGGAAAAAAAAAACTAAGTTCAGCCTCATTTGCAGTGAAGCCTTCAGTCAACCAATGAAACTGGCCTGCGGAGACGTCTTCCTATTTCGTGGTGTCAAACTGAAAAGAGCGTCACATGAATTACTGTCACCAAACACAGTGCAGCCGCCGGATAGAAGACAGCCTCTGGAAATGGGTGAGAATGACTTTTACCTTTGACTTTTGCCATTTCAACCCTTTTAGAACAACATGTTGAATATGGTAGAAGTAAATTCTGTATTCAGGAATATTCAACAAATTGGCACTTTGAGTTACGTTGTTTGTAACCTACCTGAAAAATGTTTTTTCAATGTTTCTCTATGTTCGCTCCTTAGACGTTAATAACTTAACTTTAATACTTCCAAAATAGAAATATAGCATTAAAGTGGCTTTGAACATTTTTACAAAATCAGCTATTTTCCACAATTCCAATATTTTAGTTTCCATGTAACCCCTGCTTCAGATGCACCTTTTGAAATATCGTTGAATTAAAGTCATAAAACAGTATATCAAGATAATGTCTTCATCTCGTAGAATAGAGAAGTAGGAGGCTACTGAAAGCAGAATTAAAGGTTCAAGCCACAGCACAGGAAATCAGTCAACTTAAAGGAGAAGCATATTGGTTTTGCAACAAAAAAAAATTATATCACTGGGCAGGTTTTGAGCTGACAGTTGGTGCAACATGACATCTCATTCTCAGAATTACTGTTCACTCTCAGGCTTGTGATTTCAACATCCACTTCTCAGTTGACCATAAAATGCCAGTACAAGTGGCTCAGAATGTTGAGATTATATAGAGAAGGAAACTCAAGTTTGAGCTAAAAAGCAATGGTAGAATGATTTTCTGAGAACAGAAAATACAAAACATAAACTTCCACACGGGGTCTGGTGGGAGGTTTGGGTTGCCATGCTTCACTAGGGTTGCCTTTTGAATGAGAGGATTTTACAGTTGCTAAACAATGTTTTTTTACTGTTACAATATCAATATGCAAGCGGTTGTGTTCATGAGCAGGAAGTGGTTTTGCAGCCTGTGGTTTTATATCACACTCAGCCAACAATGTATTCTACAGATTACTCTTACTTAACCCTTTTTTGTGTCTGTGTGTGATCAATCACTTGGATTTTTGCTCATCGAACAGAATATTTGTTGACGGTAAAACGTGGCTTCCTTTTTTTTGTGTGTGTTTACGGTTGTGTTTTGTGTGTGTTTCCGGGGATGTGTATGAAGCTCAAGAGGAGGACAGTGAAACCACACAACAAACAACAGCCAGCGATGACGAGAAGGTGACAACGAGACAGGTAACCACGATAATTCCCCTCGCAGTTTGTGAGTTGGTCCTCTGGCTGCATGCTGGGCAGTTTCCATCTGTTACAGTTGCTCTGGAACTACAGACATGACTACTGAGAATGAGCAATGAGCAATGTGTTGTGTTTTCATTTCCCTATTTCAGTCGATTTGAGAGTGACAGTTTTTTTTTGAGTGCTTGTAGTGTGTGTACAGCCTTTTTTTTTCAAGAAAATATTTCTGGCTGATTGTGAAATGAGCAACAACGAATAACTCTACTTTTCTATTCTGAGAAGGACCAAAGCTCACATCTAAACACGCTGAGATATTTTATTGCACATACAGAAACTGAAGCGGCGCTGCCATTCACAGTCACTGTTCTGGTAACTTAAGTGTCAGGCACAATATGAGAAACACAAATTAGCTCATCAAATTTCCAAGGCCGATGCTAGTTGAAAGCCTGGTGGTTTCTGTGGTGGCTTCTGCCCTTCAGATAGCATCAATCCTGAACGCCACTCACAGTCATTGTGAGAATTGTATATCGACACATTGACATCATCACCCACACAGTTTTCCAAAAAATTTCATGGGTGAAAATCAACTGAATGTTTCACAATGATATTCACTGGTACGGTGTGGAGTGAGAGGGGCTACAGTGTGCAGACGCTTCCTGTCGGCGAGCTTTGAAGCATAAACCTGAAACTCTTGTGAATCAGATAAAAAAAATCAATAACTGAAAGTGAACAGGCTAAGTTTTAATAATGATCAATCTCAATCAAATACCTTATTAAAATGGTCGCGATTTTAAAAGTGATTTTAGACTGAAGTGTTTTGGAAAAGCCTGCAGTGGGCATGTGGGGTTTAGGCATTTCATTTAGCTCTTTTTATTCTTCTTTCTTTTTTTTTAACACAAACTGGATCTAGGCGGTGGGGAAGCAGATTGTGTATTTGAACAGAATAACAGTGGAAAGTCAGAGCTGTTGGCTGTGAGCTGGGAACAGCAGTGAAAAGCCACTGAGCTGTGACTCAGTCGGGGCTATCTTGGTTACAGGCCTGTACGTTCACTATTACTCACTTTAGAGGTTTACTTCTCGGAACCAGGAACCACACAGAGGAACTTGATTCAATATGAAACCAACTCGAGCTGTTTTGTTGTACAATGGGTGCCACAGATATAGCAGCTTCTAGGTATGATTATTAAAAGCATAATATCAGCATCCACTGTGGTCTTTGCTGACAACCAATCCATTGAAATTGATCGGGGTGGCTGTGAAGTGAGATTTCACATTTGAATATCTAGAGTGACTTCTGAAATCTGAGACTTCATTTGACTAATTAAAGTAAAATGAAACAGCGCCTGTTTTCCGAGCATGAATTCAGACAGAATGACACTCCATCCTCAGCTTCAGCCTGGATTGTTTTACTTCTAAATATGTAGAACCTTTAAGATTTCTTTTTTTTTTTACCAGAGGTTTCCTCAGATTTTTATTCATCAAAATTGTGTTTCCACAATAATCAGTTGACGCCAGATCAGATGCTGATCATTTTAAACACATGAATAAAGTCACTTACACAAGTCATATTGAAATGAAAAAATGAGCGTGCTATATTTTTTAAATTGATCTTTTTTCATGTGACGGCCTTTAGTGATCCTTTGATGTGAGCACATGTTGGTCGTGTTCCTTCTTCAGAGAAGGAAGGAGCAGATCACTAATGTTATCAGTCATGTTCGTCACATCAGAACTTACAAACTTGCGTTGCCCAGCAAGATAATTTGTTTTATTATTATTATTTTCATTTTTGGGTTAAGATCTCATTGTTCTTTGGTACCCCCATAGCAAGACAGTAAAGAAAATGTTGGAAACACAATAAGCGCATATGCAGCAGAGAAAATACTGCCACTGCCATCTGTTTATACCATATACCTTTTGATATACACAGGAAAAGAAGAACGGTTAGACAGGACACAATCTGCCCTTTACACTTTCCCTTTACAGTTCATTTCACTGCTTTTTCACATGCAAAATGAGTGCAAAGGATAACCCAAAAGTCCCGACCAGAATTATTCACACCTACATATTATGCCGTTCCTGAACTGAGCATCAGACCTCGTTTGTGGTTCAAACTTCTGTCTTAAATCTACATCTGCATCATGCCAGGCAAATAGTGACTGGCTTTTGTGCAGCAATGTACAAGATGGCAATTTTTTGGTGGGGAAAAACAAAGCATGTAAACCTCTTCTTTTAAAATTGTGAATCTGAAAATAAGACTAACTATAAAGAAATAATACAATTGCAAAGGAAAACAGTTAAATGTTTCTGCTTTTGAAACATTTCCAGCTGTGGTTTCTCTGCAAGCTGTTCGGTTACTGTTACATTTATCTTTTCTTGCAGACCACATCTCGCAACTTTGGCAATTTCTTAATCTGGAGTGTTTTAGTGTTTAGACGCACCGACCTAGTCAGGGGTTTAAAACTGTCACAACTATTGGGGTAGATCCTTGCTGGCACACAGAGAACACATGCTTGGTTTAAAGCTCAAAATGTGGCATCTTCATTTTTAACATTTGACTCAGTAAATAATGTTTTTCTTTTTCTTTTTCACTTACATAACTTATTTCTTCAGTTTAAAGTTGTTTATAACGTGACAATTGTGATACTGGTGATTAACAACTGGAGACCAAAAACCCCACAAGTCTGCTGCTTTCCCTCCAGACAGGATGCATGGTGGTTATCTATTGAAAGTAGCGGTAAAACCCTACTCTCTGATTTTGATGTTAAATTTCAGCATTATGTCTCGCAGGATGACTGTGTTTCTTTTTCCCATCTGTCAAGCCCCATCTTTAACTGTAAAACAGGTTTCTATACAATGCCCCAGACTGTGACATTTCCGGGAGGCACATCGATTTGTTGTAAGATGAACTTATCTATGGCATCTGCTTTCTCCCAACACCAGGCCTCTCCTTGCGTTATTGAAATTCACGACTCCACGACTGAGTGTGAGGAAGAAGTGAGGCCCGGTCAAGTGCAGGTGGAGGAGAAAGCTTTTGTATCAACTTTGCACTTATTTATGAAGGGCAAAGGTACCCCCATAGAAAGAATACCGCATCTGGGATTTAAACAGAGTGAGTAATTGTTCAATATATCTGTACCTGTTGTTTTAGAACACAAGTTTAAGAGAGTTTGAATCACAATCTGAGATCTTTCTTGTTTTTTTTTCTTCTCACAGTTAATCTTTGGAAGATCTACAAAGCTGTTGAGAAACTTGGAGGCTATGATTCAGTGAGTTCTTTTTGCCTGTAGCTTCTGATCCTTAAAACTGGTGCATTAGACCTCAGTGCTGAGTGGTTTAAAGGTGGAAACTGAGCAGCATTAGATGCTATAACATAGTGGTTTGGGCGCTGAGCACTCAGAACAACACGCTCTGCTCTCTTTGATGTCGACGACTTCTAAAACCGAAACTCATATTGAAATGGAACTAGATCGGGGCTACAGTTGACCACCAACACTGCGTCTGGGAGTGTAAACACAGCAGTAGAGATAGCTCACATTTGCAGAAGCTTTAAGAATGAAAGTGTAGTCTTAGGAACCAAAGCAAGTGAGCGAAGTATGGCAGTTGGAGGGTAACAAGCGCTAAGTAATATTTATAGACTGTCGTGAAAAAATACATCTGAGGCAAAGAGATGGACTGTTAACTTATTTTTTCCTGTGTTAACCAACAGGTGACCGCGCGACGTCTGTGGAAGAAAGTATATGATGAGCTGGGTGGAAGTCCAGGTAGCACCAGTGCTGCTACTTGTACTCGAAGACACTATGAGAAGTAGGAAAGAACTAGTTACCCATTAAATCTCTCTTTAAAAACTAACATATTGTATATGTATATCTGAAATATGTTGCTCATGTGACAGGTTGGTGCTTCCCTTCGAGAGACACGTTAAAGGAGAGGAGGACAAACCTCTACCTCCCAGCAAACCACGGAAACCATACAAGAGAAACCTGGAGGGCAAGGTGACCAAGCATGAGGGGAAAAGGAAGAGGACTCTCTCAGAGGGGGGGGTGGATTCTGAGGTACAGTGTGACGCATGGCGTGGAAATTTCGCTAAGTTTCGAATAGCTGTGTTGATTCCTTCTTGTGAATAACCAAATGTTCCCTTTTCTTTTACCACAGTTACATGGACAAAGAAGTCCAGACACTCTGTGCCAAAGTGAAGCAATGATAGGCCCTCACTTTCACCTCTGGGCCCCCTCCTCTGAAGTCTCCCCGCCAAACAGACCCTCCACTGAGTTCTGCACGTCTGTCAACGGCCACCTCCTGCAGATCCCCGTATCCAGCTCCCAGCTTCCTCATATCCCATCTGCCGCCGGAGAAGTAATCTCTCCCTTAGAGAAAAAAAAGCGAATGGCTCAGGCCAGCCTTAATTTGCATCGAAACTCCCAGAGAGAGGACAAAGACAGACCTTCCGTCATCCACTGCTCCCAGTCTCCAGCCCGGGCTTCTTCCAGCAGGAATGGAAACTCCTCCGAGGGCTCCCCTCTCCCTATGTCCACCTCATCTTCCCGCAGTTCATCTCCTCTGTCCGTGTCATCAGACGACGGTCCAGTAGGGACAGAAGACAAACATTCACCAAACTCAGAGAAGCCCCAGAACTGTTCTAATAATGCCAAAGTACACGAGGATAACAATTCAGTGAGCTGCAGTGAAACATCTGCAGACCCCACGGGACAGCATAAGGGAGTTTCTCAAGCCAGCTCTCACTCATTAAGCACCGATTCAATCAAAAGTCAGATTAAAGACTCGTCTTTGAAGTCATACTACCAAGGGACTGGCAGATATTTCCCACATCCCTCCCACTCGCCGTTATTCTTCTCAACAGCTACCTCTAGTTTCACCAAAGTTGTTCCAAAATCCGGCCAGCCCTTGCGGCCCGATCCTATCAGGCCAGGTTATAAAGAGAACTATATCGCTTGCTCAAAGAAGGTAACCGGTGCGTTTCCATGCCTTTATCAGACAGATAAGAGGGAGAGGTCAAGGACAATGCCGCAAAAAGTCGCATCAACACAGCACAGCCTTTCCGCAGCCGCCACCCCTCTGCCAGTGTCATGCATCCTGCCAAGCTACGAAAAATCAGGGAGAGACTCCCGGCCCCAGCCCCCATTGAACCCAGCATTTCTCCCCCACAGAATGAGACTACATCCATCTCATCTGATGTACCGGCATATGCCAGTAGGTCCAAGTCACTCTGCTCTAATCGGATCATCTATGTACCCATATCCCTATCCCATTCCTTTCTTAAGTCCCCAATCTGGATACACCTTTCCTGCCATGACTCCCATTTATCCTCACAAGCTGTGATAATAAGTGTGAGTACTATCACAAGTCACTGGATTTCATCATCATCATCATCATCATCATCATCATCATCATCATCATCATCATCATCTGTGATTCAGGAAAACTACCAACAAATGTCTTAAACTCGTCCAGATACCTTTTTATGCATTGTTTATTACAGCAGTAAATTCTCAGTTCTTCGTTGTACTGTATGTATAGATTTCAGAAAGATGCATTTACATCATTTCAGTGCTAAATATTCCAATAGATTATCATTTGCATGTGGTGTTGTCGCTTAAATGTATTTTGAAATAATAAAACAATTCATAAACAGAAATCTAAATATCCTTTTTTTTCCATTTGGTTTTCTGGGTTAATGGTAACCTGTCACATTACGCTTAAATCCGTTTTTTGCCACAAATACTATAAGTTCTAACTTTTAGCAGGAAGAAATGATTTCAGATAGTGGTGCAGCATCTCTTTCTTGTAAGCCTTTACTCAACTCTGAATCTAACTGTAGACTGTGGTTTCGGGCACCTGTGTTTTGTTGTTTTCTGTTGATCTGCAGATATCTGTGCAGTTCTCTGTGGTGTCTGTCTTGCATGTCTGAAGTAACCCCATGATCATGCTGCAGTGGTCTGCAGCACTAAGCCGTAATAGAGTGGCTTTGCTAAAGTGGATGCAAGATCATCATCAGCCAGAATAACCCAAAAAACTGAGGCAAGAGCAATAAGGAGGAAAGATAGTGAAGAAATCACTTAAATAAGGTCATGCTGTAAACCGCAGTGTGGTTTGACACAGCTGGAACAAGTGATGCATGTGATGGCAGTTCTTCAAAATGTATAGCAGACATGACATAAAAAAGACATGACAAACAGAAGAGGAGACAGGGCTCAGGGGAATGCCTGTGGAAATCTTTTATGTTTTCATTGAATAGAGCATAATTCCATGCCCGTGCTTTAGTTTTTCTGAGGTAAAACTTACAACAAAATCTTAAATGGAATCCATTTCTATAAAAAAGAATGGAAATTATTTTAATTCGACATTCGATCTCTAATAAATATTATGTAACTATAAGATACACATAAGAAGAAGAAACAATCCAAACCTTGCGACTACAAGACAACGTTATCTACATTTCCATTGCACACCATGAGTGAAAGGGTTCAGAGCATATAATTTCAGGCTGCGAAGTGATAACATTAAGTGACATCAGAACCTCTGCTGCCCGAAATATAAGACATGTACAAAAACCACGACGAAACCCCTGTATCAATGAATACAGAATAAAAGTTATCTTAGATTTCTGGGTCAACATTGCTATCCAGAGCGCAACTTTTGTGACGAGACTTGCCTTACAATCAAAACTCAGGGAAAACACAGATACAATGAGTTCTCGCGAGAGCAGTTCCAGAGGCGCGAATAAACAAGAGGTTTCGCAGTGAAAGTGCGGCTGTTTTGCTAGCAGGTGTTGCTTAACTGGTTTTAAAGTTAGATTGTTTTGTCGGCTTAACTTTGTTACTTAAGAGCTAAACACAAAATTAAGCAAATAGCATTATTTAAGCAATATACAACGCAAAATAAAAGTATGTCGGACGCTTTGACGGATGACGGCAGCGACATCAGCCCAGATGATAGCCAAGAGGATGTTATGACCCCGGCGGAGCTCATCGCCAAACTGGAAGAAGTGAGCTTTCCTTTACTACTTTATTCTGCCGGGGGGGATTTAGACTGTCTCTAGTGGGTTAAAGGCATTCCTGTTTGTCTACTGGCTTCTACTTCTTTGTCGTGTTCCTCGGTGTGACTCTCAGGCCTGGCTGAACGAGAAGTTCTCACCCGAGCTGCTGGAGAACAAGTCAGAGGTGGTGGAGTGTGTGATGGAGCAGCTGACTCATATGGTAACCACCTGGGGATTACCTTTGGCTCTCTGTGGGTTGTTTCAGATGCTCAGTAACAAAGACATGCTGCTGGGTAACCTGCGCCGATAACACGAACCGTGGCGACTCTAATTACGTGCAGAAGGCTGTAATTAGTCATTTGCAAGTAAACACATCATCAGATAAGTGGCGATCAACACTAACATTTTCCTATCTTTTGACATTTAAACATGTCAAATTTGGCTTGTGAGTGGTGAAAAAAGAGCCCTCTGCATTTTCCAAGAGCATAAGAGAAAGATTCAGTGTGTTTGGGCTGTGTCAAAGAGTCAAAATCCACAAAAGTTACATCTTTTCAGTGTACGTTGGAAAATAGACTGAATATGACTTGAATCATGCAGGGATTCAATTTTTTGTGTTAAATAGATGAAATCTAAAAAACAATCAATATGATATCCATTGTTTCAGTTTACAAAACAAGAAAAATTATTTAAAAAATAATAAGGGCAGAGATTTTTAGACTGTGGTATCCCTCTGTAAGCAAAGATTTTAGGCAAGGAGTATTACACATGCATGAATATATACACACACATATGTATATTTCCTTTTGAAAACTGCTGTTACCTCTTCACCATAAGGAATCCAACTTGCAGCGAGTGAAGAAAGGCGACGCCAAGGCTGGCATCCATCGCATGGAAATAGACAGGATCCGCTTCGTCCTCAGCAGCTACCTGCGTTCTCGCCTGCAGAAGGTCAGCCAGGGACCCGCCCCTCACCTTACTGTGTCTTTTGACAAATATCCAAAGCTTTGTTCTTTTTGTGGCCAGATTGAAAAGTTTTTCCCACATGTGCTGGAGAAAGAAAAGACCCGAGTCGATGGAGAGCCGTCTGTGCTTTCGCCTGAGGAGTTTGCCTTTGCCAAAGAGTGAGTATCATAGATTGACGGCATTTTAATCTTCTGCCCGTTTTATGAGGCCTGTGGTTAACAAAAAACCATTTGATCTGGCATCCAGGTACTATACCAACACAGAAACGTATCTAAAGGCTGTAGCCCTGAAACGCATGCCGCCAAACTTACAGAATGTGGATTTGCTCAAAGCAGGTAAAATCTATGTTCTCTGTGTTGGATAACCCTTGTCCGACGTCTCCACTCACATTCACACTAAAGCCTATGCTGTATTTTGTTTTGTTGTCCCAGTTCCTGAGCCTTGCTTGGACTCCTTTGTGTTCCTGCGTGTTAAAGAGAGACAGGAAAACATCTTGGTGGAGCCTGAAACGGATGATCAGAGGTGCTCGATCCCACATTTCTCTTTGTACCACCATTGACTAAAACCTCCAGCAGGTGGCAGTGTTGCCCTTCCACCCTCAGTGTTTCTGCAAAGATTTATGGGGAAGTTGTTGATGTTCTGTTTCTCTGCTTTTAGGGAGTATGTTGTAGATCTTGAGGAGGGCTCTCAGCACTTGATGCGGTATCGTATCATTGCACCCCTTGTTTCAAGTGGAGCTGTGCATTTAATTTGAACATTAAGGTTAGTAACTGAGGACCAAGACACATTTCTTGTTGGCTTGAAATGGCCTCACACACCCTTTTACGCACATATGCAATTTCATTCCAACAGAACTTATATAAGCCCCTGTTTTAAATCTATTTTTATCTCCCACATTCTTTCTGCTGTTTTTTGTCTCTTGGCAACAAGGAAAAAAATAACTTGTTTATAAATACCAGAACTGCAGTTTAATTTAATTCCATCTGTCAGTTGGATACAACTAACACAGACCCCTTTGTTGTTACAGGCTCGTCTGTTGCTTTGGCTTTTTTGCTCCAGGAGATTATGAAAATGAGCATTCGCTAAGAGGGGCCACTTTCCTGCAGCGATCACACAACCTCTACCTCACTATCGTCTAGAGTGAGGACAGACTCGCCTGACTGACTGCTCATGAAAACACTCATCAATAGTGGGCTGCCAGATGTGTGCACTAGCTCTCATCTGTGTAAAAGTGACCGGTGAAGCCTGGTTTCATCCGTAACTCCGGCATATAGTGAGGCAACAATATGATCTGCTGATTCATCGTTCTCTTCACTGCCTTTATATGACACATCACCCGAGCCCCGCTCCCTGCTCAGTGACGGGATGCATCTGATGACCTGAAGGTGAAATTTCATCACTTCACTTGGCAGCGTAATTCGTGTCCCCTCGACATGTTTGATTGAAAGGCAGTGTTTTTTTCTGTCTGGGTGTAGTTGCAAAATAACACTTGCACATCCTAAGTATGGCCACATTGCTTCTGCTGCCACATGTATGAGTGCATTTCACTGTTTTTTAACGGCTCCCCGCATGGATTAAGCCTCATCTTCGGTGAGCTGCAATCATTGGAACGGCGTTGTTATGTAAGGGTTTCAGAGGAAGCAGTCAGGGCTCTCTGTTTGCCCCACACACACAGATTGCTCGGTAATTGGAACTAATGAGAAACTGAGATGTGTCACAGCACAGCTCATCCAGCTCATGTGAAACTAACACGTTATTCTGCGGCTGATTCAGTGTTTTCATGTCCAGCGTCTCCGTCCTCAAAACAACTCAAATCAGGCTGTCTCATGCAATACACTATAGTGTGTGTTACCAAGTTTCATGAAGCATGTTTATGTTGTCCCTTTTTAAAAATAATCAGAAATGGTATTTAGAGAAATTAAATCTTTTAAAAAAACTGAAATGATTGTATATGTGATTATTTCATTTTTTTAATTAAAAAAAGTTCTCGTTCAGGCAAAGCAGCTCTGTCTTCCTGCACTGTGACAGAAATATTTCAAAATGTTTTCATATATTCCATTATTTGAAGTCTTCTTAAGCTTCGTGTGCAAATGTATCTTTGTTTATTTAAGTTTTCAGATAGGTTCAAGTTTAGAGTTACGTAAGTCAGTACATTCAGGTACAGATGAATGAAGCGCCTCCCTGGTTGATGGAACAACCTGATGAAACTGGTCGGCAATCCTCTCTGGCTTGGCGTCACACATGGTGCTGGACTGGACCGAGGGGCAGGAGCCAGCTTGCAGAGACTTGGATCTGGGTCAGGGTCTCTGTGGCTATGGTGTCCACTGACAGGTCTGAGAATAGAGCCCTGGATGGCTGGGATGCTTTCCACAAAGCAGAGTGAAATTTCACCTGGCAGAGCCTCGTTTCCACGTTCCACCATGTCAACAGTGGACAGCGCAGGCCTGAGGTTATAATACAAACCTGATTCTACTTCCATTTTCCAACATTATAGTACTTTATTGTTCCCTCGTTACTATAGAAGACAGAGCAAGGCTGAAGAGAAGTAGCACAGACAATAAATTCATCCTGAAGGCTGTTTGTTTTATTCCCGTAATGCAAACTTAGAAGCATTTGCTTATGTAGTAGCACAGACATGCGCAGGCCTCAGATGATTGGTCATCAGGTTGAGGCGGGCGGGGTAAACTTGATGACATCTATACTGAGGTAGTATAAATAGATGGTGGGTTTTCCCAAGGCCCAAAGGGGGAGTTTGAGACTGCATTTGTCCAACTGACTACTTATGGGAGTTTGTAAGTTGTTTTTTATAATTCCATCTTTTCACCATCTTTTTTATTTTTTTGTGAGCTGAAAACATCATTGCAGCTCCAGGATTTCTAACAAAATAGCCAGACAAAAAGGTGTCCTGTCTTCCAGAGCTCCAGTCGTACTTTGAAGACATCCCTTACCGCCACCCTGCCAGCATGGAGATGTCCAGTCCGACGTAAGTCCCTGGTGTGCTTGTGATGTGCATTGTTTAAGGAATGTGAGAATGAAGCAAAATCACGACTTTGGTTCGGACCTTGCAAATCTATTCTGTCGTGCAACAGATTACTTTATGAACAGGTTCAATTTAGGGATTGAGTTGGTCTAAATCTATGATTATTTCTCACCAGTGTCCTTCCTTTGGTTGGCCTGGGCTCAATGGCCCACTCAGCTGGACTTGTGGAAATTGCTGTCAAGTTGTGCTTGAACCAGCGTGAACAGCTGTGTCCTCACGTGTGGGTCCCCATCCTGAAGCCTTCACGGCCCTGCCTCCGTCCCCCAGGGTCCAAGCAGGGCCCTCTGGACATTTTGAGCCAGGCTTATCTGGCCCCCCGTTTCTTGTCTTTGTTGGACGACTTGGACGACGACGACGTTCCGATCCCCGTCAAAAACAAGCGGGTGGTGTTTGCCGACTCGCGCGGATACTCTCTGGCCAGCGTGCGGGTGTTTTCCGACCAGGAGGAGCAGGTGGACCTGGGCCTGCTGCCGTCGCTGCAGGGTCTGGGCAGCATGAGGGAGGACGGCTACAGCTGCACGGTCAGCACCTGCTGCCCGGGAACGCAGCTCAAACTGGGCTTCCCGCAGCCCTCCGTGGACTTCCAGGCCTTTCGGGCCAAGCTGGCGGAGAGCATGGTCATCCTGGAGAACTGCGCCATCACCGAGCAGGCCCTCCAAGGCACGGCACGGGTCAGGAACCTCAGCTTCCAGAAGGACGTCCGCGTGCGCATCACCTTCGACTCCTGGCTGAGCTACAGGGACGTGCCGTGCACGTACGTGCAGAAGCGCTTCGGAGGACCGCAGACAGACATATTCGAGTTCGACATAGCCATTCCAAAAGTGCTGGACGCCAAGAGGAGGATCGAGTTCTGCCTGATGTATCTGCCGGCAGGTCAGAGCGTGCCTTTCTGGGACAACAACGGCGGGCAGAATTACAGCATAGCCGTGTGTGTGCACTCGCATCTCTGCCACGGGAAGAATCTAAGTGAAAGGGCTTGACTCGTCACTCAGCCCGTTGATGTGCTCTATTTTTACCCCACTCACTGGGTTGGCTGTGCGTCAGGCCGTCTCGGGTTATTTTTTTTAATAGGATTTTCAAAGATTTTCACTTTCATTTCAATAAAGTTGAAATGCTTGGATCAAATGTTCCCATCCAGTTCTCTTTGTACGCGCTGGAGTTCTTTTCGCAGGCGACGTGAAGAATGGTGTGGATAAGAGTTCACACCCGAGGAGGGGGCCCCCTTTTGCAGCTGGCTTAGCTAGTAGTCGGTGAGAGGTTTTTGAGTAAGGGGCCAAAAGAGGCCCAAAGTAGGAGAGCTGCTAATCTTAGCGTGGCTCTGTTTACAGACCACGTGCATGCTATCAGAGTCACCGCAGAAATTTAATTGGGTCTTCTGCCTCAAATGCTCACCGCCCCAATACACTGAACGGCTCTCAGTGTCACCGCTCATCGTTTCGGAGGAGAGTTAAATACGACCAGTTTTTTAATCAAAATGATGCGCTCAGCTTTTATAGGAGGCTGTTTGGCAAAACTGCTGCACACTGTTGCTGAGATCAAAACGTGCGGCAGTGGCTATGAATAGAAGCAACCATGACAAGTGCAGAATAAAAAAAAGAATATGTAATGTTTTAGCTCAAACCCAACTATCAGTAGAAGAGTCATCAAACGTATTTTGAAAAACACATCATGGGGGAAATACTGAGAAAACATAATTAAGATATCTGGAGAGAGGACAAATGATTATCTAGCAGTTCTTCTAAATCCTAATATATTGTTTCTCTCAGCAGTTATGTGTGGGTATCGTTTTTACGGGCTTAGTTCATAACAGAGTTCTGGAATAAGTATCATCAGAGCTAACTTCTTTTAAAAAAAAGCAACACTACTGAGGGGAGGTGGAAAGCAGCTCAGACCGACACACGGTGGGTCAGCTGCTTTGTCTAAGTCAGCGTCTTCAGACTCAAAAAGCGCGAGATGCCTCCCGTGGGGGCGTGTCTCCCTCAGCGCCCCACGCTGATGTTGCACACTTTGCAGCTGGGGTCCTTCTTGGCGTTGGCCGTGGTGAGGCTCATGAGCTGGTGGTGCCCGCTGATCTGCTCCAGCCGGCCCTGCTCCAGGGGGACGGGCTCGCTGAAGAGCACCTCCAGGATCACGTCGCTGGCGTGGCAGAACAGAGGCTCCTCCCCCGGCCTCTGGGGCGCGGCGTAGGTCAGGAAGGGGTTGGAGGCCAGGTCCAGGGCGGGGAGGCGGGTGCGGCAGAAGGCGTCGCCCTCGGTGCCGGCGGGCGCCAGCACCAGCACCACGTAGTGGTAGGCCGTGTACATGCAGTAGAAGTCCGCGAAATACAGCCGGGTGTTGGGGTTCAGCAGCCGCCCGGCCGGGATCTGGAACCGCAGGGGCCCGTACGGGGAGTCTCTGGGGGGCAGCCCCGTGTCGAACTCGGTGTTGCAGCTGAAGAAGACGCCCTGCAGCTTGCCGTTGATGGGGGAGCCGTGACTCCCGCTGTTGTCCTTCAGGGCCGGGCGCATCAGTCCTCCCCACTCCCTCCTGATTCCACACAAGACAAGCAAACACACGCGCGTTGCGCTTAACTGCCGTGGACATAGCTTTACCAAAAGGGAGAAGGGATAGCACCACCTACCTGACGATGTCAAAATATTCGGGATGCTGATTGCGATAGAACACAGAGAACTTCAGCAGCCGGCCGGCCGAGCCTTTGGCTTTGTCCAGGAGCTGCTGCAGGTGCTCCATGGCATAGTCTGCAATACATATTTACAGTTTACCCAGCACTTAACCTCTGTCTTTAGCTTGCCTTCCTTCTATCAAGGCTTCTCAAAGGACTGCTTTTAGCAGCCGTGGGGTCGGGCTTACCTCCGGTGCAGAACTCCACCACCGGGCTCCACTCGGACACCAGGTAGTCGCCGTCCGGCTGCCGGACAGCCGTCTGAACGGCCACACAGTACTCAGTCCGCGGGCTCAGGAACCAGTGTCCCCTCACGGCCATGGGGAGAGGCACAGCTTTGGCCACCAGCTTGGTGGGAACATCCTGAAGGATGAATCGTGAAAGAGGAAACATCAGGAGCGGAACAAAGGGCTGGTGATCATTTACACTTTAAAGCAAGAAAAATGTAAAGCAGTATTGAATTTGCGATGAAGTCAACCATTTTTCTCCATAATCTTTTCCTTATTAGCATGCCATTGCATTTCAGAACAAGCTGCTCTAACCAGGCTACGTCTAATCAAATCAGCAGCTTTGTTTTGGCCATGATCTCTAAGAAGCACAGCTAATTACTGCAGCCTCAGAGGCCCCTTTATCCATGGCAACATCCTTTCTGTAGCTATTGAGACAGAACATAGCCTGGTTTCATGCAGTCTTATCCCTGACAAAACTCCACGCCAGCACAAACTAAACCGCCCCAATGTATGAAGAAGCAGCACAAAAATTTTAATCAGCTAACTAAAACTGATTATTGCAGAACTAGATTATGAATAGAACCCCTAGATGTGAATTCTATTCATGAGATGGATGTGGAGCAATGAAATATTGCACATTAGCCAATCTGAGCTAATAGTTACTAAACTTAAGAATGAGACAGTGAGAACATGGGTCTAAGTGCCATGGGGGTGCTAGTATATGTGTCATGCCTATGAGCTAGCTAAAGTTAATACCTCTGTGCTTGACACAGGATGTAGATGGGGTTTGTAAGCAGATGCATTACGGACGGTGGAAAAACACATTGTAACGTCAGCCTAACGACAAGTTTTTCTCATGCTGAATGAGTTAATTCCATGATGTGAAACGGAAGTGATTAATGTAAACAAGAGTTCTGAGATGCGGTTGAGTGCGTCAGTTTTGTCCACTTTACACGGAAACAATGCGCGTGTGAGTCACTGCCCCAAAGCTGCCGACTGTTCAGATTTTCCTTTTAGCTTGAAAATTGGAAGTGACTGAAAGGGCACAACCACAGTGTGTTCTGACTCTACACCATAAAGTAGTGAGAACCATCCCTTGACCTGAAACAATGATCAAATTAATGTAATCTGGACGTAAAATGGGGCAGTGTGGATCCAGAGGCCGGTCTGTTAGATAAGGCCAGGGTTTCCCACCCTGTGTTTGAAGCGGTTGGGGTCCCTGTTCTCTTTGCGGCTCAGGTCGATGAAGAAGTGCGTGGCTCTGGCTGTGTCTTCGGGGGTCATGTCCCACACGATACGGAAGGAGTCGCAGGTCACCTCGCAGATCTGGATGTTGCAGGGGGTGGACAGAGGGGGCTCCATTTCTGTCATCTGCCGTCACACAGATTGAAGCACATGATTACATTCAGAGGGACTGTTTCACGTTATGTGGCCATAATCTGGTTCACAGAGACGTATGAAGTTGTTGAAAGCACTGAGATCAAACGAACACGTTGCAAACCTAATAAGACGAACCTCTCCCTGTCACGCCATTTGTCCTATTGATCTTTTTTTGGCTTTCACCTCCCTTTTCCTGCCTTGTAGCTGGCGTGTTCCATCATTACACAACCCAACACGCTCCCAGCTGAGACGCCTGTTTTCTCTCTCTGCATTTCATAATCCACCTACAGCAGTCTCCCGGCAACCACGCATCCACAGCTTCCCTCACCTCTCCCCCTGTGATTCTTAAGGACTGGCTCGTAAACAAGCCGGTTTCTGCAGCCTGTCGGCGAATCGGGAAACATTTGGAGCATTTGTGGCCACCTTGCTCAAATGCATGCAGAAAAGAAAGCTTAGGAAGGGAGTACACAGTTTCTTGTATCATTCATCATTCCCATAGCAGTAATTGGGGGGGGGGGGGGGGGGGTGGAGGCATGCAGCAGGTGATGTATGATCACACACCCCCCATGCTGCTTGCAAAAAAGTCTTGATTCAGGAGGCTGCATAGCCTTGAGTGTCCTATCCATCTATCAATCATCTCCCTCTTATCTCCTCACTCTAACTTGTTTCCCAACAGTTTGATTGTGCCCCCCCCCCCCTGCCTCCTTCAGGGTCTGTCTTGTTTTATTCAAGCACCAACGCCTCGACATCAAAGCAGAACGATGCAGTTTTTCACCTCGCATATGCCGGAACACAGATGTGGCTGAGAACAACACGCTGGCGTTCACGTGACCGTGCGCGCGCCAGGTGGACGGCGCAGAGGTGGTGTGACCGGAGGCTTCTGCGGTCAGGATGATGGACAGGCTGCGCCGGGCTCGTTAAAGGCTGTGAGCCGTGAAACTGCCGCGTGGGGGGGGGGGGTGGGGGGGTCGGTTGCACCGTGCACCGTGCACGTGCATCTCCAGACTCTGTTTTCTCCAGCTGCTGGTCTCATTTCTGATCGTGGCGTCTTTTTGGCGACAGAAACTGGGGCAAGAGGAGATTCTCCCAGGGCAGGCCATCAAACAAAGCCCCCCCCCCCCCCCCCCCTCCTGCACGCGCACCACTTTTAGATCGCGTGAGTCCACTTCTAGCACCGGATTTCATACAGTTAACGCGAGTCCACTGCCCCCGTTTATAAATCATCCCGTCACGGGGAAACGGGAGCGCGTCGCATCCACACAGACGGACAGACTGAAGGATGGATGCTGGCTCCTTTCAGCAGCTGCTCCACATACAGCAGCTGGCATTAATGGATCATTAGCAGGATTACCCGCATCAGAAAGCAGCATCCATCCACACTGGACACGCCGAGTTATTTTTGTTCTCGCTCAGAAGTGGAATAAAGAACAAACACAAACGATGATGCTGCGGTGTGGAATCTGGAGAGGCACGTAGAGTATTTTTTTTCCACCCCCCAAAGTTTATTTTTCTTAACAGAGAGAATTAGATCACGTTTCAATAAAGAGCGTATCATTTTATCAGTATAATAAATTAAAGTGGCTGCCGAAATGCTCGATCCGTTCAATAAAGTTCCATTTAGAGCTTTCTGAGAGAGACCACATGAGATATTGGGTTTCTCTAATTCTGATAATTTGACAGTGCAGCTCCATCAAGAGGTCTTCGGGTCTGGCATTAGTGGGGCAGAACAAAACAAAACTACACAGAAAAACATGCACATCAGCAAAAAAAAATATGAATAATAGTCATGCAGTCTTCTGGTTAAATGATCATCAAAAACCTCTCTCCAGAAAAGCACAAATACAATTTCACAACATGAAAGTCTGTGGTCTGAACTGCACTAATCCACATCAAGAACACTATTACAGATTTCTTTTCTGTGACATTAAGCATCAATAAGCAGCAATAATGTGAGAGCATCCCTCACCTGTGCAGGGGCTGGAGATGTGATAGGGGATGTTATTACCTGGGCTGAAGTCAATCTTCTATTTCTGCTCTTTTCTTCTGGTTGCTATTGATGACAGATCCCCCAGGAGAACTCATTCGGAGGTGAAGTGATCACACAGACTCCTCTCTCTTCCTCTTTCTCCCGACTGTTTCTCTCTCCCTCTGTGTGACACAAACAGGCTAACCCCCACCACCATCCCTCCCCTCACCCCCCTCCCAAGCTCCTCTTTTGCTCTGAGCACCGCACGATGCGTACTTGACTCCTGTGCGCCTACACGGGATGCTCAGATCAAAAAAGAAAAGAGTTATAAAAAAGGAAAAAATCAAAGAAATCGTCCTAACTGCAGGGTGACCTCAACTGGACTTGCAGTCAACTTCCACAGCATCGCATAACACATACACAACACCTCACTTGGCAGTAAATCTGCCCCGAGGCACCATTTCCTCACACACTCGGATATAATCTGAAAGCTCAGCTGCTTGCATAAATGTCATCTCTCAAAAATAGAGAGAGTATGGATGTACAGTGAAAGCGCAAAGGGGGAAAAAAAAGGCTATTTTTTAATACGCTCTACGAGCACATTCAAGCGATTATGCTCTGAGGATGTCCTAGTAGATTACAAACAGCACTATCAGGACCTCAGAAACTACACATGGGCCAACTGCCATGCCATATGGACCAAGTCCACAGGGCTTCACCCCCCCCCAGACTATCTGGAGGCGAGGGATGCCAATGTGTGATTCCAAAGTAAGCAGATTTTCACTGGCATTCATTTTCAGTCTGATGTTGTTGTTTTCTGCATTAGTTCAGCCCCATCAGACGACTTGATGTAGGATCCCATCAGAGATTATGGAAAACCCTCTCAGATTAATGCAATAATCTGCTGCTAAAACAATGGCCGTGAGCATGGATGATGAGAGGGATAACAATAGGATAGACTGAGAGTGACGGTGCTGTCCTTTCACAAACACATACTATTTCGGTTTCAGAGATGATGTATTGCCATCATTTTTCTGGCAGCGCTGTATATCGACAAGGTTGATTTATTTCCATTCAGCCCCAGAGAACCGAAACCCTCAAAGTGTAATTAAACTGCAATCATCCATCATTAGTCATGGCACGGCGGCCTGTCTCAGTAACCCTCTCTGCTCCAGATAAGAGGGGCTTTTTGCAATTTTTGGGCCAGTTGAGAGAATTTGACCCCATTTATGATGTCATAATAATGTCTGGGATCTGATTTAAAATCAGACACAGGCATGTTGAATCATTTTTCCTAAAACCGTGTGTTTTTTGTGTTATCATAAGAATCCTATAAAGTATCGAGCTACGTTCTATGTTTACACCACAAAATGTACCATTTTGCATTATTTATTTATGTCAAGTTTTTACAATTCAAGTAAGGTGTTTTTCAATATTCTTTTCAGTATTCTATTCTATAAAAGCAGTTATCTACCAGTGGATGGGCTGGTGGTTCAGTTCTTAGCTCTATGTTGAAGTGTCCTTGGACAAGCCACTGAACCAGACTGCCATCATATAAAGCCTTTTCAAATAGGATACTTATAGCAACCAAGATATAATAAGATACTCTGAAAGTGAAAATAAATTCCTAGGGTTTCATAAAGGGTGCTTAAAGAAAAAGGTTTGACTGAAGGTATTGTGTTCGATGAATTACTTTTGATCAGACTTCTCCATCATTTGGCAGTTGAGGATGTTGTTTTGTAGCAAACAACTGAAGTTGTTGGTTTCTATATTGGCTGAGTATAAAGTTCCAGCTGCTCTGGCTCCGTGGCTGTTTCCATCTCAATCTGATTCTCATAAAGCACCAGACATTGTTGTTAGCAGACGCTGTGTTCATTAAGCCGGCCTTTGAATTGTGATGAATGAGGTCTGGCGTTGTCTGGACAAAAAAATCACAAACCTCCAGACATTGCTTTGATGGCATGAATGTGTCTCTTCAAATTCCAACATATGTCATCTTAAAGTCTGACTTCTGCCCCTTTCATTGATGACTGCCTGGAAGATCTGTTACGCCATGGCACCAAGAGGAAATCTTAACCCAAAAGCAGCCAAATCTTGGACTCGTCTGGACACTAAAAACACGTATGAATTGTTTTAGATGATCTTGTCTCCAGACGCCTGAACTGTCTGGGTGGACTTATTATGAAATTTATTTTTGGAAACAACATGTGGAATAAAAATGATTTTCCAAAGTATTCTTTGTTATTATACAGACCTGAGGGACATTGTGGTTTCTTGTGTAGATATGCAAGGGGCCTGGATGGTTACACACATCCATCAGTCTTGGCCTATAAACATAATGCTCTCAGACTGGGTTACACAGTAGTGATGTCAACACACTGCAAAATTGTTTCTGGTTCAAATACCTTCATGTGCAAATGTCCCCCCTTTGCCTTTGTGGAGCAATCTTTTCTGTCTTTCTTAATTGAGTTGTTGGCATCAGAGTTTACATTTATTTAGTAACTACAGATTTAATTAAATCATTTCAGAAAAAATGGAGTTCCGGAAATTGGATATTAACCTGTAGACGCATTCTTTTGTTGTGCATTATATATATATAAGATTGATTTTTTCCCCCCGTTTGTCTTATTGATATATAATTTAGTTTTTGATGGGATTTGACTGGAATATTTGAAGATCAGAGGTATTCGGAAGTTAGCTCCACCTCTCTGAGAAATTGAATCAAGGTTTACATTTATTGTTCAATATTCTATATTTAAGAACAAAACAAAAAGTAATACAGTAAAAGTATTAAAGTATTTCTGATTCTGTAACATATGATCTAAGCTTGAAACAATCAGCTGAAAGAGGATCACTTTCCTTAATTGTTTTCGTTACATTATTCAAACTGTTCTGGGTTTAGATATTCCTGGTTTAATGTTGTTGGCTAATTTTCTTAATTCTTCCAATTTATACGCGTTTCACAACATTTGTAGGGAATATGCGTAGCTCTGTGCGCATGTTTGAAGCCCTTGAACCCCAAGATGACATCAAGGCGGAAGTGTCATGGCGCCGTGCATCGTTGTCATGCGCTGTCAGAAACTCGCACATCATACTTCATAATGACTCTCAGGCTGTGAATTATTATCCGATAAGGACCTCAGGGGAACAATAAAGTAAGTATCTGAAAAATCCCCGGAGAGCTTAAGGTATTGGTGACAGTGACACTGTTAAATAAACCAAAGTGTCACAAAGTGTCCATGTACCTGCGTGTACTGTGGCCACGTGGATATTTTGGTTAAATGTTTTCTAAGTGGACCTGAAGATTCCTGTAGAACTGCGCTGTCCGTTCGTTTGCTCTTTCCCCTTCTGCTTAATCGTATAAAATATATGTTTGTTTTTCGGAAACACATTTATTACGATGTGTATTTTCAGAAAATATTAGGAGGATCTGTGTATGTGAGATAATTCAGCTCAGAACTCATAACTAATGTCATACATGAGTGGAATAAATGTATCTAAGTACTGTCATATATATATATTAATATTTGCAACCGAATGTAATAAATCCAAGCATAAAAATGTAAAGCACTTGGACATCAGTGATTGTTTCTGCATGCACATCATTTCCTCTGAAAATACATATACAGTGGCAATTCTCTTCACTGAAACCTGTTTAAACAGAGGTGTTGACCCCTGCTTTTGCCACGTCTCAGGATGGCAGACTCAGGTGACCCACATGGTCAGCGGGCTCCAGCTCCAGGGGCCAGCAGCAACACTGGTCTGCTGGCAGGCCGCCGGCCAGCAGCCGGCATCTCTGCTGGTCGTCTCCCCTCCATGCGCTCAAGAGACCTCACCCTGGGAGGAGTGAAGAAGGTAACGAGCCAGCAGTTAAATGAGGCGTTTTCATTTTAGTGTGACCTAATAACGTCAGTCAACCCACAGAAACAAGCCAGAAGCCAGCTCAGTTAATCTCAGGATAGGCGTATAAGGACTGGCCCAGTCCTTAGTTTTCCAACAGAGAGGAATTTCCAGTTTTACTTGGCTGATTTTCAAAGGTCTGACCTTAGTTGGACTGACACATTTTTTTCTATCATCATAAACATGCTGACAATACATATGTTATATCTGTGTGTGATCTCTGTTTATGGATGTGACAAATAACAGGATATAGTCCTGCTAAACTCAATTGGCAAAGTTTAACTAGAACACTTTAGGGTGAATCGTCCAAATATTTGTCAGTGTCCAAATGTTATAAAAAAGGATTTTATATTTAAATAAACCTAACTTAAAACGTAACATGTTTCTTTTGTTTGTCTTTTTTTTTTTTTGATCAGAAAACCTTCACACCCAACATCATTGGCCGAAAAGTAAAGGAAGAGTGAGTTCATAAGTGTCCACAAACAGATGTTCAAATGTTTCTTCTTTTTTTTTTTTTGGGCACATCCAATAATACTCTCTATCTGTTGCAACAGGCCAAAAGTGGAAGGTGGGCAGAGGCGAGAGCGGAGAGATGCAGAGCGAGGCCGGGGCCCGAGGGAGCGAGGCCGGGGCCGCGGCCGCGCAGAGATCATCCAGTCCCACTCCATCTTTGAGCAAGGCCCGGCAGAGATGATGACCAAAAGAAAAGGTGGGGCCGCCACCGGATACACACTCTCTTCCCTTTAACAAGCGGAGTTGCAGTCAAATCTGTGCTTTTTTTCTTAGTTTAAGTGAATCCCATCATCTTAAACGCAGGTGGCTACGAGGGCGAGCGGGATGCTCCGAGCGCCGGACCCTCGCCCATCATCAACATCAAGAAGGAGAAGAGGGAGACGGAAGAGGAGACCAAGGAGATCCTGCGTAACCTGGAGAGAGACAACGTGAGTCCGGAGGTCCATGCCAGCCCTTTAGGTTTGTTTGCCGTACGCAGTCCGTGACGGTGACTTTTTTTCTCTGTTTTTCTCCTTTTAGTTCATCGATGACCCGTTCCTGAGGAGTGAGCAGAGGAGCTGCCCCGTGCAGCTCCCGCTGGCCGTGTCCGGATGGGGATTCAAGGAGGAGTTCAGCAATGCTGCGCCTAAAGTTGAGAAGACAGAGGAAGATGGTGAAGGCCCAGAAGCTGCAGTTAAAGGTAGCTTCAGATTTAGCTTGTCCTTGTTGAAGGTAACGGCCTCTTGGTTGAGAATCTCTTGGAGTAGCGTGTTAGACAGGACACCGCCCTAGCGTCCCGTCCACCGATGCCCAGCTGCTTTCTCTGAAACGCCTTGCTTTGTTTTCCAGTCAAACAGGAGCCAGAGGAGGTGGAAATAAAGAAGCCCGAGGCCGCCTTCCGGCCTCCTCCGCTCCCAGAGCCCGACGTTCTCCCCGAGCTCCTGAAGCGATGGAGTCTGAGTAAAGAGGAGGAGCTGTTTTTCATCCAGCTGCCCGACTCGCTGCCCGGCCAGCCTCCCACCATAGAGCACCGGCCAGTGAAGACGGAGGTGAAGTCGGAGGACGGACAGTCTGTGCTCCTGAAAAAGGAGACAGAGGTAAGTGTTGCTGGTTTCCTGACGCGGGTTGCCCCTAGTTTACGCGGGTAAACTTATTTAGGTGTTTTCTAACAGGACGAGGAAGCCGAAGACAACAGCTGCAGTTTGAAAGATATACGGGAGGGTTTAATGGGAAAGATGCTGGTGCGGAAGTCTGGACGTGTCCAGCTCATACTGGGACAAGTCACACTGGACGTGGCTCTGGGAACATCTTGCTCTTTCCTTCAGGTGCGGTAAACAACCGATCTCTTTGTTTGCTTAACTCCTGTGTTGTTCAAATCATGTACTAAATCTTTTTTTCAAATACTAAAATTCCTAAATTGCCCTTCTCTCCTTTTAGGAGCTGATCTCAATCAATACAGAGGGAAAAACGGGCAGCTTAACTGTATTAGGGAATGTCCAACACAAGATGGTTTGTTCCCCAGACTTTGAGTCTCTGCTGGAGAAGAGGTCTTGATGTTGGCTGGACGAGGAGGCTTTAGCTGTCTCTGACCGATGGTTGCACTTATGACCACGCTGACATATTAACTGTATGAACTTATGCTTTAGATACTAACACCTCAAAGAAATATCATGGTAATTTATTGTCCTTTTTATTTTCAGAGTAGCCGAATATGAATATGTCTATATACACTAGTTTGAAATACGAAACACATTGCAGGTTTATTGGTACCATGAATTTATGGTTCATGGCTTGAAGGCAGTGCCAAGTTTGTTTCGAAATGACAAGCTCGCATCCAAGATTACTTGAAACAAAATGTACATTAATGTAAATGTGTGAATAAATAGGTTGTTGTTAATTCAGCATGCCAGATCTTTTCAAAAGGCTGGTTCACTTGAAAAACGAAAAGCAAAAACGTATTTCCATTAGTTCTTCTCATTTATTTTCAGTACGTGGTTCAAACTATGCAGAAACTCTTGGATTTACTGTGTTTACATGTGAGATATCCATTATCAGTTTTTTTTGTTTTTGTTTATGTGAACTGGGACAATGAACAATTCTGTTGGATAAATAAAGAAATGTTGCATAATTTAATATTTTCATTTAGTAAATTTGTCAGCAACTTTGATTTTGTAAAAGTGTGCTTTCATAAGCACATTTGAATAAGCAAAAGACAGATAATGTCCTACTGAACACGTCAACAGCAGATTAAAACATGCATTATTTTTTTATGTCGAAACTGGAAAAGAAAGTACAGTCCGACAGGGGGGAAAAAGGAAGCTAACTTTTACCCAGTAAAGCTTAGCTACGTTGATTCGTTTCTGAAAATGAGCTATTTTAGAACTATTTAAAATCGACTGCATTGTGTCACTTAGGCCACCAGGTGTCAGTACAGGTCTGACTTCTCTTTTTTGTACGGGATTTGGCCACGGCTACTTGTTCCTAATACGTAGGCTGCGAGCTCGAGACCGCCCGTAGCGCGCTCGTGCTGTCCGGCGGGTGGAGTTTGGCTACAGTCCGCGAGACAAAGACAAAAGTGATGGACGGGCGAAAGCCGACGCCGGACTTCCAGTAACTGCAGGTTCGTTCGATAATTAGCCCTTTAAGCTTTCGCGCGTGGCACAGCGGCTGTCCGCCGGCAGTTTAGTTCTCGTGCCAAATCCTCTAAAAGGTTTGCTCAGCATGTCTAAGAGGGATGGGGGCAGGCTAACGTTAGCCGAGCGAGCAGCGGCACCCCGACCGACCGGATTCAGCACAGCCGCTAGCGCGGAGGCTACGAGCTAATTTCGGCATCAAGCTTCAATTGGTCCGTGTGGGTTTTCGAGTCTTCAGCTTTCCGACACGACACCGGTCTCTGTCTGGCTGCCTTTCTCCGTGTTTTCGAGTTTGGGGTCAGCTTTATTGTTGTTGAAAGATGCGTCCATCTGTTAGCTGTTTATGTGCGTGGCGTTAACGGGGATGGGACCCGTTAGCCCTCCCGCTGCATCGGGAGGGTTTGGGGATGGAGGGCCTCCAGCTAACGTTATCACTCCACCGCAGCGACATTTGTTTATCGTACGTGGTTCGTCACAGGAAAGAGACGCGTGCCCCTTTTTACACTTTTCAACAACATCCCGTTTATGTCAGAATACGCGGAGGCTAGCATTGAGTTTGAACGCCGGTATGTGAAACGTGTACAGGACACGCACATAAGGCGTCGTTTTTAGTTTAACCTGAGCACCTGAGCGGGACATTACACTGTAATGTAGATGGTCGTGACCCTTTGTTTGCACATCTTTGCAGATATCTGTGCCACGGAGCTGGGAAGCCCCCGGACCTCCAGGCCAAAGGACCACCTGCTGTTTCCAGTTGTTTTTGTTTTTACATCTCTGTCACCAGTGGGGCTCTCCTCCCAATAGCAAAGGACATCTGTACCAAGGACAGACTGTTTTTTTCTTCTAAACTCCGCCTCCCTTTTTACTGGATTTATACATGCTCCAGTTCATGGTGAAACTAATTAAATTAACAGATAATGCCCAACAGGGCAAATTCAAGATGATAGCTTGTACTTCTAGTTTGTCTCCATTCAGTGGAAGGAGAAACTCGATTCCCTAGTTATCTGGATGAAGGCTACTTTGTGACAAGATAAGGGCCACTTGAGGCCAGGAGGTGGAGTCGTGTGCCTCCTCTCACATCTTCTCGACCCAGAGATTCAGCAACTTGACAATTTGAATTGCTCTTTCGTTGGACAATGGAGCTCTTCTTCAACCCATTTGACAACCTGGTGTGCATCCTCCTGGGCATCTCCTTCACCGTGTGGTTCACCCTGCTGCTGGTCTTCATCATTGTGCCTGCCATTTTTGGGGTGTCATTTGGCATCCGGCGTCTGTATATGAAAACACTGCTAAAGATCTTTGGGGTAAGAGCCTGTTGCCTAACGGCAGTTTGTTGTCTGTTTTCAGAAATGACTAAACTGCAAGCTGCTGTTTGATTTGGCAATAGTGGTAAATTATGAAATGTCACACACAAAGTGATAAATGTGTCTTTTAGTGCATGCACAAACACTGGAGTCTTGTGCTGGCCAGAAACACCACAATTTGAAGCTGGACTCAGTTTATTAAAAAGTTACTTAATGAATTGATAAAGATAGATTTCACCACGTTGTTGTTAAAGTAGGTTCTAGGGATTTAAGTCTATCATGTGTATGGCTCAAGGCATGGGTTGGGAGCTTGTGCTCCTTTTTCACATCCAACTGGCAGCTGATACAGATTAACATCACTTCCAAAGGGTATTCTCCTGGTGTTATGTAACCCAAGAAAACTGAGCCACAGCCATTGTTAAAAACTCTTGGCTGTGACATGGCGTTTATTTTTAAGTGGTTTGATGACTTATCACTTTGAAGAAATGAGTGTGAATCACCACTAAAGACATTATTTTTTTTGCTGCTCTGCACAAGTCACAAAGTTTTCATCATTTTCCATCACGTTCCTCTGAGAGCAAGTCTTACGCCAGAAATAAATGAACCAGTGGGACTCACAAGAGATGTTCTCAACTCCCAATTCTGGTTGCTTCGCTGAGATTTGGAAAAAGGTCAAAGGAAAACAGACAGTGTTGAAGTGGGGTCTGCATGTCTAGCAGCACAGTTAAGGCCCTTTTGTGATGGATTCAGACATCCTGTCACATAATTGTTTTTGTTCTTGGCTGTAAGTCAAGTCTTATCAGAGTTTAAGATGTTCCTTTACAGGACACACAGAACTGAAAGTCTTCCCTTCACAAGTTGTTCCTGCAGCTAAACACTAAAGCACAGTGAACTGTCATTACTGTGTTCTACTTTTACATTAAGAAGCTCTGTTTTCTCTCTAGTAACCACTGTAGTCAACTGTAACTGCATTTTTGTAGAATGACTCATACAACCTGTCATAACATGATCTATGGGTAGCCGTATTATTAGGCAAGCCTGATTGAATAGTGATTGAAATGCTGTTGCTGTGCTTGCACAATTATTTCAATGTCAGCTCCTCCATACACATTCTTAATTTGAACTTTCAAAAGAGGCATCGTTAAAACATTCACGTTTCATTATAAAAACAAATAGAAATAAATAAATACAAATGTTATCGTCTACAGTGAGATTTGCAGCTCTAAGTTGCAGCTCTGTCCCTCTTGCCTTATCCGAACATTGTTTGAATATCTTTACAAGTGTCCCCAGCTAATTCTGTTCATGACATCTACAAACTCCCAGGGTTAGCATTACTGTACTTGTGGATATTCACGAGCATGCAACTGTCACGGAGTGTCAGCTTCTTATGGCCTATGATCTGAAAGGAAAAACAACAACTTTGAAGGTGGCCTGTGCTGTTACCGTGCGGTGGGAGGCTGTTGGCTAAATAAAACTCGTCCAGCCTGTCTCAATTCATATCTTCCGGGTCCTTACCGCTTGCCGTGGAGCTGGAAGTACACTATGTCCTTTTCCTTTTCCCGATTTTCAGTTTCTTTTTGTTTCAACATGCAAAGCGCTCTTAGAAAAGACGAGGGTTTTTCTTTATCTGAAGATAAAAGGTTTATAATGATTGTGGTCAAATTCATTTCAAAAGTTGAATATTTTCTCAAATAATCTCCCAGTCTTTCGAAGCATTTGGGAGTCTGTTTAATGCTCTGTGCTGGAAGCAGTGTAGAAACTTTAAAACCATATAATATAAATGTACATAAACAATACAAAATACTGTTTTTGATATGAGTATCTAAATATTTATTATATCTGTTAAACAAAAGTGTCTATTTTTGTTTCTTCTCTCTAGTGGGCCACGCTCAGGATAGAGAGAGGGGCCAAAGAAAAGAATCACCACCTGTACAAACCTTACTCGAATGGTGAGGGGTACTATCTTTGTCTGTTTGCGGGATTGCTATATGTGTTTGCTTTATTTGTGATGGTAAATGTCGGTTTGCTCTGTTTTAGCTATCATTGCAAAGGAGCCCACCTCCTTGGAGGAGGAGATCAAGGAGATCCGGCGGAGTGGCAGCAATAAAGACCTGGACTCGGCCCCTGAGTTTGAGATGTCTGACATTTTCTATTTTGCTCGACGAGGAGTGGAGAGCATCATGGATGATGAGGTGACAAAGAGGTTTTCTGCTGAGGAGTTGGAGTCCTGGAATCTGCTGACCCGCAGCAACTACAACTTTCACTATATCAGCCTGAGGCTGACTGTCCTATGGGGGCTGGGCCTCCTGATCCGATATGGCTTCCTGCTGCCTCTCAGGTATGTTTCTAACAGCTAAAGCAACACTTTTCTGAAACCTCCAGATGTGTGCTTGACATAAATAATGCTGTGATGAGAAAAAATACAGGCTTATAGTCAATGTATTGTTTGAAGCTGCCGCCATGGTGAGACCTGCTGTGTTGTGGAGTGCTTTTGTCTGGGTTTTATGAGACTGGGGATGACATGGGCTGACATAAGTCTTTCAGAGGTAAAGATGGGGAGGGATTAAGTATTTTGTAAGTATTTCACTAAACTTAGATTTATTAGGAAGAACCAGATGTTTTGAGTCTTGTTTTGGCTATGATAACTAACATTATGTAAACTTTTACACTATCATGGGTCTAAAAATCTAAGCATTGATAGATACTTAATTTATCCCAAAAGTACACTCAGCTGCAACACAGAGCATAAGTTGTGCCAATATTTTTATGAATAAAGTGACTTAAGTGCAGCTTTAACCTGGACGGCCATCCTGCAGGTTTCAAAAGCCTGTCCCTCTGATGGTAAAAAACAAACAAACAAGGATTTTTCTTTAAAAGAGAAGCACACATCATGCATTGACTTCAGTATCAGTTTATAGTTTCCAAATAACTGAAGGAATTAGCTCAATCATACAACTAGCTGTCTACCATTGTCACTCACAAATAGCAGCTGGATTATTTAAAAAACATTGTATTCTGTTATCATTGTTTTTCACACTGAGCTCCAGAGCTTCACCAAAGAAACTCTGGGGAGTATAAATAAAACTGAAACAGTAGTTCTTACTCTTCAGAAGGCCACTGTGACAGTGACACTGGTAATTGTTGAACAATGTTAAGGAAGTTACAGCCTCTAACAAAATGGTTGGTTGTTAGGTACTCGGGTAGTTTTTGCGTCCTGCAGATGAGATGCAGATGGATTTAGAGGAACGTTAAGGTATAAAGTGTGTCATTGGGGAAGTGCTCTGGTCACACAGTTGTTCATCAAACCAGAGGGGATCTAGCTGCAACTAAACGTAATAGTGAACACTGACTGGAAACAAAGTGTCCAACTCGGATGACGGGTATGTTATTGACTAAAGGAGCAGATCAAAGTGTCAACACAGAAATGGGGAAGGAGAAAAAAACTATTAGAGCTGGCTTTGATGTTGTGGTGTCAGATACAAACAGCCATGCCACCCTGTTTTCTGAATTAACTGTTTGTTAAAATTTTGTTGTAAAGGTTTAAATACGTTTTTATTGGACAAACACTTGACACACTTTTGCATGTTTTGCTGTCTGGGATCACAGAGGTGAAAGTTGTGTTGAATTGATGTTTGTGAACTCATTTGAGCTTTTTAACTTAAGTATTTGATAGCACTTCAGCGTGGATCTTTATGATGCTTTCACAGCATGTAGTTTGAAAGCGCTCCGTAACACACAAGTGGCAGTTTCTCACTGAGACTGAAAGAGATCAGGCTCATCAGAGTCACTGGGACAGTGACTCAGTATTAAGCCTGATTGGCTCATGTCCAGCTGCCAGTGGAGAGACCAATCAGGCCATGGCTGCACAGATGGACACCATTTAACCCTCCTTCAGCACCTATTCAGAAACATAATCATCAGACACAACACTCACACTACCTATTTATCTCTGAATGTATCCAGTATCTTCTCTACTATGAAAAAGGAAATTACAATGTAATTATAGTTAGAATGCTGTCTGACTGAACCCAAACTTTTAAAATGTGTGTAAACATGTTAGTATAATGCTTTCCTAAACTGTGCAAACTCAAACGGATTATATTTTTGTACAGTAAAGTGTACTAGGACACGAATGGTACAACATTATTTACAACCTTTGCATGTGCAATAGGTGGTTACATTCTTTGTGAAATTCATGTGTACTGAAAGGTATTCTGATTCAAATTTCTAATGTATATGTCTCCTCACAGGGTGACCCTTGCCTTTACTGGTGTAGGTCTCCTTGTTTTCCTCACTTCTATCATTGGGCTGCTGCCAAACGGAGGGTGAGATGGCTCACAAGAACTTTGTTTAAACTTCTGCAAACCTTATTCTCAGACCTGGGAATGTGACCATGCTGCTTTATATATCTGTTATTACAGGATGAAAAATTTCCTGAGCGAGAAAGTACATCTGATGTGCTACAGAATATGTGTCAGAGCTCTGACTGCCATCATAACCTACCATGACAGGTAAAGAATCTGCCTTTTCCAGGTTATGCAACTAATAACTCTCACTGCATGTTGGTCATCTTTTACTTAAACATTTCATAGAAAGTGAACGTGTCCAGAGATGGTAGAGAAGATCACACCTCCCCCTTTTCGGTGAAGATAAAATATGGAGTTAGTAGATCATTGAATCCAACAGATGTTGTTATTCTTTCCAACATGAACCACAGCCAACCTCACTCCCAGACGGCTGCGGCGTCTGCACCAGATTATGTAACTGTAGATGAGTTATGCTCTGAGAACAGAAAAATGTCCGCTGTTGCCATCTATGCCCCTTGAGTGTTAGAATGAAAGCCCTAGTGCCTCAACCAAAGCCATATCAACTCGTGGTTATTGCAGTAGCTACGTTTAGCCTAAAATAAGCTTAAAACCTAGTAATATGTTCTTACACACAAAGAAGTTGCCTGAAGCTGCAGTTTGTGTTGCCATTTATCCAAAGTATTGAAGCTATTCACTGTTGTCTTGTCTTTTAAGTGAGGTGTCCATGTTTATTTAAATGTTGCAAGGGACAATTTCTTTCATAAGACACATGAAACAACAGGCAAGGCTTTGATGGATTTAATAACAGTGAAACAGGATATAGAAGAGGAAGTTGATGCATTGTGTGCTGGCTCATAAAATACAGGCTATTACAGCTGGTGGTGTATTTTGTTGAAGACTCCATATATGCTCAAATATGTGCTTGAAGTACAAGAATATTCTTATTTTGAAATCAGGATTTTATTGGAATCAATTAGAGAGATTAAAATTCATTAACGGGCACCTATAAATGACAAAAATAAGAGGTGCATCATTTCTTGTGACTGACAGAGGGCGCTGGTTATTGGGGCACTGGGGGGAAACATTTAAAACGTGTGGAACATGTTCCTCTCCAGTGTGGTGTTTAAAAATAATCAGCTGACATAGGAAGTGTTGCTCTCTCTATTTAAGATTGTAACTTTATCTTTGGAATGTCTACTCGGTCCTACATGCTCTGTGGGACCTTTGATCAGATACACTATGGGTTGTTTTTTTTTCTTCCAAGAACAGTCAGACAGACAGTAAACCAAACTATTCCCAATTTATTAAGTATGACAGCACACTGAATAATTTGACACCGTCTCACACCACATGGTGGTAGTCTTTGACTATAGATTCCTCATGACATGTTTCATAACACAAAATGAGACCTTTTTTACTTTTCTCTGCCATCCTAGTGAAAACAGACCCAAGAATGGAGGCATCTGCGTCGCCAACCACACATCACCGATCGATGTCATCATTCTGGCCAGTGACGGCTGCTACGCCATGGTACCTTGATTACTGTCTTTTCTAGCTGAAAAAAGAACTGACATTCAGGCTGTTTGGATTGCAGTGTTCAGTGTTGCATTTGTTTGTGTTTTAAGGTTGGCCAGATTCATGGTGGCTTAATGGGGGTCATTCAGCGGTCTATGGTGAAGGCCTGCCCACACATTTGGTTTGAGCGCTCAGAAGTAAAAGACAGACATCTAGTGGCCAAAAGGTAGCACTGCAGTGTGTGTTATTCCGTTTCTGTTTTCCATTGATATTAATAGTAAATCCCTGTTCTCCCACGTCCTGTTTTTGGCTCGGCACAGTTAATCTTTTTCAAGTTTTTGTTTCCATAATGATATATGTTAAAGTATTGTAATTAAAAATGTCTGAATACTTTTGTAATGGCCTACATGTTACATTTCAGATTGAGTGACCATGTAGAAGACAAATCCAAACTCCCCATTCTCATTTTCCCAGAAGGTGAGCCTCTTTGGCTGTCTGTTACAAATGAAATAATCTCTTACAGATAAAAACAACTTACTAAAAATTTTTACTAGTTTTCTTTGAAATGCCTTTTAAAAAAAATCTTGTTTTATCCACATTTTAAATTCTCAGGGACCTGCATAAACAATACTTCGGTTATGATGTTTAAGAAGGGGAGTTTTGAGATCGGGGCCACAGTCTACCCTGTGGCCATTAAGGTATGAGCTAGTTATGGTTACATTTGTTTTCTTGCTCCTATCCGTATCTGTATTTCTTGAGTTTGTACACGTGTATTGATGATAGATCCTGACATGTTCCTCAGTACGATCCCCGATTTGGTGACGCTTTCTGGAACAGCAGTAAGTTTGGAATGGTCAACTACCTTTTACACATGATGAGCAGCTGGGCCATCGTCTGCAGCGTGTGGTACCTTCCTCCCATGTCCAGAGAGGTCAGGCTGCAAAAATACCTTATAGCTTCTTATTTTTAAGTTTTCCAGTCTGGGTATTTTATTCTTCTGTACATTTATATAGCCCAACTTCCAATACGAACTCCAGAGTTTGGGTTTATCATGACTGTTTTCTCTTAGTATAGCATCAGAGAAGTGACTTTGTATTTGCTAAAGATTTTGGAGGTGGTCATTTCATGTCACGCCTAACATTGTGTTTGTGTTTGGCTGCATTGTGTTCATACATGTTGTCTGTAACAGGAAGGAGAGGATGCTGTTCAATTTGCCAATCGTGTCAAAGCAGCCATAGCCAGGCAAGGTGGACTGGTTGATCTCTTGTGGTAAGGGGCCCTTTTCACGATCACTTTGCAGAAAAAGTGATGTTATGATACAATTTTTTTATGTATTTTTTAAATCTTTTATTGTATGTCTTTAAAAAAGCACCTCATAGAAATATATAGAAGATGACACTGGAATCTACAAATCTTCCTGTTATCTATGAATTTCAAAAACAAGCTCTTTCCCCCTTACAATGCTTGGTGCTAAGAACTTTCTGAAAGAAATTTGCTTGGACCATGTTGGCAGGCAACCAGTTGCCTCCAACAGTATGTTGTTATTTGCAAATAATATCTATATTAACTTGAAAATAGTAGTCACATAAAAATTCTAGAAATTCCGAAGTATGCCAGTCCCAGGCAAAGAAGGGATGTACGGTAGATCATGGTAAAAGAGCCCAGAATGTGACTGTAGCATGTTGACCTAGTCTGGATTAGAGTCTGGCCTCTTTTTTAAAAAAATCTCTGATACCCTGATGTTTGCACGGCTTTTTTAATTTTGGTACAAATAGTATTTTGACATTTTATTATGTAATTTAATCGTTTTTGGGGGGTTGAGTTGTATTGAGAAAGAAACGTATCTAATCAGCATAGCTAACTGTGCATTAACTGTTTCAGGGATGGAGGATTGAAACGAGGAAAGGTAAAAGATACCTTCAAAGAGGAGCAGCAGAAGCTGTACAGTAAAATGTTGGTGGGTACCCAGGAGGACCGCAGCCGGTCCTGAAACTCTTTTATGGAAATGGACTTGCCCAAAGACCCACCAGATCATGGCTGACTACACGGCCGGTCAGAAGTGGTCCCTCACTACTGGAGCAGCTGGACTGGAAATTTTCTCCCTGATGTCAACTGTTCTCCATTTGGCTTTCTCGATCACTGTCTCAGCATGTTAAGTTGCATTGCTGTTGGAATAGCTTGACTGGAGCCCTGCTTACATTAGAAATAAGAGGGCGTGGGCACAGAAAGTCTTCCTTGGTCGCTGTCCTTTGAGGGGAAAACGTGTGGTCATCTCTTCTTTGAGTTACTGTCTGTGTTTGATAGTTGCAATTTTAATTTTTAACACTCATATTTGTATCACAGTATTTTTAAGTTACACACCATCTTAAACCCAAAATATACAGGGAGAGTTATTGTAGATCAAATCCAAGTTGTTTTAAATCTAAAATATATGGCTGAGTTTGGGTTTTTCATGGCTGGCTAGCAGCTACATTACAAGGCAAAATGCCAGAGGTGGTACATTTCAGATATTTTTATGGGCTTTTTCCAAGAGAAAAACTATCCTGTCTTTTAAGAATTGTGTTTTGCATTAAGACTTGTGTCAACATTGGGTCACAATAGGAATTGTACTGCAGATGAGTTCTTGATGAGCTGTTTATTTCTGCTTTCCATGGAATGTGTAATCCTTCACATTATGATGTGGAAACTGTTCACCAGCAGTTACCGATGGGAGGCTTTTATGCAAAACCCCTCTTCAAATCAATAATATAATGCACACCTGGAGTAAAGCTTTTTAAAGTCTTTTGATGAGGCATCTCAGTGGTATGCTCTTAGGCCTACTGAGCACAGGTAACGGCGTAGGATTAAGTTAATCACAGCTGGTCTCCTGCCTGAAACATAGTTATAAACTCATGTTTTTCATCCAAATCTACTTCCAATCAGACAAGTTTCTATTGGCTTCCTTGCTTGTGCAGTTACCATTCTGCCTAATTTATTTTAGATTCAACAAAATGCTATTTCCTTTATGTCCCCTCATTAACCCCCCCCCACTCCTACTCAGCTTCAAAATGTCTCAAGGAGAAGCTGTAGCTGTAGTTTGGAGCCTGCAATCGGCTGGAGGCGACGCAGTGGACAGCCCAGAGGCCCTTAGCTCACTCATGAGGTGTTCACAGGGCTCTTCATCTAGATTGTGTCCAAACAGTTCAACAATAAATGTTCAAGAATGTGATTCTACTTTTGACTTCTGGATGTTTTTTATGTTTTTTTTTGTGCTTCCTTACAGCTGCTGTTGTAACAAAGAGGTTTTGCCATTTTATCATTTAGCATCTGCTAGGAAGATTTGTTTTTGCAGAGCTTCATTTGCTTGTCTCTGCATGACTTACTAACGTTTTCTCTCGAACTAGAGCACAATCCCACATTCAGGTTGACAGTATTGTGCTTGTTTTTGATAGATTTAAATCGTGGCTAAGTAAGTTTTCCTACTTTGGAAATGTGTTTCATCCCAAACCCAGGCATGTCTCAGAGGTAATAAACCACTGTGGTGTCCTCTAAGAGAAGTTTCCCTTAACTAATCACGGTGGCTTTCTGAGGCGTCTTTGTCGCAGCAATTCACATTGTACTGTTGACATTGATGGATAAAGCCCATAGTCCTTGGTGGAGGAGTGAGAGGAAGCAGAGAGACGAGCTCAAATGGTTGGTTGTGTAACTCTTGCCATGGTTCACAGCTCAGTAGCTGCTCTATGGAGAAACTCGGGCAGGAGCCCAAACATCCCTCAGTCTGGGCTTTACCCTGTCCAGGAACCCAGTCCGCTGGTTGGCACAGGTTCTACACATGCATTATTCAGGCTGTGCTGGCTCCAGCAGGTAGTGCTGTCTGTAAAAGTCATGTAATGGTGACTGAAAGCTGAAGGAGCGCTGCATCATGAACAAACAACCCTTCCTCTCACACTTAAATGACTGGGATACGGTCAAATAAAGAAAATCCCTCCTGTTCAAAACATCTTGATGCTCGTCAGTACAGTGAAACCACGCTGTCCCCTGCAGAGCAAAGAGTTTCACATGAAGAACATAACTTCCTGTTCTGTAGACTGGGGTTGTAGTAAGCTGAGCACCTAGTTTAGAACACATTCCTTGGATGGTTAAGATGCACGTTTAGGTAGCACAAGTTATTTTAGAGAACACAAACAAACCTGGTTTGTGGTGCCAAAAGACTAAACGTTTAACCATTTCAGGTATTTAAGGAGGTAATACAGCAATATTAGTTTAATGAGGCAGCCTTAATACGACCTGAGATTTGGAGGCTGAAGTTTGATTTTATTTGGGGCTGCTGCAAAGTTTCCAGATGGCCCTCTAATGAGGGATGGGGGGGCATGTTCCGCCGCGAAGGGGCGGAGCAGCGGGAGTTCGTAATTCAACACTGACAGCTTGATCCGGTTATTTGAGCGCTTGCGAAGGCGGCAACAGATGCCCCGACCTGGCTGTTTTAGTCCCTTAAGAAGCCACTAGTCCAATTAACACAGAAGGGGGGAGGAAATCCGCGCATGTCGGCGCCGAGGCAAAGTTCCAGCGGCGGGGCTTGACGACGACTATGACCAGAGCTCCGGTGTGGGATGTCGAGTTTTATACGACAGCCCGCCATCAGGGTTAGAGTCGGAGCGCAAGAAAAAACGCAGCGCCAGTGAGATGCGGGAGTATTTTAGGCGATAGCTGGCAGACGCGATTCGGGCTCACACGGTAAGCCTTGATAAGCCCCCGGAGAGTTGCTGCCGTAGGCCTGCCCGCCGGCTGCGCGCGCGCGCGTCATCTTCAAACGACACGGAGTTTCCTCGCGGACCGTCTGTCTGTCAGAGCTGCTCGTTAACATGGAAACGTTCACTGATGTGCTGCTCGTCACGGCCAACGTCGGCTCCCTCTTTGACAATGTAAGTAAAGAAATGAACGTGCAGCGACAACTGTAACCCCGCCGCAGAACTACCAGAGGATTAGGCTTAGTTTGCGGAAGAGGTATAGTAAGTTTTTTTACCTTTTTAGGGAGCTTCCTTGCTAGCCTACACCTTTGCCTTGGTCGTAACTGCTGTGACGTTGTCGTTCGCCCTTTGAGTTTATTTACACGCGGTAATAAATACGTATTATGGGCGTAACACCTTTAGTGCCTGGCTGACGGTAACCAGGCTCCGCTTGGCCGTTTTTTGGCCCCCCCCCCCCCGCTATGGCTGTGTGAAGAAGTGCTAGCAGAGTCTTTATTACCTGTGTCTCCACTCACGTGACCAGGTCTCTGTTAGAGTTCAGAGCTAAGACGAAAACACACGCTGACTGACACCGAAATGTGATGTCAACAAAAAGAGAGAAATAGCTTTTAAAAGTATTAAATAGCACCCCCCCCCCCACACACGATGTCTAAAAGATGTGTCTATTTTTCAATAACTTTATATCCTTGTTTACTTTAGTTGAATTAGATATCTTCAGAGTAAACTGAAAGTTGATGGAAAAATTGTTTATTGTATTTCCTTCCAGGTTGAATCAACGTGTTGGAATATTAATAGAATGAAATAACCTAGCACACCAAATGTAGAAGGTACACCTTTGATTTGCTTCGTTCATCTCAAAGAATATCAACATAATTTCAACATAAAAAATTGTAATCTCCCTTTGGAGATGAAAACTGACATGAGTTCACCAGTTCAATTCACTTCACTTCAGTGATATTTATATAATGTGAACACATAACAAATGTCACCTTAAGACCTCAAAGACCCAGTCAGGTTGTAGTGCAATTAAGCATTATAAATCATCATTCAAGCATATCAAATTAATCCCAATCTAAATGTGTCCCATGTGTGTAATGCCAGTGCAAAGTATGTGGCCTAATGAAACCAATACAGAAGTGCCGTCTCAACATTGTCAAATGCTCTAAAATGCCAACGTATTTTAAGCCATGAAAATCACTGCTTTTGATGACAGCTCAAGGAAGTTTTGTGTTACCTATTAGTCGATTTATGGTATTCTTATCATTCAATATGGCATTTACAGCTCCACTTGCATCACTTTATTGCTATACGGTGATGTAAGTTAGTATCTATAACCCCAGTGTAGATGTTGTACCAACCCAAAGTAAATTCACATTCATGCTACACTAAAGGAGTTAGTCTCTTTTCTGGCTTGTTTAAGCATGTCAAGAAAGATTTTTTTTTGGCCCGTGTTGGCTTGACTAAACTTTTAGATGTCGCTGGGAGGAGGGCTTTTACAGTCATGGAAATTTGGCTCAGGACCATATTTCCGTTTGGCAGAGCAGGCCCCAGTGAAAACATGTAAGATCCAATTGTTGTAAACAGATGACTATCTACCCCCAGGGAGTTGAGCTTTTTTACTTACTTAGGCCCCTCTATTTCTATAAACAAACGCTCCTGAACAATGACGCAGAATAGGAGTAGGATCTTAAGCACAGCAGGATGAACCCCATTGCTTTACGGTACTAAACTAACAAAGACAAGTCAAAGCAACTCAACAAGCACAGACTGCTGCTCAGTACCACTTTATTGTGTCTAATGTTGTTTTTGTTAAGCTTGACTATGACTATGCTGAGTTGAGAAGGCTAATTGTGTCTTTTTGTGTCTTTTGTTCTACATTCGTAGACATGTTGCCTAACACAGTGATAATGTTTGACACTATTGTCACTATGTCTCATTCCTGGATGGTAAATGGCAGATGTTGCTTTTTTCAAATTCACCTATTGAATTCCATATTTAAGCACAGATACATCTGATCTGCAGCTTAGATAGATAGTCAGTCAGTCAGTCAGTCAGTCAGTTGTTTTTTTATATTTGTTGCTATAAGGACAGAGCCAGTGGCCCTGCTTTTGTGTTTTCTAAACGTTTAAATACACCTGTGGTTGGAGCCAGAGTAATGGAATACTTTTCTCTCTAGGTCACCAAAACTGAGCTGCAGTCATCATGCAAAAACAATATGCAAAGCCTTTTCTCTGGTCAAATGAAATGTCGACCCGTCCCTGCAGAGGACAATGACAGGCAGTGGTTGTTGAGTTAGAAAAATAAGATCATTCTTTCATAGTTGCATACCAACAAATCTTGCTACATCTTTCCCTGAATTAAATCAGCCATTGTTGACTGTACATTTAAAGTGGAATGATAGCTACTGCTGTTTTGTCTGTCATTTCCAAGGTTAACTGATTAGCTAAACATGAATCAAAAGGTTGTGTATCCAATCAAGAATGCAGATATAGAGCTGTGAATACTTGTTCTATTATTGAAGTCTGCTTATTCCAAACTAAACAATTCCAAACTAAACAGTGTTGCTGATTGCTGTGTGCTCATATACCCAATGCCCTCTTTCTTTCTACTTGACCGAAAACCCACCATTCACTATGAATTGTTTGTAATTGCTTCACAGATGTCATTGAGAAATTGGTCAAATTGTAAATTCTTCTTCAGGTGTTTTCAAATCAGACGACCATCTCAAACAAACCGGCAATAAAATACACGGGATAATGTTTCCACATAGTCATTTAATATTGTAAGAGGTCATGAATTCTGACTTCCTGACTTCCATGTGATCTGTTTGGCCATCAGCTGCCTGCATTTTTAATGCATAACATGGAAACTTATATAGATGTTTTATGTTTGTTTAACACAGACAGTCCCCAGTGTGGAATTGACAATTCATAATTTTTTTTCCTTAAGATGAACAGTCAGCTGTTTTATTCATATCAAATGTAAGCAAATATGCAGCTTGCTGTTAAATGTCACTGTGTCATTCTAATACCTCTCACAAATGTTAAAAAAAGCAGACATTATATTGAGCCTTATGCCTTGCCCTTCAGTTCTCGGACAGTGTTGTCTGTCATCTGGATAGTGGGCCACCCTGCCATCGTTTCAGTGTGTTTTTTCTGAAACTGTGTACATTTATAGAGTCGATTGTGGTGCATTATCATTAACTCCATCCTACCACAAAGACGTTTATCCAGCTTTCTGTTTAGCTGCCTTACTATTTGAACAATATGTTTAAAGAGTTTAGTACTTATTGGTGGGGAAATCATGCAAAAATAAGTGATTACTTGCTTTCAGTCATGTTCATTGTGGTTTCAATCAGCAGATATGAAAGAACACTCACTGGCTGTAAAGTAGAGATTTTTGTGGCTACCATAGCTTTCGTTACTTTCCTGAAACCTTCTGGAGAGGTGGGAGTGTATAAAGTTGGTTACAGTCTGCATTTTTGCTGCTAAATATCAGACTTCTTCCCACACACTTGACCTCTATAGCTACTCATAGAAATCCCCAAAGATATGTGCTACATGCCTCTGCAGTCTCCAAATAGCCCTACTGAGCATGCGTCAGCCCATTGTTTTAGCTCTCTACTCTCACATTAGTTACATGAGTCTGAATGACTATGCAACAATAACAAAGGTAATTCCCGATTTTTTCATCCTTCCAGTCCATAATCACACATTTGGTCTTGGATGTTGCTCATTTCAGACCACAAGCAAGCATATCAGTATTTTATTTATTTATAGTCCCAGTATGGCTGGAGTGTATTCCAGATGCATGGTGAGAAACTGAGTATTTCCTGTATTCCTGTCCAATAGACCACAAACATTCCTTTTATGTTATTTGAAATCGAGATGGATGTGTTTACAATAATATTAAGATTGATTTCCTAGGTATTCTTGTGTGTCATTATCAAAAACAGAAAGCCAGATTACATTTCTTTAGTTATTTTTGTCAATGTTACCACAGCCACTTATTGTTTCCTTGCTTTTTCTTTCATTAAACAAACAAATATGACTTATTTTGACTCCTTAAAATTGAATAAATTGGAATCCCTTATGTGATGTGTACAAGATAAGCCTCACTTAACCTGCATGATTACGTTTAATAAACTGCATGCACACAGATGTGTGTGTGCTCTGTCAGATACAGCACGTCTCCTCAGTCAGAGGTCTCTTAAATCACCTTTGTAGTGTTAAAATAAAGTTAAATAGAATAAGTCCATACAATCATCATCATTTTGTGACATTTGTAGAAAAAAAATTGTGTTGAATTTGAACATTTAGACACTTTGATGTCAAGGCATTTTCCTGCCACACTGTCGTATAAGCTTTTGGTGTTTGGCTGCAGTGCTCGGCTTTCGACGCTCACCAAATACGGTGAAATACTGCACAGCTATAATATACCTGATTTCTTTTCAGCACTGCATGAAATGATTGAATAACTTCTTGATACCTTTACTCTTCTTTTCACAGGTGGGTGAAATTCAAAACGGGTGGCTACAAGAATTATATAAGGTATGTTTTGTGCATTTTGCCTCAGTAAAATGTTGTTAGAAGTTTAGTTCTGTCCTCCAATTTCTGTGGGCGGTGTGGTGCAGGCAATGCTTGTAAAACAGTTGTTTGTTTGTTGGCCTAAACTGTTAACGTACGTCTATAACTTTTCATTCTAAAGCTGAACCTGTACTGATGACATACTTACAGTGAAAAAGTCTCAGCATAGAGACGCTCTGCCAGACCTTTAAGAGAGCGCTCATAATTGTTTAACAGTGCTGACCTTGTAGACATTGTTGTTGAAGGTAATCCATCACATTCGCTTACAGATTATTTCCCTTCCTTTGTAACAGACAATCCACAGCTACAAGCCGCAGTTCATCGCCCTGCACTTCCAGGAAGTGGGAGGGAAAGACTACATGCTCAATATGGCCAGGGCGGAAAACTTCTTCTGGTAGGGATAATCCATGTTTCTGACATTGTTTTATAATGTGTGCTGTTTGCTTTTAGATGCATGTAGGCACCTATTAAACATGGCTTACTTGATTTTGCCAGCAGCCTGAGGCAAAAAATATATTGGAGCTAAGTCAATTGGCTTAAAAATAACCTGAACTGTACTATTTAAATAGTTTATTACACATTTTTAATGATAAAATTTGGTTATTGCTCTTCATGCTCTGCTCCTTTTCAGGAACATTGAATCCAGTGAGGAAATGAAAGACTTTGACAGAGTGTGTATATATGTGGACAACCAGTTCCAAGCAGAGGACAGCTTTACGGTAAGAAACACCAAACCTCCTGGACGGGATGATTCCACTGTCTCGCCACAAGATGGAGTCCTCCTCCACTTAAACAAAACAACAGAGTTGATTTGAGCTTCTGGTGGGCCTCTAGCATTGAATGAAATCAGGACTTGATGGCAACAATGATATGAAACTTTAGACTGTTGCTGCTCCTTTAAAACAGATTATATTTAACTTTATACAGTAGTTTTTAGATAATGTTTGGAAAGGGATAAACATTTTGAGTCAACTGAAACTCAAAATAAGTTTTGGTGTCCTCCTGGTCTCTTTCTTCTGAGCATTTTATTAAAGTAAGTGCTATGACGCTCCATCAAAGGGGTTAATACAAAATTTTTCCTTTCAGACAACAAAGAACATGCTCGAATTGTGGTTCCTCACAGGAGTCGGACTTCTTGTTTGGGTACGCCCCTATGGTGCATTGGCTGTCAATACATCAAGGCCACTGTGGGATCTCAGATGTGTGCAACGCCATAGCGTTACGCAAGTAACATAGATCTCCCAGATATAGCATGAAACAATGTGGCAGTCGTTACACCATATGGGCACATAGAGAGGAAGTGCTGTCAAATACAGGTCTGTTGAGTAACTGCCGCTGCGACCTGCGTTCCAAACACCCTGCTGTCGACCTTAAAGTCTGTGTTGATAGCTGCGGCCTTCACCGATGTTGCTCGGTGTAGTGGTGGAGTCAGCACTCACAGGGATATTCCCCCTGTCTGCCTTCCTCTCTCTAACCACATGTTTCACAGAAAAGCTGTCCTTGTTTTAATCTCTGTTGCTGTTTGTCTACGATGGGTTTCTTCATTGTTTGCTGGAATTTCCAGACCCCCCCCCCCCCCTTTTTGGCAGAAACTCCTCCCCAGCAAAAGAAAGTGGCTGGATATTTTTAGACTATTAACCTTCCTCCACCCAGGTGATTCCCTCATACTGCACGCCTGACAGTAGGGGTCAACGGCTGCATCTGTAGACTGAAGGTGCGTGAAGAGAAAGGGGGGAAGTCAATGGCCAGGTGTGAGAGAGACAGGCCCAAGTCAATACGTTTAACTCTAGATTAAAACTATTGATCTGGACCCATTTGTACACAATAAATTAGGTTTGTCTGGGGTGAGGGGGGGCGGTGGAAGACAGCTGGGACTAAGTTTCCCAGCACTCAAGTGTTTGCACCCTCCACCGTTTGCCCTAAGAGGGCTGCAGCCCCCCTACACACCATCTAATGCCTCATTCTAATTTCAGCTGTGCCACCTGCATTGATTTTCAATTTGTTTCTTCTTGGCTTGAGATCATCAGTTATAGAGCCAACAGAGAGTTTGGGGGGGTTCTCCTTTCACACGGGCTGCAGAAGTAGAGGGAGCAGACTTGCGTGCATTCCTGGTACAAATGGTGTTTTGATAAAAAATCACTCGAAAGTCAATATTTTTTTATTAAACCGTGCACAAACCTGATTGATGAAGATCGGTGTGAGGTGGAGTGTGTGTGTTGTTTCTAACATTTTTACAGGTTTAGCAAGAGCAGGGTTTGAATTATGATTCTAGAATCTGGCGCAGGAATGGAAACCTTGCTTCAGTTGCGAAATGAAGTTACAGTTGAATCTCTTGTCGGGCTTGTTTTTTTGGAAACAGAAACAGATGCTCTTACCTAAGTTTACACAAGCTGATCAGTAACTGCTGTTCACCGGGAGGCAATTCTTTATTAAATGACAATGGCTTTTGCACAGAAGATATATGACCTCTTCAGGGAAAGATCTGTCATGCTCCGGCTGAATATATTTATATTTGTGTGTATGTGTGTGGAGGGCTGGGGTGTCGCACTGGGGTCCGTCACGCCCTGAGCCTTGCACGTGTCGGCTGATTTTTCTTCAGCCCCCAGTCACTGTCTGCGTTGGCAGACAGCAGGCCTACTGCTTAATACCTTTTAAATGGTTTTAATTTTCTGTCTTTATTGATTTCACAGGGCATGATTAATCAGATCAGTGGAGCAGGCAGTTAGTACATTAAAGATTGTCAGCCCCATGTCAGGGATGATTGGGCACTGAAGTGTGTGCGTGAGGGACTGTATGGGGTAGTGCCGCATGGTAAAAATCATATGGAACATTTTTATTTTTTGAAGTTTCATGTGTCTGTAACTGAACATACTGGGTTGAAAGTGGTGTTCAGCAAAGAGTTTGGCACACACGAGGCCAAATAAACAATTAAGTCTATTAATTAAGGTTCTGAGAGGAGTTTTGGATTGACCACCAATGTTAACTTTGGTGGTCTCATTTTGAGGTTCCAATCTAAGTAAGACAGTTGAAATCTGCCGTTTGAATGAAAAGTTTGTGAGTTTTGGTTTACCAGCCTTTTAATCAAAGGTTTCTGTTTTCTCTCCACAGGCTTTGGGGAGCATGTACTTCATCCACAAGACATTGAAAAATATCTATCAATTTGACTTTAATGGTAAAATTCCTCATTTTGACATTTCCTTATATTTTTATTGTTTCTTTATGTACAAGCTTGTTATAGGTGGACTGGGCCTTTCTTTGTTAGACCAGATCGTTTTCAGAACTCCTTAATTGTTTAGCTGATAAATGGCCTCAATCTTAAAAAGAGCAAAGCTCTGCCTCATATATTTGGCCAAATCCTGGTAATTTTTTTAACATGGGGAATTTTAAGCCATTGCTTTGTGCGTAATGATAGTTTGATGGCTACCTTTCCCAGCCAGATATGGGCAAAGAACTGGAATTAAAAGTGGAGCTGTTATTTTGCTGCTGCATAGTCTGGTCACGTTATATGTGAAAAAGCTCAGCAGAAAAGCTTATGGAACAACCATAAACATCCTGGAGCTGCCACTGGCTACGTGGCCCAAACCGATTGTTGTCCACCAAATGCAGTCTAATGGCCCACTTATAGATTCTCTCATCGCGTATGCCGCTCTGATGAGGTTAACACCAGTTTATTGATTGCTGTTTGCATGTTTTCTCAATCTTTTACATGTCACCACCCCCCGCCTGCCTCTCCGTCTAACAGTTAAGGATTTTAAGGCAGTGCTGGAGCATAACAAGTACGTGGGCTGTCTGGACAATGTTTCCACTGTGGAGAAAGAAAAATTCCCCAAGAATTTCTGGCCTAACGTGAGTATGTGTGCACAAGTGTGTGGGGAAGTGTGGAAAGCGGGGGGTGCCCAGAGGCCAAAGAGAGATGTTGGGGCAAGTGAGTCTACTGGGGCTGTTGGGGCTGTCTGCCATCTCTGACAAGGAGATGAGACAAATTATGGGGGTGGATCAATAATTATCAGTTTGGCCCTTTAAGGACACAATTCACTGCTGTTTAGTGATTCTCTCCAATGTGTCTCTTTTGCAGTTCAAGTGGTCTAGAAAGGGCTTCATGAGGACCCGCTGGATCATACACAACCAGTACGTACATATGCTTTGACTCAGCAGCTGGGCTAATCGCTGCACACTTTCAGATTTGGCTCCTTGTTAAGTTTAGCGACATCCTTTTTTTAAAATGTTCTTGTAGTAACACAATAGTTTGCAAGGGAACTTCCACAGATGGGATCATTTTAAGCTAATGTGAAAGCGGGTTACTTGTCTGATTCAGACATGCAGGGCCTCACTGCTAACATCTCTGGAATGTGAATAAATTAAAATGAGTTTCGTCAGTTTCTAAACAGAAGATCTGTTCTTATAATGTCACATCAGTGGAGGGCTGCCCATGTTTTTACTGTCATTTTTATTTATTTTACTGTTTCACACAGCAAACATGTAACTCAGTGTTAATATGACTCCCCTTTACCAGCACTTTGGTAAATATTAGTTTGCTTGATTAAGATGATCAGGGAACATCTCAATAATGTCATTACAGTTCCTTTATTTTTTCTCCAAGAAGCCAGAAAAATAAATTACCAAAACTGGAAAAGTCTAAACTAATCCCAGTTAGCCAATGGGAAGATCATGTAAATATCAAATATTTGCAAAGAGTTTAACAGAATAAAATATTAGGAAATTACTAATCAGAGTTTATCATTTCAGAGCAGCGAAGATTAATAATAGTATAGAACAAATACTGAGTACATTTCTCACGTATTGTGTACATAAGCAGAGTTGTGTTGTGCCAACATTACATTAAAGATAAAAACATCCCCCAGTTGAACCAGGATAAATAACACAGTGATGCTGCTACACAAAGACTGAGTTGCCATATTTTACCCGCTTGTTGTTGTTTTTTTAAATCACAGAGGTCTTGACCTGGTCAACATCCACTTGTTCCACGATGCCTCCAACCTCATTGCCTGCAACTCCAGTCCTTCCATTTACTCAGCTAACCGTAAAAATGCCCTCAGATATGTCATCAACAGGTGAGTTCTGCAGCTGTGAACCACTCTGCAAAACTGCCACTGGCAACTTTATAAACAGTTAAATGCAGTTTAACTGAAGTATGATTACGTCTAATGAGCAGGATTTGATCACCAGCCTCTTTAGTTTCACAAACGAGACATTTTTAATGGATTTACATTATCTATGACCTACACACATGCTCTAAGGCAGGTGCCATGGAGTAAAAGATGCCTGACAGTAGCTCTTTCTTCCAGGATATCAGACGACCGCTACACTGCTCTGCCTTTCTTCCTGTTTGGAGATTTTAACTTCCGTCTGGATACCCTTAGTCTGGTTCAGGTCTGTAAATCTCCCTTTTTCCTGGAGCTTGAGTAAAATGGAGGCTCTTCACCCTCATATTTTCTTGTCTCTGCTCCTGTCTACAGCATCTGTCCATTGAAACAGATGTGCAGAGAGTGACGAAGGACAGTAGCAATGAAGTGGAAAAAATCATATGTGAAGAAAAGGACAATGACCACCAGGTAATTCAAATGACTGAAAGCAGTTATGATATCAAACCATAAGTCCTTCCTACTCCTGCTTTCACTTCCCTGTCGTTCACCTCTCCTGCAGGTGCTGCTTCAGATTGAGGAGAAGCTGTTTGCTTATTTGCATCAGGCAGTTTTCCGAGAGGACAATGGTAGAGCTGTAAGAACTTTCACCTTTCACCCTCTCAGATCTCATCAGGAAACCTATTCTATGTCATAGATGTTAGTTTAGATCCTGTTAAAAGATATAAAGCACTGTCAACAACAACATAGCATTTTGTTACTCACAAAAAGAGGTAAACAACACATACCTGTGATACACCCATATGTGTGACTTTAGACTAGATTTTCACCAAGTTGAACTTACGTCTTGTTTTTGTTTTTATAATTCTGAGTGACTTTTCCTCTAATGGCTTCCGTCCCTCAGCTTTTGGAATATGACAAAGAAATTGCGGCCTTTAATGATGTTATTAGAGAAGAGGCCATCATGTTCCCACCCAGGTGAGAATGAGCAGCTTCCTTCAGATAAACGTCTGCCATTTTGCTGTTTTCCCGTTCTGGTCTCAGTTGTTTGGTTGTCTCTTGCATAGCTACCCATACAGTGAAGACTACACTAAGCCCACGCAGTACATGAACACTCGCTGTCCTGCCTGGTGCGATCGTATCCTCATGTCACACTCTGCCCAGGATTTCATCCAGAAGGTCGGTCTTTGTATGGGACTGTGGAGTATTGACTGTGCCGCTGACATACGCATTTTCTGTTGCTTTCGCTCCTTAATTCTTTTTGCATGTTTTTTTTTACTGCTCCACAACTTATCCAACTCATTTGCAACTTTTGTCATATCAAACCAAATATCCATCCATTTTCTAAAGCGCTTATTCCCAAATGGGGTCACGGGGGGGCTGGAGCCTATCCCAGTAGTCAATGGGCAAGAGGCGGGGTATCAAACCAAATATTTTCAGGTTATTCCTAAAGTGCATTGTTTACTTTAGATTTGCATCTGTCATGGTTTTGTGAAGGGCAGTTAAGCCCCTCAACATATGGCCACATTTGACCAACCTGATTGTTTAGCACGATGTTTTCTTACTTGTTTGTTTATTAATCATTCAAAGGCTCATTCTTTTTTCCAGAGAGATGATGACGAGAAGAAGATTGTTTACAACACTGTAGGCCCTAATGTCTGTATGGGAGACCATAAGGTGAGAGTTTTAAAAGCATCTGTATTCTGCAGCTAATATATCAGCGATATGGAGTCATTCTCACTTTTTAAAACATTTTATTCCCCTACAGCCTGTTTTCTTGTCCTTCTCACTGAAGACAGATAACCATTGACTCTGATCCTTTTCTTCGGGTAAGGACGTGTGTTGGTGAGCACCAGTGTGTGTGTGTGTGTGTGTGTGTGTATAACGTGGAAATGCAGTGGTCCTACAGCCTAGATTCAGAGAGTAGTCACAGTAATCTGGCTCTCCTCCCAGGAGAGCCATAACCTGACTGGCCCAGTGGACTCAGGATATGAACTAAGATGAAGTGCCTTCGGGACACAAGCGCTCCTTTGTGTCCGGTGCGGCTGGCGCACACGCGATCAGCACCTTCCACTGATCTATGTGTATTGAATCCTCTCTGCTGCCACTGTTGCTACACATTAAGTGCACTGCAGGCGCCCTTTTCCCAAATTACCATCTGGATGGTCGGCCAGAGAGACATCCATTGTGCCCATCAGCATATTGGCACTTTTACGGTCATGATTTTGTTTTGCTGCCATTTAAATTAATTTATTTTCAGGATAAACTGCCCTATCATGATAGTTCTTCTGTAACAGGCTAGTTCTTCTGGGATCTTCAACGGGAAGGTGATAAAACCATCTCCTTTTTCTTTGCTTTTTTTTTTTTTTTAGTTTTTGTGGCACTGACAAAAATCTGTCCTAACATCAATGACGTCTCACAGTCCACGTACATCTCACAGTTTTATGTCATACATACAATGCCAGTTAGCAGACGCAGATTTATATGAATGGGACCGGTTACAACTTTCAATTCAAAGTGAATTCCAAAAAATTACTGTAATCTTTTTGGGGGAAAAAAGAAGCAAGTTGAATGGAGTTTAATATCCGGTCCTTTTCCTGTGCTTTTGTTTTTTACTCTGTGTGATTTATGGTATGTGTGTGTGTGTGTTTCAGCTGCAGGTCTGTAAACACACCAGCTTCAGAGCTCTGCCACAGTGGATAGACAGCGTGATTGTTACCCACTACGACCAGCCCACCCGCCTCCCAGGGGTTTAACTCAACTCACCTCCCAGCCACACACAACTTTTGACCACATTTTTTTTGCCATGGGCACTGACACGGCTGCTTCTCCAAACGTTCCACTCGCTCTCAGATCTCTGGCGGTGCTGGGTCCTGGTGGCACCGCCAGCGTTTTGAATCGGACCAAACGAGAGAACCGTGACAATGATGTGTAGACAAAAGTAAAACATCCTCCATTTTTATTAGTGTGCATTTTTATTGTATGCCTTTTTTTCCAGCCAGTGTTAAAAAACTAAAACAGACAAAATAACTTAAAAAACATTAATTTATTCCACTCATAATATCAGCTTTTACAGATATCTGTCGAAATGAGCACACCAATGTAAGCACATTTTCAGAATTGATTTAACATTCAAAGCTTGGAGGAATATTGCTTTGCTGCAGCTTTGGGACCGGGAGCGCTCCTGTGCTGTCCAACCCCAGGCTTGTGCCGCAACGTTATCATAAACAGAGCAGTGTAAAACGTATTGTTATGAAAAATATTCTTCTGTACATATCGAGCACAGGACATGTTTTTTTTTTCTGGCTGATTTTGTCTGTCCTAATTTTTCTGTCAAGCTTGCTCTTATTTAATCACCGTGGCATTTTCCATTCCTCCACAGAGGAAGAATGCTGCTCTACAAATCTCTTTTCATCGTGTTTATTCTGATTTTCTGTACAGATAAAAAAAAAAGATGTTTTTTTCCCACATGCGGCTGCAGCAGCTCGGACGCTGTCGGATGTTTTCTGATTAGTTCAACTATCTGTGATCTAACAATGCCACGATGGCATCAGGCCACCCGCAGCAGGTTTCTCTGGCTTTTAAAGCAGATGTTGTCTGTGTTTACAAAGAAGCAGAAGGGGTCGGTAAAGACCTCTTTTTTAATACTTTGTGCTTCATTTCAGAAGCTACATGCAGCTCAGAGTTGTCCCTTTTAGCTTTCCTAACTCAGCGCCCAGTTCTGACTTGCATCAACCAGATTTCATTGCCAAAACATAATACTGTCAGCCAGTGTGTTTGCATAGGACTGCAGAGAAGGAATGCAGATGTTTTATCTCCTCATCTTAAAACTTTAAAGAATGCTGTGTGCATGCAGTATGCATTGTTCCACACAGAACCACACTTTGCTTTTGCTTCTTTCTTCATGTGTTACATTTCTTGATTTGTTGTCTCACAATGTAGCATGAGAGCAGTAATATGTTTTATGGTGTTAATTATTTGTGTGATTTGTTTGTCCTGGCTTTAATTATAATTAATGACTGGACCATTTTTGCCGCTTTTGGCTTCTGGCTTCGTTTGAGTGATTTCTGATGGAGCTCTTAATGGAACAGTACACTCTGTATATTCTTACCAAAATACATACTTAAGTTCTCACAGATATTACCTTTTGATTGTTATTTATACAGCCAGGCTGTAAACTCACCTTTGTAAGAGACAGTAACGCTGTTGTTTGTGTAGATCGAAACGGTTTGTAATACAATGTAAAGTCTTTTCACAGGAGTGGAGTTGGTCGTAGGCCAGTGTTACCTATAGCTTAAACATGGTAAACCACTACATCTTTGTGTAACTTTCCTTTTGTAAATAAATTGTTATCATCTGCAGTATGTGGTGCTGTCATTTGTGAGTTAGGCCTGACTGTTCACAGGGATCTCATCATCATCATCAGTGGCTCTGGTCACACCTGTCCGGGAAATCACAGTGCGATAGCCGTAAATGTGACCGGCACATCTGAGGCCCCGCCTTTGCTTTTTGCGCCATGATAAAGCGGTGAGATAAGACACTTTGTCATCTTGCGTGACCTGTTTATGGGAATGGCCATGTGAATCTTTGCTAGAGTGACCTAATAAAGCGACAACTGTTTTAAACATTGAGAGTAACACCCAGGCCAGCTTCGTTTGTGGGTAAACGTCAACCAGAGCCCTGTCCAAATCCCTGATTCTGCACTAATAAAGCAGCTTGTGCTTTACTCCACGTCTGCCTTACACATTCAGTTTCCAGTTATAGGTGGTGTGGTGTGTAGATAAAAAAAGGGATCTTAAACACAGGAGGCCATTAGCCACCTCACTAAAACTGAAATGAGTTGGCTGTATGGAACATTTGGCTCAGATTGAAAATCTCCTGCACTCCAATAGTCTGCTGAATTTGTGACTGATTGTCACTTTTATTTTTGGTTCATTCGTACTTTTTTTCCCTCACCTAAAGAGAAAAACAGCAGCTTATTATAGCATCTAATCAAATACACTCAAGTCATATTTAAACGATGACAAAAAGAGCAATGCCAACAAACATGGAAGCCCCATTAAGTTCTTTACAACAGTCCAATGTTCATGTCTAAAATGTGACGAATGCCATGTGAGGGTGTTTTGACAGCGTCTTTTTCAGCATTACCTTCCGGCTGTAAGCTGACTGAATCAAACATGCATAGCCGCCGGACTATTAGAGTCCAAATGGTGAATGAGCTGTTTTTGCTGTATTGATTTTTAGAACCAACTGGGTTAAGAGGGTCATTGTCTTCTTCTCAGCCATTCCAGTCAAGTAAATTACAGAAGATCTGACCTTTAACCATCTCCCATCCTTTGTGCCCTTTTGCTCACCGTTACTGCACAGAGAATCCTCAAGGTGAAGTCAAATCACTGGGGCTAAAAGGGTGTTTGTGCGAGTTGGATTAAAAAAAAAGAAAAAGTAGACAGCATCTAAGTCTGATAAATAACTCACAATAATTTATTGTACACACCTGTGCTTTTACATTGTGCAGTTTAAAATCTTCACATCAAGTCAAATAAACATGAAAAACAGCTGTAAACGTGTACATTAACCAACTTCAAGTCTAACATTCAGCTTATCACAATTCAATTTACACTATAAATGACAGCAGGTTTATATGAAGTCAGCAGGTCTTCACTCCCTTTCATGTTTCTGTCTCCTAAAACTGCAAAACCCTGCCTTTGATACAGATGGAAGTCAGAACTTTCAGGTCTGTGATTGAACCACTAACAATATCAGTGTCTTCTTTAGTGTGTGTAACGAAAACGGTAAATTATCTTTAACATATACGCCCTAGTGTTACCTAACATACAAATTAAACATAATTTTAGAATTAGTTTTTTGGAGGATTTGACAAAGAAAAAAAATAGGTTTGTCCCCATCCTTTTCTTTTCTTCCACCACGAAGTGTCTTAGCCTCAAATGTCTACAGATTCATTTATTTCTCTCATTAATTCATCTTTGTTACATGGGCAGCTGTCATTTATCCATCTTTTATTTACACATGTTATTCTTAAACAGTTAATACAAATAACTCCAAACATCCCCAACTATTGAGCTCACCAGTGACTTCAGGTTTTTCTCTCACTAACAGCAGGCATGCAGATTTCTTCAAGTTTTTGTTAAATGATGTGCACGGCATAATTCCAGGTCACAGTTTTCCAAAGTAAACATCGTAGTCTGGTTTGCCCTTAGGCGCTCTTGTGTCTGACCCTTTCCTGGACATGCGCCACTGCCTGGTGATTAAACTTTTTTTGAAGCCTATATTTTTCACAGCATGCAGGTCTGCCGGGCAGCCTGTGAAGTGTGTGTGTGTGTGTGTGTGTGTCAGACGGGGTGAGGCCCGAGGCGCAGCACGGAGAAGGCCCTGCGGTGCTTCCGCAGCAGCAGGCGGATCTTGTCGTCGTCAGAGTCCGGGTCCAGAGGCTTGTTGTACTCCTCGTCCTCCACCTCGTGCTCCGAGGCCTCGCCGCCCTGCCCGGCGTGGCCGGCCTGCGTGGAGCTGGGCTCCGTGGCGCTCTTCTTCCTCCACTTGGTGCGGCGGTTCTGGAACCAAACCTGCCACACAGACGCAGGTGGTGAAACACTTTTAAAGGGCTTTCTGAAATCCCCCAGATGCTGGATGTTTGGGCTTTTGCTATAGGTTTCTGCTTTGGATAGTCACAACTTCATTTGTTCTAAATAAAAAACTGCATATTTAAATGCTTTCATACATTACTTGACATTACTTTAATCTATTTGAAAGAGACATTGCACTAGGAAAATAAAGAAAAATCTTGAATATTGTCCGATTTAGATAAATAACCCAAAACATACCGTAACACTTTCGGCTCTTAAAAAGAGAACTGTGATTAAAACAGTCATTTGGTGACACCAGCCTCACCTTAACTTGGGATTCAGTCATTCCCAGAGAGTAAGCCAGTCTTGCTCTCTCTGGTCCAGCCAAGTACTTTGTCTGCTCGAAGGTCTTCTCCAGAGCAAATATCTGATGTCCACTAAATGTTGGTCTGGTGTGTTTCTTTCTGCCGGGCATTTCTCCAAGAGGACCAGTGTCTGGATGTATTTGGAAAACAAAACAAAAACGAAATGGCATCATAGTCATTTTCTCCTTCAGTCAGTTTCTTACACAGTGTTGCCGTTCTCTTTCTGAAACATTACAAGTTGAATGCTTTTTCTGGATGAAGTTACAGGTTAATTTCCCTTAAGTCCAGTTTTACGTTATAGAATTTATAACTGCTAAACTTCTAAAAGATACACTCGGTGAGCATGTGAATTATTTCTTCAGTGTTTTTCTTTCTTTGGAGATTGTGTTTTTATACCTTTAAATAAAACATGGATATGGAAAATACACAATATTCAGGGTCATGGCACCATTTAAGATATATGACGGTTTGGGGGGTGGGGGTCATGCCACTGATGGGTTGGAGGCAACATTGAGACTCACTGTTGGTGCAATGCTGCCTCCCTGCTCTCCAGTCACAGCTGCTCTCTGCCCAGCAGCTCACGCTGCGAGCCTTCATCGGGCACTCGGCGCCGGGCTTGGAGAAGCCGCCCAGCGGGGAGCTGTAGTCTCGGTTATAATACATGGACGCGCTGGTCACAGAGGGGCCGAACCCCCCCATGGCGGAGTATCCAGAGAGGAGGGTGGTGGTCCCGTTGGAGCCCACTCCGACCATGGAGCGGCTCAAGATGTCGCTGATGCCGTGCGGCGTTCCCGGCTGCAGCTGGCTGTTGAGGCCCGGGGTGAGCTTGTAGAAGGAGTTGGGCACCGAGTACTGGCACATTGGCGCCTTCAGGTCCGAGGGGAACTGGTTCAGGTTGTTGTTGAACAGGAAAGATCCCTGGATGTTTGGATCCATGGGAAGTTCTCAAAGTCTGCGTCCAAATATCAGCGACGCATCCGGTAAGATCCAGCTGTGAGGTGACCTCTGACGGCCGAAGAGAGGGATCAATCGGCCAGGAGAGGTCTGGGTTTGGGACCACACCCTCCGTCCCTCGATCTGCAAATGATGAAGAACACAAATCCTAGTCCTAAGAAAGTCCTTGACGTCTGCCAAAGTTGTCACTCCGTGTGCCTTGCAGCAGTTATCCAGGGTTTGATGTGTAATAGTTCCATTTCTAAAGCCAGTTGAGCCCTCTGGATGCAGATTTAGTTGTTCTCCTACAGAGTTCCAGCAGGCTCTATCCTCCCAAATTATAAATAAGGAGTATCTGGAAATGGAGTGGCACCTTGATAAAGATGGGCCGCATTAGAATGCAGCTTGGGATTGGCCCGAGCCTCGCAGCTTTAGCGCTTTTCTATTGGCTCCTCGATGAGGGCCAAGCCTTTTATTGGACGGCAGCAGATTAATAGTTTTTTGAACAGGTGTAGTGGGAACGAGTAGATTTTTTGATGGCCTGCCATGTCTGACCAAGTGTGTAGCGGCCGGAGCACACAGAGAGAAGGATGAGGAGCAGGAGGAGGAGGAGGAGAGCTGATCTGCTTTTTCCAGGCTTGAAATACAGGTATATGTAGAATATACGTACATTCACTCAAAACATATATATGCAGTGTGAGGTTTCTGCCGCTTCCCAGAATTGGCACCATTTCTTATTAGAAAAATCATTCTTTTATGTGTCTGTAATGTTTTATACACCAGTACGTAGACGCCATTTAGCTGAAATGGTATTTTTCAGTGAAAGTGAATTTCCAAATATGTTGTGTCACTACAAAATACACCGTAAAAAGACATTATTTATTTAAAGAGATATTCATTATTTGATGAAGTTGTAAAATTATATTTTTTATTTTAATCCCGAACAGAAAAAAAAGGTTTTCCATGTTTTCGAGGTTGACTATCATTACACTGTATTATTACTCATAGACCTGTCCAGGTTGTACCCCAACCTCCCGTCCAATAGCAGCTGGGATTCGCTCCAGCCCCCACTAGGAATAAGGGGAATGGACAATGAATGAATGGATGAATTAATTAATCATTTCTTAAAGAAGAAGAAGATGGAACACACATCAAGATTTTAAGTACTAATTACAGAAAGAGACCACTGTTGACCTGCTTGTGTGTGGGAAAACATTTTTTTCAGTTTGTATCTTACCAAATAAATGACAACATTTTAATTTAAGCGAGTTTCTGAAAGATTCTTAAAGAAATTTATTGGTCTGATAGATTTGTTGAGCCGAACGAAGTAGCACGTCGTCACTCTCTGTCCTCTTCCTTGTTGTGTTCAGTTGTGCAGAGCAGGGATCTTTCCAGCTCCCGGACAAAGCTGGAATCCCCCAGGATCCCTGGACCTTTGCAGTTTGAGCTAAAGCTCTTTAACTTTTCCCCTCCCCCTCTGCACAAAGTTGTGCCTGAGTCATCTGTGACAAGAGAGGCTTATTTCTAAGAACTCGGGTTAGTAACTGAAACTGCCTCCAGGGAGTTTAGAGAGACACAGATTTGTCATGTAACTTATCTTCTCCATGGGAAAAGCTACCCTTTGCCATCTTTGTCACTTTATGAATTCATACCTTTTTAAATCTATAACAAACAGTCTCATTATTTACTAAATGTGTTTGCAGGATTGTTTTTAAAATAAGGAATGTTAAACTATTTGAGCATTACTCACTAATGACCTTGAGTCTTTGGAAGTGGTTAAAGCACCACTGGAGCTAAAATAATGCAGATCTGGGGTCAGGTCTTATAATGATGTACATCTTACAATGAAACACGAGATGGTAAAATAAAAAGTGATTAGAATAAAGTTTTAAAGCATCATTGATATTTCATTCAGATCACAACATCCAAAGACCTTCCACAGAATATGGAGGAATGCCACTCTCCTGTTGGATATGAAAGATTATAGAATAATGCAAGAAATATGGCGTGCTGTGGTAATTTAACTGGCTGTTGATGGAGCTGATCATGTGCCAAAAAATTCTGAAACATTTACGACCACGGCACTGACTTGCCTTATCTGCTCTCATATCTCTCAAACATTCCCCATGTTTACTAACAGCCGACTATTCCTGTAAGTCATGTGATATTTGTATATACATACATATGTGTGTGTGTGTGTATACTGCAGTATATATAATACAAACACAAAACAGTTGTATTTTTTGTACAAACATGTATTGTTGGTTTTAAATTCCCCTTGAAATGTCAATGATAATATTACTGAAATAAGTTTACATTTACATCTGTTGCTATTCTTTTGGGAAACAGTCGATAAATGAACATTTGAAGCATAAAAGCTGCAGAGATGATCTCATTGTTGACTAAAAAAAAGGTCTATATCTGCTAAGAGCAGGATTTACTTTCCTCATTTCAGTCAGATGCAAAACTGCACATGTTCAAACACAAACACTGAGCTGGTGTGTTTGGATTGGGGTAGACTGGGTCAGACTCCAGAACGGCAGGGTTTGAGGATAAGTCATGTGATTGTTGCTCACACTAGTGCAGAAGGGCTGCGAGTAAATTTCCAGCGGTGATCTCACACAGGATATCCTATCATGGCTTTACTCAGGCACATGACCAGGACTCAGCCAATAAGGCCTGGAATATTTCCCAGCACATGTTTCCTGTTGAGGGCGGTAAATCAGTCATGCCAGGGAGACGTTTAGCTTTCTAGACTTGCATCATCACAGAACTATGATTCCCTGAATAGAAACCTTTGGGGAAGGGACATTCAGCTTTCAGTTTTTTATGTGTAAAATTATGTCTCTCTGGATTTCACTGGAACGCTTTATAAATAGATATTTGTTTAAGGAGGGTATATATGTGTGTTTTTGTACTGTGAATGCATATTTTATGATCATCATGATTGTCATAAAAGCACGTGCAGCCTTTCTTTTGTCGACATAATGACCAAGAAAGAACGAAAGTGAAACAACCCTGGGGGCAAATATTTGTTATTCTAAAGTCCACTTCTTCTCCACGTGCGATGTAAGATAAAACGAATCTCAGGCCATAACCAAAAAAAAAGAAAAAGAAACAAGCAGCCACCCTGTTTTCAACTTTAGGTAAATTTCCAAACATTGGTCCCTCCTTCCTACCGTCACACCCATTTTTTGCCCAACAATAAAGGCGGATGTTTGTGTTTTCAAACCACACATGTGCCTTGAGAACAGACATGAGCAGAGCTTCTCCCAAGACGCCAAAGAAGAGGTTTGCATTCTGCTTCAAGATTATGAACAAGACCAGTTGCAAGAACTTTGGTAAGATATTTATTCTGTCTTCATGAGAGAACTTCATAAATGAGTTAAAATGCTGCTTTACTCAGCAGTGTGTTACCCTGTGAATGAAATTATTTCAGGATGATTTCAGGTTTGCTGCAAAAAAACTAAAGTTTTTTTTGTTGTGGCAAAGATTTTTCTTGATAACCTAACACTTCATAAAATAATCCTCAGGTCCTTCATTTATTCGTCTCAATCTACCAACTAATTCCCATTGCGGGAATCTTAGTTTAGAGAGGGAAGGTGACAGCAACAGGAACGTAACTCAGGAGGGCCACAAAATGCCGAAAAAGAGAAAGACTTCAAACGACTTCTAAGGATTTACGAGCTGAGCAATAAAGGTTCAGTGTTGATCAGAGGTACAGTTTTTCAGACAGGAAATGATTGTCGGTTAACGTGTTGCAAAATGAGCAGTCAGGTGAGTCACACCTCGCTGTTTCTCAGAAGGTCGCAATTCCTTTTAAAAGTAAGCAGTGAAGTAACTGGAAAATGAAACCATCTCCAGATGCCAAAAGGTGAAAGATAGGCCACACAGCTTTGCAATTTAAACACTTTAATGTAATTTTCTAAACAACTTTAGAGGACACGGTTTATGTGCACTTGATTAGAATTTGAGGACATTCTTTGACTTGTTCAGGGATGCACACTTCAAAGCATTTTATGAATACTTTAACTCAGAGGCTGTCCAGAAAAACAGCAGCCGGTTGTAAAAACATTCGTGACCTTTAAGGGAAAGAAGATAGCAAAGTGTTTACAGGTAGCTGTAACCTCTAATCAGAATTTGATAGGAATTGATAGAAAAGTGACTCGGAGAGGAAGAGGAAATGTTGACAAGCTACTGTTGGCCTTTTTCTGCTAATTTAATCTGCATGATCTGGCTTCTAAAGATCCACCGCTCACTCATCAACATTCAGCACTCATTTTTTACCCCGTGTATTTCCAGAATCGAAGATGCCACACAGGTGCGGCCTGAAATGCCTCGGCCCTCTGGCTTTCCACCACGAGGTCAGGGGACGCAAGATTAAACTGACCCACGGCTGCCGGCTAGCCGAGAGACCCACGGTCACGTTCCAGAACGGCCTGCTGTTCAGCAACCGCACCGTCAAGATACAGGAGAGGATTTCGCTGATGGTGCAGAACAACGTGCCCAACTGGCATGGAGCCATACGTGTGGGCTTCACCAACGTGCCCCCGTCGGCCAGGACTCTGCCTCTGCCCAGCATCGCCATCCCCAACCTGACCGCCAGCCCCGGCCACTGGGCAGCTCCCGTGGACGAGTCCGAGTGCCGCGCCGGCTCGATGCTGCAGTTCTGGGTCTCTGCTGGAGGCAACATCTACATGGCAGCCAACAACAGGAGGAAAAAGCTGCTGTCAGGGGTGGACCTCAGTCAGCCGCTCTGGGCCATGATAGATCTCTACGGGCAGACCTGCGCCATTTTGCTGCTAGGTACAGACTGACTGCTTTGTTTTGTTTGTCTTGCAACACGTTCTTCCTGTTTTTTTTGCTTGCACAGTCTTTTATGGGAACCGACAACAATCGACAGCTGATGTTTTAAAACCACTCTCTGCTGCAGGTTCGGAAAAAAGGGGATTGCTTTGCACTCGGAAATCCTGCCCGCCACCAGAGCCTCTCTCCAGTCCTGGAGTCAAAAACAACCCCAGTTTCAAACTTGACGTGTCAACGTTTGGTGACGATTGCATCTCCTGCCTCAACATGGAAATCCCCACAGGTAAACAGAGCCCCACCCTCCAGCACGATTTCAGCTCAGAGGGAGAGACTCGTCAGGTGGATGAAAACCTTCAGTCTTGTAATTGTGATTCCTCTTTTTTTTTTCTTAGAATCAGATCTAAGCTGCGTGGTGTGCATGGTGAGAGAAGCCAGCATGGCGCTGCCCTGTGCCCACCGCTGTTTGTGTGGTCACTGCTACCAGCGGTACAGGCAGGAGTTCAACACCTGCCCGCTGTGCCGACACAGCATCAGCTCTCGGCGGGGAAGCGTCTCGCCGTGACGCTCTGAGCTCCCAAAGCTCCACTAAGAAAGAATTAATTCTAAACTACTGAGTGACTTAAATGGAGGGACATATCAAACTGAATGCATCCTGTTACAGGACCCAGATAAATATGGAGTTGGTTCAGTAGTGATGTCCCTGATTGAAGTAAAACCCTGAAACCCTGACTGACATGTGAATGTTGTACATTGTGTTAGGCACTGATAAAAAAAAAACACAATGTGTACAGATGCACTTAATCAAAAAATGTGGAAATAGAGCATTTTGATTGCAATAACTGGAGAAGTTGAAGCTGTATATAAATGTGTATTTTGTATTTTTTTCTCTAAGAAAAGTTCTGTTTTTGTTATGTGTTTTTACTTGTTTTACTTTTTACAAAAGTGAATTTGTATGAAAATGATCATTGACAGTTTTTTTTAACTGTGTCTGGTGCAATAAACTTAAATGAAAACAACAAGATTATCTACTTTATCACTTTCATTTTTAACCAGTATGCAACAAGCATATTTCAGCGAAATGTTAATGATTACAGAATTTTGAGAGAATAAATTACCCTCAAAAGAAATTTCTAACTTAGCTGAATCAGTGTATCTACAAACATAACCCACACGCTAAACCCTCACTTGGCCCCCTAAAGTGAAAGCGCAGTTGGTTGTTACTTTCAGTCTTACTCATCAACAGTCAGTAAGAACACAGAGACACTCATTTATTGAAGTCCTATAAAAGAATAGCATCCTGTTTGGATTTGGAGGAATTATTTAATTATCACTAATTTTGTTTTCCTATGACTGCAACCTCACCCCTTCTGGGTCTCTGCTGGTGGCAACACATCCATGCCAGTCACCAGCAGGAGTCAGCCCCTCTGGGCCATGATAGATAGAGCTCTATAGGCAGATGTGGCCATTTTCCCACAGACTGATTACTTTGTTTTGTTTGACGTGCAACACGTTCTTCCTTTTTTTTTGCTTGCGTATTGAGTATTTTATGTGAACTGCCAACATCGACAGCTGAATGAATAATGTTTGAATCTCCTCTGCTGCAAGTTTGGAGGAAGTAACCAATCTCTGGTTATTACCCTCCATGAGAGCCTCTCTCTAGTCCGGAGGTTACAGAAATATACAGTGTTCTACAACAGTTTCAAACCTGATGTTTCAATCATGATGATGACTACATCTTCTGCGGGAACATGGAATTCCCCACCAGTGAGCAGCCCATCCCACTTCATGATTTATTTTCAGAGTAAAAAATCAAATAGATGCAAACTGTTAGTCTGTCAGTCTTTTAATTTTTAATTTCTCTTTTCTTTGCTGCAGATAAATGTTTTGTGAGGTGAGAAGCTGGAGTCTCCACTGCTTCCCGGAATAATATACTAGATTTTAAAAAGTCTGTAAATAACCTTCAGAAATGAAATCATATAAAATTACAGCAGGACAGATGATTCTGTAGGAACTCATAATGTGTTGAAAAACAATAGCACATGGCAAGTTTGTGACTCTGGAGTCAAACAGAAAGCGAAATACGCTTAGTTTGCAGAGGCACAAAAGATAGTATCATACCAACAAAATATATTTATATTCAACGTCTCACCTGACTTTGTTTGTGACAGTTTATTTTGATTTGTTTATGATGTGTTGTCTTCATAACTGTAAAAATCAGCTGTCACTGCATATAGTAAATGATTGACAAAGCTTATTGAAATAAAACATAATGCACATTTAAAAATTTTTTTTTACTAAATCCCCGACCAAAGGTTTAAACTGTTGTGGTACGTTAATCTTATTTTGTGCTAAACTGAAATGTTTTGTGTCACATGACATCCAGCTGCTTATTTGCTACACAAACGTTAAGGAGCTTTGTTTCTGACACCTGGGTAAGTATGGTTTGATAGTTTTGCTTTTCAGAAAAAGGGATTAGAGGTTTTAGAGCAGCTGCTGCTTTGAAACGTTCAAGATCACTTTCAGTTTGACAGTTTGTGTAGTCTCAGTCGGGTAGTGATTGATTTTCCAATAAAAAGGCATGGGTGCAGCTTCTGGGAATCTGCTTGGAGCTATTAATATGGCACAATAATTAGAACACTTCTGCTTGGTTTGACTGGCTTAACTGGTGCTGGTTGCCTTGCCCTGCGTCTTAACCAGACTCATCCATGTCCTGTTCTGCCTCAGGCCAACCCTAAAGTGCCTTTGTGTGGCCCTCTGCAGGATAAAGTGGGGATAATTTTGCGTTAGAATGAACAGCTCTATCATTTTGTTAAAGGCAATGACTTTCCCTAGTTTAAAATGTCATGCTGACATGACTTTAGATTTCAATCTAGTGTGGGAAACTTGTTATTTTTGTAGTATTTATTATGTTTCAGGGCAGGAGAGGTTAGGCTTTAGAATGCAGTAACAGTAGGAGGTTTTTATCATTATATTTACTGTTTGTTTTAGTTTGAACTTTTTAGATTAACTTTGGCTAAGAACTTTTTTAATTTTTGAAAAAATGTCAAATATTTACCGTTGTAGGCTTTGATATAAAAAGATAGACTGAGTCATCCTAAGATTTGAACACAGGGACCTCTGTCGGCCTCCAATCAGAGTTAGCCCAGCAGTTCTTTCTTTGACCACTGAGAGGCAATATGGTACTGTTTATCATGATTGTCAAACCACAATCTTAAGACTGAAAGATGTTACAATATTTGGCCAAATGCATTATGTTCCTTTCTTTTTGGAAATTTATATTTGAAGGGGTTGTTTTCTGGCTTTGAAATGCTGGTCAAAAGGAAAACCTCCCTCATTATTTGACCATAAATAGAAAAGTATGTTCTACCTCTTTCTGAAATGAAACAAAGTTGAAACACATACCAGGACACAAGAAGAGTCCTTTTGAACTGTGGATTGTTTATCACTATTTGGTCCAAGACAAATGGTGTGTTGCTCAGCCTGGAGCTGCTGGCTGACACGTTTTGCCTCTGTGTGTGAAGGTGGATGGACTTCATAGGAGAAAACAGAAGTGTGACCTTTGGTTACTGATCACACGGCCTACCTGTTAAATATTTATCTTGGATGACGGAGCTAAGCTGCCGCTGATCTCAGGGTGAAGGAATCTGCCTGACGTCCGTTTATCGGGACAAGGAAACGTGGGAGTGGGAATCAACAGATAAAGCACTCAGGAGCTTCCCACTTGTCAGGGGCTCAGCTAATCTGCATGATTAAACTGTGGACTTCAAAAAGGAAACCTGTTGCTCTGTGCTTTTCTCACACTGGCGGGTAGGTGGAGGCTGGTATTGGAGGAAAACATGGAAATAATGTCTGTTGTAAGGTGACAGGTAAGCAAGTCAATTGAGCCATCTGGATGTTGTGGACGGCTGCTGCTAACTCCTTTGTGCTGGGAAAAGAAATGTGACAGACAACATCTGAAGAGCGCAGACAGTGAACAGACTGGGTTGTTATAATATGTGTGTCACTCAGGCCCATTTATTGAGATGGTTGTGGAAATCTCCTCCTCCTGCTCCTCAGTTTTCATGTAAAATACCAGAGGGTGGTTCTACCGAGCTTTGGCCTGTTCGGGACTCTATTATTTCCAGCTGTGGATGGAAACTATTACTGAGCACCTTCTCCCCGATGAGCTTGTAAGTGCACGCTCGCGCGCACATAATACGCACACACATTCTCACATTCGCACACTCCCACGTGTCCCCGGCCAGTCAAACAGTCAGACCCACGTTAGATCATTGACTGAAGATAAAAGCCACCCTGTTGGCCTCAGAAAGAGAAGGAGGGAGGGAGAGACAGGGCCGGAGAAGCAGCAGTGGTTCCCTCCTTCTTTTTCATTCACTTCCTCTCTCCCTCCGTCCAGAGGAGGCTCACTGCACTGCCGACACTCGCATGTAAGTACAGCAAAACTTAACCTCTTCTCATTCTGACTAGGGCAGCAGGGGTGAGAGTGAAAGGGAAGTAAATAACTTGAGATTGAGATCATCAAAGGTGCTCATTTTGTTGAAATTATTCAAGAAGATTCTGGTATGCTGTGTGTCAGTGGAAATAACTGAAACAAAAATGAAAATTCAAGTTTATTGTTTCTGTTCTCTCATTGGTGATGAGGGTCTGTTTTTTTGTTTTTTCAACTCTTGCTTTTAGGGTTTTGAGCAACTTTTGAATAGTTCTTTCTGTCAGAAGGTACTTATCTTTAGACCCGCATCCAAAAAGCTGCCTCCTGTTTTTTTTTTTTTTCATTCTTCTTGTGTTTATGTGTGTCTGTGTTGGAATATGTTCAAATAATCCTCATTTTTCTTCATGAGTCTGAAAATGAGTACCAAGACCCAGGAGGATTGTTTGTGATTTTTACTGAGGACGTTTGACAGCTTTAGCCCACGTCTGGGGGCAGGAAAATGTTGTTTAATGCCAAAGTAAACTTGATGGTTTTGTGTTTGTTCTCAGAGACATTCCACACAACCTGTGGCTCTGGTTCTTACCTCCAGCCCTTCGTTATCTACCCTCCACTGATCTGGCGATTTCTGCCTACCTGTAGACTCGTATCTCCTCAGTTCTTCTCGCTGTCGCTGATAGCTTTATCATATTATTTGAATAGACATATTGGTTCTTCTTTCAGACGTGGTTTGTGGGGAAAAACAGTGCCATAGTCACCAAAGTGATGTCATTTTTGATTATGTAACCAATCTATGTCATGGTTTGCTCGCTCAGTGGAATCTTTGGCTGTCGCCCTTTTAATGAGCTCCGGTGGCGATATACTGGCAGCGTGTGAAAGGACTCTGGAAGGCCTGCTCAGGACAGTGTAGGTCTACTGGAATTCATCCATCACAGCAAAGAACTGAGGCACAAGGTCCTGCACCTTCCTGTCTGTCCTGATAATGTCTGAGAGTAACTAGAGGAAGCTGGAAGGGAGAAGCACTCGTGTTTGTTTGGCGAACAAACAGATGAAACAGGGATTCGGTGTGAGAGAGGCGCAGAGTCGCGGGCCAAACCTGCAACTGCCTCTTGATTGATCACCTCATTTAGCTGCAGAGTGACAGGGTGTCAGATGTGGTCACAGCAGGGTGAAAGTCCGCTCCAGCAGGACACAGATTATCAGCTGAGCCTCCTTCAGGGAGTCCGAATCGCCCAGCTTCCCTGTCATGTTCAACAGATCAACTGTTTGGCAAAAACAAACCTGGAGCGACACGGACCTTGTAAATGGATATCTGCCTTGAGTTTTTTTCTACAATGTCAGACCACTGAATTATTAAAAAGGGCTCAGTTTCAGGATGAAACTCGCCAGTGCACGTGCGTTGAAAAAGGGAATAGGTGGACCATGAAATGAACACTGTTAAACAGCTTTTTTGTCTACATACAAACTCTCTTATAAACACAACCTGCAAATAGGAGGGATTTTATTTGTTAGCAGAAACTGAATCTTTCACATGCAGTACCGAGCTCGCGGTTCAAGCTCTGCGCTTTCAACAAGTTAGATTTCAGGTTTGACATAGCGGCCTTTTGGCAAAAACTGTGGACAAACTGGAAATCCAGCTTTTATTTGGGCAAAGAATGTGGGCAGGATATTCAGCAGGTTTTGTGTGTATCTGTTTGACCAGCTTTAACGTCAGAAATTGGCCAACCTATCTATGATTGTTAAACATCTCCTACTTTAAATATTTTTGCCTATGCAGTATCACCACAGTGACACTCTAAATAATTTGTCTTTAACCTTGGCAACTACAATGACATCTTGATAGTGTACGTTTGAAAGAATGCGATCATTAAAAAGTCAATAAGAGGTCCTGTCCGTGGTTGACTATGCGTTGTAGAGTAATCACCTTGAAACCCCCCCAGAGCTGCAGGAACAGCCAGAGCTGCTATTTTCCCCTCATGTCTTTGGCTTGCCAATGACCTGGTCTTTGTGCCTGCAAACACACACACACACACACACACACACACGAGACACACAAAAGAAGTGGCAGGCATGGGAGATATAAAGTTAAGAGGGGTCATGATGGAGTCACTGGTCAGAGTTTTCTGAGTTATAGGTGATGAACAATGTGCTCTCCCCTTTGGTTAACCCTGTGTCGTGAAATATCACCTTGTCTCAACAATGGGGGTATTTCGCTGAAGGAGGTACCCCTGTGAACTGACGAGCCAAAGGCAGTGTGTCTTTTGAACGTGGGCTGTAGTTGGTTGCCATGGGGATGCCTGTCAACCGAGAAGTCCTCCACAGGAGCAGGCAGACCGAGGGCTGGGAGTGAGCGAGGGGTTGCGTATCGCTAATAGTCACTAATAGAAAGTACAGAGAGGGTGTGTTGTGTGGTTTCAACGCTGGGCTCAGGGAGCATGGAGGAAGCGTGGGTTTGCTTTGCGGGGCTGTTGAGTGACCTGTCTGCCTCCTTTGGGATTTCAAGCTGCTTCATGGGTTTCAGGCCTCTAGAGAATGGTGATTTTGGAGAGCACCTGAACAGCACAGCGAAATGATGTAATCAGTGCTGGTGTGGAATCATGAGCAGACTAACTAAGGATTTGGGCAAGTAGAGAAGTTAGTAGCTGGACTACACACACTCACTGAGGGGAGTTTTTCTCATAATGTTGTCCCTTCGAACCCTGGCCAGTGGGTTTGTGTAGACTGGTAAGAGCAGGTGGGGAAATCACTTGTCAGAGTACATCCTGCAGCACATCTAATGGCCTCAGCAGTCCAGTGTCAGAGTTATTTCCTCACCCAGCCCTGACTCCCATTGTGATGCTGCTGTGGCTCCAGCTACCAGTGCCAATATCCTCATATGTAAAGTGAGGATTTGTAGCATTTTCTCCTGTATCTGCTGTCTGAGCACGCATTTCCTTCTGCCCCTTCTGCCCCATTGCACCCAGGCACTGATGTGGAATCATTAGAAACTATGCGTTTTCATGTTGTTCTTCATTCTTTTTCTAAGGACTCTGATCAGACAAATCTACTTGGAGTCTGCATTGGGCTTTTGTTGGGGAGAGGCAGTGTGATTTACTACCCCTGGGCTTCTCCAGGGAACTTATCGGCTCTTCATTGACAAGAAGCACACACAGACTCTTCCCGTCGCTGAGGATTGAGCAGCACCATACAAGGATGTGAAACGCTTGCCTCCCTGATAAATGTGTGCATCCCCCAATAGCTGCATATCATAAACTCGCAACTGCCGGACCTTGTATGGGCTCTGTCCGCACATCTGCTCGGCGGCAGAGGGGCCGAGCGGTTGATCAGTTTCACGGAACCAACATTTTCACATAGCTGCAGCATGAATCATTTTATGTGCTCGTAAAATGTCCTATTTACTCAAGAAATGTGCCTAGTAATTAGCCTCCAATCACTTTTTAAGGCAGGATAGTTTTGGATTTAAAGCCCTCTTATGCAACTGGTCAGGCAGCAGTTGTGGTCAGACCATAGGTCACTATAATATTCTGGAAAGAACACTCAGTCAGGATGCAAGAAGGCAAGAAGATTGTGCAACATATCTGGCAGTGTTACGGCCCCCTCTTCAGGGTGTGTGAAACAGCTCCTGCAGTCAGTGACTGGTGGATGCATCTGTATGCCATCCCACAGAAGACAAAACATGCACCACTAACTGGGCACCTATTCATTTAAAGCCTTTTCACCACCACTTGCTGACGGTGTGATCCTCCCACCGCCCACAAATCATGATTTTTCATGTATGGTGGGAGGTCACAGTTCATAGGTTAACCCTGCCACTGTTTTTCATGCTAGCGTGTTTAGTCACCTCGACAGCCTTTTTCATAGCGAGAACAATGGAAGACGCTCTCCGTGTGTGGTTGAGTAGAAGGTCACTGTGGGTCCAGGTACTCTCTGGGAGATCCGGTCACATCCTTCTAAGGAAGGCAGAGAAATTTGATGACTTATGCATATTTACTTGTAATAAGTTGGCCTTGCTTTGTTGCTGACACTGGACTTTCTGGAGGCTTTGAAAGTTTAGCTTTTTTTTTAAATGTCTTTATTTCTTTATTTCCCCTTTTCAAAACTGTCGCTGCTGCATTATTGTTGCGGAGCTCCTATTTCGGGTTTTAGGAATCACAGGGGTGTGGTAGAGTTCAGCGACCTTGAAGCTGCTGAGTAGTTCTGGCTCAGCAACTGTAGATATCAGCACCTTTTATCATCTGCTCACTTTGTATAAAAAATGTTCTCATCTATCACCAAGGTAACCTTATTCAGAGTTAGCTTTGTGTTGTTGACAGAACTGTAACATCTTCTGGATTTAGATAAGCATAAAGTTAGATTTAGACATCTAGCCTTTAGACACACCATATATATTTCCCTGAGTTGTGGGTATAGATTTTTACAACATCCCCCACCCCCTTATTCTCAGTTCCAATGGCCTCAGCTGTCCTGAACTGAATGTCAAATCTGGAAATATGAAATCCTGGGGTTGTGGAAGTATGCCTCTTCATCTGAGATGTACACGAGGCCTTTTATGGTTGTGTTTTTCCTCTGCCACAAATCGGATCCAGCCACGATAACGGCCCTCACACCTGGCAGGGGTGAAGCTTGTAAACGTGCCGCCCATAACGCTCACATGTTTCAGACGGCATCGTAGCGCCACAGGCTCTGACACCAGGCCTCCCTGTGGAAGCTTGGAACTGACTCTTGTGTCGAACCTCAATAATTACATAAGAATGCACGGAGAGCTCGGACAAACCCAAGTGAGAGCCAGACCTCTGGAGTGGGCTTTTCTTGCAGCATATCGACCCAGATTTTTCCTTATTAGGCAGGATTGTGTTTGGAGCCCCCGAAGGGTGTTAGCGTGTTGAAGCAGACCTGTGTTGGATTGTGCTCACCGGTGAAATTGCCAGTGTTATGACATGAGCTTACCCATCAGGAGGTGGATGTGGATGCAGATGAAGCAGCGCTGACGCTGAAAGTAAACATGCCTGAGAGGTCACGGGCTATATTTCAAATACATGTAACTCTTCTATTCAGCAGCTTTACAAACTTTCTTTGTGAAGCCCTGTTTTTCACATGGGAATACATTTTAATTTACTTGAAATGGATTAAATCTACCTAGTGAAAATGTATAGATAAAACACTTTGAATGAAATGTTTCCTTTAACTGTCAGAAAAATTTCAGCAACTATTTTTCCATATTTTTTTATTTTCTATTTTTAAAAAAGCCCAAGTGTAAGTTTTGAGTGTATGGTCAGGAGAAATGGATGCCTAATATTCCAATACTATTATTCAATTTTCACGCTTATCTATGCACAGAAGTTACAAAATGTAGGCATGGCATTTCAGAGATGGTCGCCCCGTTAAACAGGATATTAGCTGACTATGGGAAATGTGCACTAAGGTCTTAAACAGGATTAGGCTGCTTATTAAGACCGAGTGTTTGTTTGATTTTGCAACTGCGACTTCCGGGAGTTTCTGTTGATTCTTGAATGGCAGCATTGAAAGGAGACCGGCCTTTTGTTAACTCTTTAGAAAATATGGAATATTACTCATCTTGTCTTTGGCTCACCACTGCCACAGCCTTTCAAAGAGAGAGGCTGGCTGCGTGGAGGAGGTCAGGTGTAAACAGAACATGTCAAACACCGTGTGAATGAGGCTAAGCTGCTATTTGTGAGGGGAGCTTCTTGCCAGTGCTCCCTGCTGGATGGATAATCAGCTGGCTGCGATCGCTTTTGGAGCGTGACAGGTCATCTGTCAGGCCCAGGCATTAATGGCATTGTTGTTGTCACAATCATCTGCTTCCCATCTTCGTCCGGTTATGTAACCCATTTTTATAAGGAAATGATGATTCAGATGAGTGCCACTGCTGTCTGGAGGCTGGAGCAGGAATTCTGTGCCGCACAGAGAGCGTATAGTTTTCTTGTTCTGGACCGCAGTGATTATAGGCTCTAATGTTCAGCAGCGAATGCAATATGGAAAACTCATTAGTGTGAATAGTGCTGGGCAGCTCTCAGCCTCTTGCAGTCTGTTCCACGTTCTCTTATTACCCTTTGCCTTGGTGCAACATTATAGTTTTACACAATAAAAATACAGTATTGACCTCATTTGACAATTAGACAACAGTTGCACTGTCCCCATTTATCTATTTATTTATTTATTTGCAACAATGGTGGTTTTGATCACAATTGTACACGCCCTAAGAATGATAATCTGCTGCCTGCTTTACATTTCTGTGACAGAGGTTGCAAGGTTTGGGGAGGTTGCTGTTCCTTCAGAGCTATTTACTCTCTATAGGTGTCGGCCTCATTGAGGAGCGGAAATGACATCTCCCCCTTGCTCTCAACATGCCTTTGATGTTCAAACAGCAGGCCTAATCCACGAGGCTGAGGTGCAGTTGATTAGGGGCCGATCTCTTTCAATAGCCGACCTTCTCCATCATCCAGTCCCTTCAGCTCAGGCTTATTATGGCATTGTATGACTGGGAAGAATGAGGCAGGCATGTTAGTCACTCTCATTGTTTTGGTCGGGTTTTTCCTTAGTTACAGGGAAAAATGGGTGGCTCTGACTTTCCTTCTTTAGAAATCTAGGTGGGATGAGATAATGGGGCAGCTGTCAAGTCTGGCGGGGGGTTAAATGTGATTGTGAGTGTACGTCTTGGTACTGCCATTGCCAAATAATGACTCAATGACTTCATGACTTCAAAATATGAAGAGAGTGAAGACTGAGGAGAGTTGCTAATGTTTCCGATTACATAAATTTGCTGAAAAAAAGAGGCAACCTTATTCATCTTAGACCTCAAAAGTTATTATGGAACATTTAGTTTACTCTTAAGTCTTTATCTTTTTAAATTACAAGAACAATATGTTTTTATGTGTTTATGTTTTTTATTTTTGGTTTAAAACTCTATGTAAAACCATCGCTCTATAATCCATGGACTGTAAAAGAAAAAGCACTGTCAGCACTTAAAATATGTGTACGTCTTTCCAGATAACTGATGCTGGATGCAAACTTCCCCAGTCTGTTTCAGAGGGAGCAAAACAGATCACATGCAGACTCAGGTAAGTCTTTTTTTTAAAAAACTCTTGTTTAACAAGTCTTTTAAGACGTGTTTGGAAACTCACAAAATCCTGAGGGGAAAGTAAAAAAAAGATGCAGGGAAACACGAGGTACAGCGGTCTCTGTCACAACAATGTGCTTTTGGTTCAGGTAACAGTCGAACTGTTACTAAGTGGCACACAAGGCTTTCCCATGACCCCTGGCAACCAGCACACAGCCGGGACCTGAGCATGATTCAGAGCAATAGAGGCGTTAGACTGTCCACCACGGGCTGCACAGGGAGGACAAGGATCTCTATGGAAACACAAGAACTTTGAGGTTAAAATTAACGGCCCCTTCCCAACTTGTTTGACCCAAGTCGCCCCCCCCCCAACAGGGAGAACGAGTGAATAGGGAGTAAATAGGCTCATAATGGTCCTCTCCTGTTTCAGTGCCCCTACTCTGCACCTCCAATGAGGCCTTTCTGCAATTGTGGTGAGAGAGATGATGAACAGGGTGGAACACCACTTCCCACTCCTCGTGCTTTAAATAAATTAGGCGCCTTTTCATCACACACTCCCCCCCACAGAGGCCAGTTATTCTCTGGTGAATAGTCGGACCTCTAACAAGTTCACATGACCTCCCCTAGAGAGCGTTGTTTACCAAGAGCCCACGGGACGACGTGACAGGAGCAGAGTTCACGCATTGTTTTTTCTTCTTCCATATTTCTCATTTCCTCTGTGTTTAGGAACGTTCAGAGGAAGTTGGCCATCCAAATGGCTCCCAGATTATTTTCTCTGGGCACCGGGGAGTTTCTTCAGGCCAGCAGATACTAACTTCTCCAGAGCTCAGCCATGAGGTGGTCATCTCCCCTGGCCTCCCAACTCCTCCTCTGAGCCCTTTTCACTCTGCAAGGCAGCTATCTGGAGAGGTCAAGGTATGTAAAGTCCTCCTGGCTGCTTTCACAGCACAGCTGAGGCTGAGAGGAAGTTGGGAAATGAAGTGCTCCTCCCAGTGGAGAAACTGAATAAAGCACGCCATGCACACATTGGAGAACTGCCACTGCATTTAGCATTTAGCTAGACTAGAGTGACAGAACTCTTCTTCTTCTTTTACTCTTTTTACATTTCTGTACTGCAGGAGTCGGAGCTGAATGGAGGAGGCCCATCAGCTGTCAGCTTTGGATCATATTATGGACCCTCACAGTCACAAGGCAAGATCAAACGTTTCATAAAACCTGTGCATCATATAATATCAGCAATTTGTTGTACAGCTAGAAATGATGTATAAATAATTGATCATGAGGGTGTTTGGGGTGATGAAATTATGAGGAGTGATATGGCATCTTGTGGCATTTCCAGAGGGAATAACTTTTACCCCTGAGTTTAAACTTAAAATACTGTGATTCATGCCAGAGGTCTTGCGATTGGTGAAATATTTAGATAAAAATACATGGACACTTTTATGACAAGTTAAATAAATGAGGAATGAGTCTATCTGTTTTACTGTGTTATTACTGCTTCAATCGTGTCTCAGGTGGACTTTCCAATGGTGTCCATGGCTGCTCCACTCTGCCACGCAGCTGGACTCCAAACAAGGACGGCAGGCTCATCAAGTTCTCGGGAATTGGTCCGGTGGATGAGACCGGGATGCCCATAGCCTCCAGATCTGTAAGGCAAACACTGACTCGCTTCATTTTTCAACACTTGCTTCATGTGATGTGATCTCACCGTTTTCCAGGTTGATTTACTTTCAACGCCTCCTATTTTTTTCTCCCACCAGAGTGTGAACAAGCCCAGAGACTGGTACAAGAGCATGTTCAGACAGATTCACAAGAGGCCAGAGGGTAAAAACACTCCTCCTCCTCCTCCTCTCAAACATTCAGTGGCAATAAATTCCACAGTGTCAATTTGTCAGGTTCTATAGAGGTGATCCAGCTTACAGATTATTAGAAAAACAAAATAAGAAATGATGAAAGAGCCCTAAATTCTTATGTCACCTCTGCGCGTCAGCCCTGACAATTACCCAGCCTCTTATCTTGGTCCCTCCTAATTCTTCCTGGTAATTTGTCTTTATTATGCATTTTATGGTAGACACTTGTTGACTTTTGCTTGTGTAGTTAATGACATCGAAATACAGCTGTGACCTTTGGCACGACAAAGGCAGTATTTGACCTGTTCAACAAGAATGATTGTGTTATAACAGACAACTGCTAAAAGCACTTTTACTTAAAAGGGAAAAGGGGGGAAAGGAAGATTTCTTAGCTTTCTTTTTTTTCTCCAGAGCCTGAGCTGGAGGATTCAGAGCAGTGGTCAACAGAACGTAAGTGAATCCACACCTCCCTGATTGTATAATCATCTTTTACTTGACAATGATGTAAACTTACTGATCCACAGGGTTCCAAATCTCTGCCAGAACAGAGGAACAAAATGAAGCAGACAACGATCTCTTCAAACTAACTCCTTATGGAGCTTTACCTGACTGGTAAGTTTAATGGAACTACTATTTGGGTCATGGGACGTTCATATTCTTATATGCGGAAAAAGACACGGTTCTCCTAACAAAAAGAGAAAAAAATAAAAATTCCACCCTTCATATCCTGATTGGCATTTTTGTTTTAAAGCAAAATGACTAAGTAACACCGATTTCGGTAGCAGTGTGTAAGCCAGTGTGTTGCAATGGGACATCAAGATGTTTTGCTTTGTGGGTTACACATTTAGAAAAGAATATGATGTAATTGCACAGACTTTTGCTGATCTCTTGTGCTAATTCCAACTCAAACTTGGGCCCGGAGCAGGGGAGAGAAAACCTGAGGGACAGACAAGTTTGGATTTGTTGTTGCAGGAGCTCACAATGAGACCATGATTTAGTTGCTGTCCATGGTATGTGTGTGTGTTTGCATGTGTGTGTGTGTCATGGTGTAATGTTTCAGGAGCGAAGATGTCGATAAGGTTTCCGACCCAGGAAAGCAGCAGCCTCAGCCAAGGAGCATTTTCGAGTTTGAGCCTGGAAAGAGCACCGCTTTAGAGAGCCCCGGACAGGTACGACCTCACCTGCAGTCCCCGTTTAAAAAAAGCCCTAATGAGTCTCTGATACCCGCTTAAAGTCTTTAATCTTCAGATTAATCTAGCAGTGCTGTTCCTCCTGATCACTAGCATGCTTTGTATAGTCTTGTTTTCCCACTGAGGAGCTTAAGAGCAGGTTGGTCGCCTTTTTCTTTTTCTTGAAGGATTACAGTCCGAGTCCTCATATTTCTACTTCTCACGCAAGGTATCCGGTGGCTTCTGAGTCGTACAGCGTACTGTCGTACTGGCTGCTTATTGCCAGCTTTGCCTTCTTCTTTTCAGATTATCCTCTGGGTTTCTAATGCTCAGATGAAATGAGAAAATTCCGGATTTACGTTGGTTGTCAGGTTTTGAGGCAGGGAGTTTTATGCTCCAGTGGAGTTGTAATTCATAATTATGTGTATCTTGGACTATCTGGCACTGCTGTAGTTGAATGTGAATCCATCTATATTCATTTCTATTAATTTGTGCATTTGTGAGTTGAAGTACTTAGGGTGAGTTACAGAGCAGCTTCTTTTTCTTTTTAGATACAATGTCCCAGATCTGGCGTGCTCTCTGTCTACACCAGTAAAGAAAAGAAATCTTTGTTTTCACTCCCCCGTGGGAGCTGATGTGCCTTGTGATCCGTATTATGGTGTTAACCTCTTGGGGTGTGTAATGGCTCACAGCATGGGGACTTATTTAATTTCCTCTATATGACGCTGTCCTATGTTGTATCCCCCAGACAGCATTTAGAATCCAGCTCACGGACCATATCGGGTGATGTGCTGCTAGTGTCTTTAAAGTCTGTGATTGTAGAGGTGATGACTTCCAAAAAGGGGGGGGCTTGGCATTCAGTGAGAAATGTTAAGCCATAGTTTGACAAAAAAATAGATCAGAGGTCTTCGGTTCTCACCGGCAGGGCCTTTTAAAGTAATGTTTGATGGAATCGGCTGCTGGAGGTGTTGAGCCTACATAAAGAGAGAGTGACAGAGGTTTTTAAAGGATAAATATGTTGGGATGTAACGCTGCAAGTATGAGGACCATGATGACCCATCCAAATGGCCTTTGAAATTTGGAATAATCTTTCTCAGATCACTTAACCAGAAAATTCAGGGGATTTGCCTTGCTATTTAATATATATTTCTGACTCTGAAGCAGTTCACTGCAGGACAACTGAGTGAAAGATTATAAATATATCTCCCATTTATGAGATTCTGAGATTCTGAGTATCAGATTCTGAGATTCTGAGTCCTCATTTGTTTCACCACTAACAAAATCCTTCTGAAGTGTCCCCTCGGCGAATTACTCAAAAGTCTATTTTCACTAACTTTATCTACTTTTTGATCTTGCTAATATATTTGTTTGTGAGGGAATGTGAGTGTCAGTTTATCCAAGAAAGAATGGACACACATTTGTTAGCAGCTCCCTGTTTCGATCTCTGTGGAACATCTGGACCTCAAAAATTTAAGACCATAAAATTAGGTTTCATGGTTTTAACACAGATTACAAATGCATGCTCTAAAGGTCTGAAATAACAATGATGCAGGTTTATTATTAAAGGAATAGCTTAATTTTTTATATTTTTATTTATAATTCTATGTATAATTTATTTACTTTGAGTGAGAATAGGTGTTTCTTTCAAAACCACAGCAACTGATCGTTGATTGTTTTTTTTGGGGGGGAGATTATGTAAAACAGATAAGAAGAACACATCCTTGTTCAAACCTGTTGCTATATAATTTGCTACCCCCTTTTTTTGTGGTTATGTTGACATTCATGAAAAGCAGTTCTATGAATTAGCCATTAACAAACATGTTGTGAGTCTTTTCAGCTTCCAAAATGGCTGCACAAACTAAACCTGCTTTGTTAGTTCAGCCTTAATTGACAGGTGTTAGTAAAAAAGATGAAGTCAGAAGCAATTCTGTGCTTAAATTAACTTTTAACTGCTTTCCCTGTTCATAGGTTCATCTATACCCGAAGCACCAGTCTGAGAAACCAAAGTCTCCTTCTATTGAGGTGAGCACCTGCAGGACAAACCATATTTGACACTGCAATCACTTCTAAGATTTCATTTTTAAAGTTTAGAAGGGATATCAGTAATTTTTTTTAAAAGAAACGTTTTTAGTGTTTTTTTAATCTTGCATTCCAACTATATAATTGCTTGGGCTCAGGCTAGTTTGGTATCTGAGCTTAGTCAGTTTGAGGCTGAGCTGGACTCGGAGATTCAGGGCCTGGAGAGGACCCTTTCCCAGAAGAAGCTCCGCAGACGCTGGGGTGAGGTACTGAGCCGCCCCCTCCTCCTCCTCTCTGCTGAAGCACCTCGCTCCCCTCCAGCCTAGCAGAATGCTCCACCAACCTTTGCCGTGTTAGTTTGATCACATTTTGCTCGCTAGCTTTGAGTACATACTTTTTAATTTCTGAATGACTTAGCAGAGCACTTTAAATTTGCCTGTCTGTCCTGCACTCAGAATGAAATGCCTAATAAACACCTGCCTGCCACCCCCCTGCAGCAAACCTGGAAAATTGCATGTTTGCTTCAAATTGTGTTTTTTCAACATGCTATTCTTTACATCCCTCTGTAGCGCAAAAGCAATTTGCAAAAAAAACAAAACAAGCCATTTCTCATGCTTTTCTTGATTTTTGTGTGACTGAATCCGCTTCATGGACGGCTATCTGATCCAAAAAACCCACACAACTCAGACAGATCACAAGCTGTGTTGTTTGTAGCCCGAGGAGGATAGGACCCTGGGGATTTCTTTGCTCCTTGGGGAGTGGTCAGCACCTCTACTTTGTCTGAGTTGTAGGGAGCTCTCCTCTGAACCGCCAGATACAGAAGGCTGACTTGTACTCCTGTGTTGAGTGTTCACTCTGTTTACAGGAGGCCAGAGGCAGGGATCCAGTAGCTGCTCCAAAGACCGGCACCACCAACCACAGGTTAGTTAATAGCAGCGTAACAGAGCACTCACATGATCACAACAAAGGAAGGCTGTAAACACAACTTGGAAGGTATTTAGCTGCTTTTGATTGCAGTTTTACTAATCTTTTAACATATATTTTCGAATTTGAGATGTGTTTGTGAAATATTTCCTTTTTCATTGTTAATTTATTCATATCTAGGCCTCTTGTTTTTGGTCATATGAACTTTGCGATTTAATTCTGATGTGCTTTCTGAAGATGTCTTTGTCTTTATTTTTTTCCTTACGAATACCAGGAGACAGTTTAAAGAAAATGCAGGGTCAAAAAAGTTGAGCAATCCTTTTGCATTTTTCTCTCCAAAAAGTGCAACAAACATAAGTTCTGTCAAAGGGACTGAGAAACTGAATGGTCTTTAAAGTGTAATCAGTTTGGACTGGAGATTGGCTTGTATCAGATGAGGGTCGGTCGACACACAACAGACTCCCTCTGAGTGCAGGCCCCCTCCTCCTAATCCACTTTGATATTGCATCATTGTTCAGTAGAAAGTGCTACATTCTTCCTGCTGTTTTAGGAATCCCAGGGCTGTGTTTCTACAGAACAGCCATTCATACCTGGCAGTGCGCCTGTTAGATGATCATGTGACTTTCTGAGCTCGACGCTCTGTAGGGAAGCTGTTAATGTAACAAGTTCAAGTTCGGTATTTGTTCCTTCAAACAGCAGACAGCATTCCACATTTCTCACCAAGTGTGTAATGCATTCTTGGAGGAGTCTCACAGTTTTTTGCTGTACTGAGCTCTTAGACTGTGACCTTTTCCAGTTTTAATACATGTACATTTATAACATTACAGCAACAAGATGTCTCATTTTAGTCCAGCTGCAGCTACATGGGAATACACATCTACACTGTCTGAAAACATGCAAATAAGCCCGAAGGATCCCAGCTGGCCTGAAAACTTTTGGTTTTGAGCTGATTCTCAGAGAATGAATGAAGTGTCAGGCCTGTAAGGATAATTGAGGCGCTATGATTAATTAGAACCAGATTTCGAGCTTCGAGACAACAGAGACACACACTGGCCTCTCTTGCTGTCTTCTTATTTGTCTCTTTTCTGTTCAGTGTATTAAAACCAGCTGCGAACAGATGAGCTCCTCATTAAGCCTGCAGGAATGCACCATGTACACTGTATTCTTCCAGCTGTGTTTGACTACAGGCATTTATTTGCGCCTGTTATCCTGTTGTCATTAGAAAATCTTGCCCCTGGGTAGCTGACACACTGATAGCAATAAAAAAACATGAAAGGCACTTATTTTGTTTACTTTTTCAGCAGTTTCTCAGCGTCGAAACAGCCTGTCCAGCATTCAAGTGGCACAACATCCGCATGTGTTCCAGCATATGGTAAGCATGGGCCTCATTTCCTTTCGGCCAGGCAAAACACATGCACGTTAAGGTTGGACAGTTTGTTTTTTATTACCAGGGATCCATGAGTGGCTCACATTTTCCTCTTTCCTGAATCAACCGTCCATACAAAATGCACTTGAGAGTTCACTTGTCTAAGCTTTAAGTGATCTAATAAACACTGGTAGTTCCCCTCATAGCTTCTGTTGTTTTTCACTTGTTAAAAGATGCTGGTGAGAAAATGGAAAATCCATTTGCAGTTTCTTTCCTATAGAAGCAGCAGGCGATGGGTGGGGAGGAAGCCCACAAACATAGGAAGTGGAACTCAGAAGACCTGATTAAAGATTAGCTCTATTCAGCTTTTTTCCCTGGACATCCTATGAGCCTTCAGACTCTTGTAGTTGTTCAGGCTGTGATCACTTTAGCACAGAAAGATGTTTAAAGCCACTTTGCAACTAAGACAATGTGCACAAATTAATAACTTTTGTGTCCATGATGTCTTCCACAGTAGATCGCCTTTGCCCTGCAAATGAAACAATGGAGCTCCCATCAAAAAAAGAAGAGAAAAAGGTATGTTTGTGTCTTTTTATTCTCACCTAAAAGGCTTGAAAATTATACAAAGTGCATGTTTAGTGTTGTTCACAGTTGATAGCATCTTTTCCTGCATTTTCAGATGAAAGCAGCAAGAGCAAAGTTTAATTTCCAGGCTCAGTCACCCAAGTGAGTTGTGTTTGCTGACACCAAGAATTCAGTTTCCTTTCCTTCATGATAACCTGTATTTGATAAAGAAAACACAAGATTGTGTGAGGTCAGGGTCAAATCTGAGCTTGAATAATTTTCTAGAGACATATTTGAAACAATGGTTCAACACTTGACTGAAAGTTTTTCTTTTTGTCTGCTCAATTTCTTTTTCCACGTTTCAGGGAGCTCGCACTGCAGAAAGGGGACATTGTTTACATCCACAGGCAAGTAGATCCCAACTGGTTTGAAGGAGAGCATCATGGAAGAGCTGGTATTTTCCCCACTTCATATGTGGAGGTGAGTTTCTCATTTAAATCTATTTTTCCCCAGTATGCTAATATGATTAGATGCTGACTAACATCTGACATGGCCTTCCCAGATACTCGCTCCTACAGAGAAACCGACACCCATTAGGTCTCCCACGCTTCAGGTTTTGGACTATGGGGAGGCTATAGCTCTGTATAATTTCAACGGCGACCTGCCCGTGGAGCTTTCTTTTCGTAAGGTGAGTCATAAGATAAATATGTGATTAGAATTTCCCGATCAATGACTAAATGTTTTATAAAATAATGGACGAGCAAAGACATAACATTTGTAACATTTTGTGGCTTCACATATGTGAATTGTGAATGCAACTGATCCATGAGATATATAGTATGTGCATGTTTTTTCTATCATTTTTAGCAAAGTGTTTTTGTTTCCTTTTTCAGTTGTTTTCCACATTTTTGCTGTTTTGCCAAGAATCCTTTTTTCTTGTTTTTTCTCTTTCTGTTTTGCACTTGAAAGTTGATCTGTAGTATCTGACGAAACACTTGTAAATTCTTACATTGTCCTCAGGGTGAGGTGATCAGCATTACGAGGTGTGTTGACGATAAGTGGCTGGAGGGCAGGATATCCGGAACGAGCCGGAGCGGCATCTTCCCGGCCAGTTACGTCCAGGTCAACAAGATGCCCCGAACCAAATACGCCACAGATGACTATTCGGCTGGCCCCCTCTCCCCTGGGCCGCTGAGTCCAGGACGTCCACTCCATTCCCCTAGCCCGCGGTCACCATTGTCCCCGTTCACCTCCACCTCTCTGAGTCCCAAACCTGCGCACTCCCCCGTGAAACCGTCCTCACCTATTCCCTATAGCAGCCCGGCCTCACAGCCACGCTCCCCCTCCCAGACACCTGCACTCAGCCGTATGCCAGACAGCATCTCCAAATCTGCTTCACCCAGCCAGAACAGCCACCGGGCAACTGCATCCTCCACCAACCAGGGATCCAACTATAGAGCTGTTTCGCCTTCCACTCAGGCACCAGCATCTATTCTCAGAGCAGGACCCCCCCCAGCCAGCACTCCCAGACACACTGACCCCTCACAGGTCTGCTCTCCCCGCCTCCACCACCACGCAGAAAGTCACAGCATGTCCACACCTGTGTTCTCTCTCTTTGCTTCGTCAGAGTGGCCCATCGTGTATCATGAAATCTGATCGAATGTTTCTACTCTTCCCAGGGTGCAGCTCCACATCAGGCTGCTCCTTCTCATGCACGTGTCAATCCGCAAGGGCCAAACGTTCCCGGTTCAGCCGCGGTGCAACGCCAGCCGTATGTCAGCCTGTTCTCATTCCCACAGAACAGACGAGACGTTGTTGAAATTTTTGTGAGACTCTGGTTTTAAATGTGTACGTGTTCTCAATTCTAGATACCAAGCTGTTTACAACTACAAACCCCAGAATTCAGATGAGTTAGAGCTTAAAGAAGGAGACATTGTGCAAGTGATGGAAAAGTGCGATGATGGCTGGTTTGTAGGTGAGATGATTTCCATAACGATTGTTTTGATTAATTGAACAACTTTAATGTTCTTTCACAACAAGAATAAGAAAGACAAATAACACTGACACAGAAAATAGGACAGGAACTCGAGTATTTTGTGTGAGATCTCATGCTGCACGGTGGTTTGGTGGTTAGCATTGTCACCTCACAGTAAGAGGGCTCCCACTTCAAACCTTGGCTGGGGGCCTTTCTCTCTGTGGAGTTTGCATGCTTTCTCCATGGATATGTGGGTTCTCTCATGGTACTCTTCCTCCCACCATCTCAAGACATGCACGTTAGGTTACTTGGTGACGCCAAATTGACCCTTGGAATGAGAGTGTGCCTGGTTGTTTGTCTCTGTGTGACTCTGTGATGGATGGTGACCTGTCCAGGGTGTACCCTGCCTCTCGCCCAAAGCCAGCTGGGATAGGCTCCGGCCCCCTTAGGAAAAGTGGTGTAGAAAACAGATGGATGATGTCGGAAGCCCCTCTAGTGGACACCATGAAATATTGCACATCATTTGCAGCACTTTCTTTCTTTAGGCCGTTAACTTTTTCTAAAGACTGTTTTTAAAAACATTGTTTGTTGCCGTTGTGTGACCACAGCATGTGATTTGCTCCCTGCAGGTACGTCAGAAAGGACTCGGGCTTTTGGAACTTTCCCTGGGAATTACGTGACACCAGTTTGACATTCACGCACTGCTTGTCCACATTGGATGGGAGCCTCACAAGCCCAGCTAACGCCTTAGTCCCGTTACCTGTCACACTTCCAAATCTGGTTCAGTACGGCCTGCATGTTCACTCTGCTTCCTCAGAGAGAAGCGAGGGAAACCTTGTCATTTCTCTCCTCACCCTCCTGCATGTGTGTGTTTTTTTCACAAAGACTTGAGGAGTGTTTTCACACACACTACTTGAAAGGAAAGAATGTAAGCCAATGTGACCATTGCAGTTTCAAATAATGGACTTTTTTTTTGTTCCATAACTATTTGCAGCTGCAGGAAATTTGAATTCCTTCCCCCTGAATAGCACTGTTCCCACTGAGGTGCTGATTCAAGCCTGCATTTAGCTTTTTGCCGCCCCAGTGCCATCACAAACCACTGCTGCAATTTGTGAGAGGAATTTTGTATGTTTTGTTGGATTATCAATATGTGATCGTCAAATATTTTTCTCAGATTTTCTTTCAGATCTTTGAATAAACCTGCGGCAGGTTTGAGGAAACAACACCCACCTCTGAACATAGAGCACAAAACACAGTAAGAGCTCAGACCAGTTTAAAGCCCCTCACATTTGTATGCAGTAATGTGAAAGGAACATATGCATGTGCAAGTTTTTTTAGTGAGATATTCATAGTTAGGCTGTTTTTGGGCCCCGTTAACAATGTAATTGTCTGCCAAAAGGTGAAAGAGATACATTCACATCCTGTGTTGCAATAGAACGTTTTATGGTTAGAGATCAAGTTTCAAATCTCAGTCCAGCTTTGACTGTGCTGTTGAATCTAGACATTTCTGTAGATGTTTAAATAATCATTTGAAGTCACTGAATTAATGTTGTTTGTGCCAAAACTAATCCATTAATGTCCATCTTTATTCAGCTGTCAACAAAAAAAAAATACAAAAAAATCCAAGCTCACTTTCTGTCTGCTGAGTTTGCTACTGCTGTTTTTCCAGTGTTTTGTCTGTTTATGGTGTTAACATTCTGCCTTTGAAAACAGTATTCCGAAAAATCATATATACTTGTGCCACAGCTACTTTTGATGAGTTTGTAAGACTTAACTAGAAGCCTTCATCATTGAGATCTTTTGCAGTTTTATGTGAAAATGTCATAATTTCATTGTAAAAATGAACCTAATTTAGCAGACACAAAAAGAGATTGTACAGACTGTAACAGTTTATAAAACTGAAAGTATAATATATTTGCTTAAATAAACTGTATTGCACATGTATGGTACTTTGTATAAAAGAATATTAAACTTTACAGAGTGATACTTGCTGTGTTTAAGTATTTTGTCAAATGCTTTGATAATGTTGTGTTGTCACAGGTATGTAGAATAGTCTAAATGTAGCTTGGTAACTAAATGCAACCGATACAGACATTTTACTGTATTTTTCTCTGATTCAGAATTTCCCATAAACAATAAGACCGCATGTCAGCATGAACAGCTAAAACATACACAAAAAAAACAAAACATGAGCTCTGTCTTCCAGCTACGCTCAGACAACTGATTGAAAAAGGGGAAGCGACTATTCTTACAGTAAAGTGTAAGAAAAAAAATAAGAAACACACTAATTAAAGAGGCCAATCGCAAAGGTTTATTGATATGCTTGAACATTGTGTGAGACCATTCTTGCCTTCGTGTAGATTTACTTATGCATATTTTGTTGGCGTTGTGTAATGTTAAAGTAAAAAAATTAATAAATAAAATGTCGTAGCTGACGTCAGTCTAATTAGCGCCCAACTCGCACACGTGTGGGCTGGCTCGCGCTGCTCGGTTCCGTCGGCAGGTGGCGCGTGGACTCGACGCGCAGCCATTTGTAGATTAATGGCTCAATTATGTCTGCTAAAGCCTCATCTCCTCCCTCCTCCGTGATGTGACACGCCTCTGGTCGCTGCCCGTGTCAGTCGCATTATTTTGGTGGCGGCGCATGGCACCACAAACCCGTCCCAGTTGTACCAGTGCGTGCGTAGTCGCAGGTGGGGTTCGCGCGTGCCACCTTTACGTTTGACAGAACAGGACGAGGTAGAGGAGAGGGGATCGCGTCTTTGGGCTCATACCGACACAAGAAACCAGTGAGTTTGGAGACAGGCTGAAGTGAGCTGGGAATTTTCTGTCCCCTGACTGTAAAGTGTTTTTTTCTTCTTCAAGAACGCAGCATTTAATAAAGAAAAGGCTCCGCAAGTCACACTCTGGTAAGTGAATTAAGATAATTGAAGTATATAACATACAAGGAAATGTTTGGCTGATTAAAACTTTTTTTATTATTTAATTTGAGTGGTTTGGAAAAAAAATTCAACACTTGGTGTGTTAAAGGTGCTGACTAAATATTTATTCTGATTGTGCTCTTTTTTTAATGAATGGTAGTTTGAGTTATAGCCAAGGGTTCTGTCTTTTTAAAAACCAATTTGCTTACTAAAAAGTATGGGGGAAAATGAGTAAAGCCTTGTTTATGCTCGTCATGTGGCCAGCAGTTCAGATACAAGTTTTTCTGTCTGATGGAGGTGGAAACTGGAAGTCATTCTTACAAATTTAAGCCCGAACTAGGTTCCAGTTTCCAGCACCCATGTTAGATTTTCCATCCCTCCTGTATCCAGGAGAGTACTGGAGGTATTTTTATGCACGCTGAGTTGTCACTGAGACTTATGTGGCTGGACCAGGTGGAGCTCTCAGAAACTGGCACTCATTACATTGATCTTTCTTCTGAAAATGCCGCTGTCTTCATTTCCAAGACAAAACAGTAAGTTCATGGTAATGACTCTGAATTAATTTTTCCTCTTTTTCACTGCACTTCTCCTAATGTGTTAAGAGAGAAGAGACTTGGCTGTCAGTTCAGCAGAATGGGGAACTACTTTAGGTGCTGAAGCAAAAGGCCAGATCAGTCACACTGAAACCATCATGTTCTCAGACCTCCAACAGCTGCTGTTTCAATGTGTTTTTTTTTTATCTTAGCATGTCAGACAGTCTTTTATGTGCATTTACAACCTTCCCTCTTTCTTTCTGCTGGTTTGGGTCACTTTACCAACACCTTTTTGAACCAGGATGCCTAAAAACGGGTTGACCTATGTTATTTTGAATATAGCAAAAGATTAACTTCCCCAAAACAATATTTCACACAGAGAAGATGATGTTGTTCCTCAATTATGGTGAGGTTATCACTGAATCATGAGATTTTTTCAGTCTATTTCCTCAGTTTCTTTTGCTCAGATTCCATTATTGGCAGCTTTACTGCAGTTAGTACCATGTGTTTAGTCTGAATGTTGAAAGTTTGTCTTTTTGGATCAGAAAAGGGTGGTTTTGCAAGCCTTGGCAAAGCCCTTTTTTTGCACCAGTTTAAAAAAAACTTTTATTGCCTTCAGAAAACATTCAACTAGCATCAGTTTTCTGAGAATTTTGCATATGCAACAGAGTACTTACAGTCTGCATGTAATGAGCAAAGTGGTTTACTGTCGCTGCTTGCAAAAAAAGGCAAGATTGCGTGAAGAGGATGTGGTCTGGCCTCACTCTTGATAGGAAATGTCAAATCTATTCAGCATGAAGATTGCCATCAGGATGTCTACATATGATGGAAAGGGGGCTCAACAGAGGCTCAGTTATCCACTTAACCTTATTTTAAGTGATTAGATCATTTTAGAAAGTGACAATATATTGCGTTGGGATACAAAGCATTCCATGAGCACCGAAAAGGGAGTTACCCAGAAATATTAGAAGTATGTTTCAGTCCATCATTAATTTGATGACACATAAGCAATTAAAGACATTTGCCACAATAAGCCAAAGCTTATGGACCAACACCCATTATTTTTGACATCATCAAGTATTTGTTGTTGTTTAAAGTCTTCTCTCCTTAGTGACTACAGCTACATCTGAGTTAAGGGGTGTGATGGACTGAATGCACTGTAAGCTATTTCACTGTCTTACGTCCAGGGAGAGGCATGAGATTGCATTCCTTTTCTTTTTATTCAGAGGGTGTGCGTCCAGGTAGGTGTTGACCTGTCAGCGTGCTGCGTGACACACAGGTTAAAGTCAACAGCAGCAGACTACATCACTGACAGTTTGTGGAAAATTCTCACTTGTGTATGGCAACCAGCGAGAGCCTTGACAACCGTGTGATTCATACCAGGAATATTCCCCCGAAGCCACGGTGTTTCATCTAAGTGTTCCTTCACATCAATTCTCCACCAGAGCTCTCGGCTAAATGTGTTTGTCTTCTGTGCTGAAATTATTTTATAATCTAGATGTCAAAAAGTCAGTGCTTGTTAATAAAGATTGACTGCATTTTGACCCAAAGTTCAAAAAGAGACCACAGTCTCAATTTAGCACTCTAGTTCTTCGAGGAGAGTTAATTAAGGGAAGTCAATGGACAGAGACTTCATTGTAAGAACTATGTACCTGGTAAACTAAATATAAACTAAAGGTAAACGGGTCATAACAATTTAGTACAGCCCATATGGCAAGTTGTTTTTCCACATTTAATTTACTGTCAAGTATAGATGAGGTGCTAATCTTTAGGGTTGCTGACTGGTAATGTCACAATATTCTCCATTAACATCAGATAATCTTAACAGCAAGTTCTGTTCTAAGGTATAAAACATTCATTTTATTGGAAAGGTGGCCACTGGTGGACTGAGATATGGTGCCATGTTAAACACTCATAGATTGTGCCATACTCACATCCAGACTGGGAGGAATGGGGTTAATTCATTTCACCCAAGTAACCCCAAACTACACAGTTGGCTAAACATGGTAAATCAAACATTAAAAAAACAGTAGGCGTTTATGTTAGAAACTAATGAAAAGGTTTGAATGCTTGTCAAAGCTCACGGAACATAAATGACACAACCTGACAGATTTGTTTCTAAGAATATGGATGATGGACTTGTCACAGACTTATTACATTTTTGTGACTGATCAGCTGTATCCTTTATTTTTAAATTACCCAGTGACAATCAAACCCAGAAGCCATTCAGCATGTTCTAGCAGTGGCTTTGAAACTACCAAGGTCTGTCCATTTGCCTCATACCTCCATGATTCTTTTTTTTTTTTTTTTGCCTGCAGGGGCAATCCCTCAGACATGACAAGTGCCAAAAGGCCTTAAACATATTGAGTATATATATGGCAGGCTTGAACTTCCCCCAAAGAGCAAGAATGTCCCTGTGGAAATGTTGTGAAGTAAAGCTGCAGTTGAACTGAGTTTGAATTTAGATTATCTGATTTTTGCTTTGGAAATAAAAAAAATATATATACAAAAATGTCTATTTTCTTGTCCCCAGCTTGTTAGCTTAAAATCAACTGTAAGTTAAAGTCTTCCTGATCCCTTTTCCTACAGATAGAAGATCCTGACCATTTAATGTTGGATTTAGTCATATTTCCTCTGCCATCTTCTGAGATTTCTCAGAATTATCTGAATATTTGATTATATACAATAGAGGATCAAATGCCCTCATTCTGTAAAGACTAAAATAAAGTCAGCAAATAGTTTGAATGGTTATCAGTTATGTTTTATTTATACTTAAAATAATCAATTTGGAAATATTGTTAAAGGTTTTTTGGGGTTAAGGTTAATGTTTTTTTTGTTAATGGAAGTGTATGTTGGCAGTTCCTAATTGAGAGCTCCAGCTATTGAAAAACCTGTTTCAGAGATGATTCTGCATTTTGAGGTCTGTAAAAAACCTTGTTGTTTGAATGCTTTCAGGAGCACAATTCCAGTTTTCCTCATACTGGCCTCCAGCTGTGCAGCTGATTCTGTAGCATAGAACTGACTTTGACTAGAATTTTTGTTATTGAAACTGGGTTGCCATTATTGGTGGGGCAGCAAAGCAATGAGATGTGACCAGAAAAGAATTTATGTATACTGGCCATTGCCCAACGGTAGCTTTTGTTGGATAGGGATGGTTCATCAGTCTGTGTTCAGCACTTTGCTTTATGTGAACAGCAGTGCAGTCATTTTTTTAAGCTCATCGGTCAGTCCCCAATCTAACAAAGCCCATAAGTGGGCCACTTATCCACACCACTACAGTGGGTTGTTTTCTCCTCCCTGTCTCTTGGCTCTGCTGTATAGTTCCAGCATCCTTTCATTATGACGTTCACCAGCCTTTTTATGGAGCAAACAGTGAATATTTGCACAGAATTGGCGGGGGGCATGGCTGGTAATGGTCACTGTGTTGGAGAGGCTGCTGAGACTTATGAAACTAATTGACTCCTAGAGGCTGGGAAAGTTTGGGGCGGCTTCTCCCTGTCATTATCTCAGCTGCACTTATTTCTGCAGGCCCACAGCAATTAAGAGCTTCTAATAATGGTGAGCCCAGTAGCCCTGCTAATTGGCCCTGACTCTTAATGAGTAACTAGGTATGCACTGTTTGTCCCAAACACTTGTGGAATGTGCAGACGGTGTTAGTGAAGCAGCATTTGGAGGGATGGGTATTTTGTGGCTGCTCCCCAAAACCCATTGAACTTGTTTATGCTGCTCATATCTTAAAGCATAACTTTATTCTGCAATTATATAATCCATCAGAGGTCTTTTATGGCTTTTAGTCAAACACCGATAAAGGTTATCATTAATGTACCACATAGCTGGCCGGGGTGTATACTAAATACTGATGCAAGGCAATAGAATAATTAAATTTGACCCTGCTTTTTATTTTATCACAATCGGTGTTGATTGTCAAGTGCGTTTTTGCACACAAAGAATCTGACCTGGTGAAGTAGTGCAATTAATATAGAATAAATTTAAACAAAATAAGAGGGTGAACAATGTTAAAGAAAAAGACAAATAAAAAGTAATCCTATGTAATGACAGTCCAAAGTTAACACCAAGCTTTTTTTGCTGACCCCCATTGACCTCAGTGAGATTTAGGTTCTAAATGTACTTGCTAGAAGCAATTTTCAATGTTGATGACTTTGGTGTTTTGGTGTTTTTCTATACGCTAGTCTGTAGTTAAAGGAGATCATGGCATCATCTGGAAAGCACCCATGCATTACCTGTTGCAGTAATGTCCTATGCTCATACAAATGCACCCAGTCACAGACACAGCAGCTCTGTGGCTGTGTGTGTCTGTTTGGACTGTGCAAGTGTTGATGCGTTTATGATCCTGCAGGGCTTGTCCCATCATCACATCTCGACGCCTCATACAGACGTGCTTCCTTCTTTAGTTGAATTACGGCTTCAGTCAAAAAGAATTGTTGATTTTAATGCTTTAACATGTATTTTCATTGACTCAAGCCTTCAAATTTCTAAGTAGATTATGGTCATGAAAATGTGTGAATCCAGACACATTTAAATTTGGACATTTATGGACACCTCTTCCGCCATCAGGAGTTAAAGGTTAAGGCTTCAACCTATTTAGGACATCATTGGCATGCTTTGTAACTTCTGATTACCCTTTTGAACCTTGCTGATAAGAACTTTTATCATCTCGTCATGCTGTTCATGTCAGAGTTCATGGTGATAAATCAACAAGTGACTGTGTTACTTTTTTGGGGGTGGGGTGGGGTGTTATTTTTTGGATCAGGCAACATTGCTTACCCACTAATTTACTAAGAAACATTATTTTTAGAAAGTTGTTTTTGCATTTGTACATCAGTGAAAAGTCTGAGAGACTTCTTTGGGTTAACATTTCCACTCCACACTGTAGCATGTTTGTTGGCATTTTGTTCCTTTTTTGTTTAAAATCATCAATATTTTGCAATGTGTGAAAAATCGAAACTCAGGCCATATATCTGCAGCATCTGTTTCTCATCTTTTCTACATAACTTTTTTTCACATTTCTGTGTAAAATTGATCAACAAAGGCATAACAGTATTTCCTAACACTTGGCCAACACATTACAAACTCCACTACCTGTAGCTATGTCACACAGATTTCTCACATCAACAAATGAAAACAAAAACTCATCAGGGGACCAAAATTTATGATTGATTCAGAAACACACAAAGGACTTTGTGTAGTGAAGAATCTGTAAAAAAAACTTTAAAAAAAACTCTTCCAAATCCTGTCGACATAAATTGCCAAACAAATTAAATGATCAGTTACACAAGTTTGTTTTCTATAGTCCAATCCCATATGTCTGAAAGAGCTACCATGTGTGATGCATACCATAACAAAGTGCAACACTGTACTTCATACAAATACACTGTAAGTATAGCTGGGCACAGTTGCCACCCAGCAATGTTTAGCTCATTTTTGGTACTGTGCTAGCATGACTTGTTGTTTTTGTTTTTGTTGTTTTGAAGCAGCATTTGGATTCAATTATACTCTTTCTGGCTCTGCAGACACTTAAGCAACATTAGTCATGTGTATTTGATTTGAGATTTTTCCCATTCCTATTTGATGTGGTTGCACAATCCATGTCAAGAGGACTAAGGCCAGTCAAAGTGAAGTGCTGGTGAAGATGAAAGGAGGCTCATGCAAATGTTCCCTGTCTTCACCAAGTGATCTAATGATGAGCCTGGCTGGCAGAAATATGCAGCTGGTTGAAAACTTTCAGCTGCATACATGTTAAAGTCTGACATGTCACCCACAAATCTTTACTGTCTTTTTCTCTTATGGGTTTAGATCTGATCACACAATGGCGCTGACGGTGAACCTCACTGGCCCCTCTCCATGGGGCTTCAGAATATTTGGAGGAAGGGACTTCAAGAAAGCCATAACCGTATCAAAGGTACTCATAAACAAGAGTGAATTTCTTTTTACAGAACTTTTTCTCACTGTATGGAGCCATAGCCTCTGCTTTTTTCAAAATCCAGCTTGTGATGGCATGCCATTCAAAGCAATTCCACACAGTTTTTTTGTCTTTGTTTATCTCCGTTGCCGTGTTGTGCATATTTCCTTGACTACTGAACTTTATGGCATAGAGTGGAAGTAGACTGCTTTAGAAGGAAATCACTGATTATAGTTACAATGGAAAGAGAGGTTGGAGGTGCGGGGGGGTCCTGATCTTTTTGTGATTATGTTAAATTGTTGCCAGTTCATTTCTGGTTGCATATTTGTATGTTTTTTTTTCTAAATATATTTTTAAAGTCGGAGTTAAAGAAGAGACTAAATGAAATAAAACATCTAGAATAGAAGAAGTGGAAATACAACCACTATTGGCAGGCAGTACTGTAAACACAACCAGGAAACCTTGTTCAGACTAACTTCTGCATGCCAGAGGCATCCTGACCTGCCCACTGCACATCCTGGTCTTTACAGCACCATTTCAAGTCATCCTGGAGTCTGTTTTTTATTTAGTTTTTGCAGCTGGACTCCCTGAGTAGCTCTTCGGACTATTAGCTATAGATTATAGAAAAGACATGACAGGATACCAGTGTTTCACAGGGCTGGAGGTTCTAACCCCTTCATTTTCAAAAGCAATTCTTGATGTACTTGATAACCAATGCTGTGGAGGAATATTCTTATGAACACAAGGCTTACAATTGCATGAATCACTTTGGAAAGACCAGCTCATCAATGGTCTGAAAAATCCACCTTGAGAAACACCCTGTCTTTCCCCTCCAGTGGTTAATAGGACAGGGTTGGTATGTCTGAATGGGCTGCCATTTGCACAGCAGTCACATACATGCCCTCTTTTACTGCTATTGGCCTGAAAGATGGCTTACCCTGGTTTCTTTTGGTCATAGATGCTGGACAACAACCCCCAACTGATCTTAGTTTATGTTAAACCAGGCGTGACCTGATCAGACAAGGCATGCAATGTTATGGGTCACCACAGCAACGCTTATTTGTCTCTCATTTGTGCTAACAGATATGGCACCTCTGCCTTACTTTTGGAGAAACTGGCAAACTGCTTACTGGCATTCTCTTCGCATCCATTTTCATTGGAGGGGGGCCATAATAAAAGAAGCACTGTGGTCATTTGTTCCTCTAATGCTGCAGCATTGACATCCCTGTATTAGATTTTGTTCAGGCAAACCTGCATCTGTGTCATTGAGACACTAAAACAAAGCCTAAAGTTATGATGTGGATGTTACGTTTAAGTACCGAGCATGCTCAAAGAAAACAAAAGTTCAGTTTATTCAGATATAACCAAACCTGTCCTGTGCTTGCTTATATTTTGGTCGGCTCAAAATCAGGCTTGTATTTCAACCTGGCTATTTTAGTTGGAATCTTGAACCACTGATGCATGTATAGAGTGCAGCACTAAGCAGACTGGGCTCTGCTCTATGTATATGCTCAGAAGTTCCAGTTTTGCTTCTTTACAAGCACATCATGTTTTGAAAGTGCACTTCTTTGTGTATTCAGACATATAATGATCATTATAAGTTGATTCTACTCCTGAGCATAATGTAAACCTTTCCAATAAACATTCCAAGTCAAGCTTCAATTGTCAAGGTTGTGATTTCTACCAAGAAAGCCACGGTTATGTCTGCTGCCCAACACTTCCTGTATTTGTATGAGGGAAATTGTTTTGTGTGTATTCAATGATTTTGTTTATTTAAGCACTCCCAGCATGAGTTTGAATGAAAAACAACTCTCCAACACCTTTTAAAATTAACCAAGTCAGTAACTTTCATATCAAGGTGTTTGCTTGGTAGATGGTAAGTATCCCTAAAGACCTTTTCTGTGCAGGACTTTAGACCAGTAGCACCTAACTTGAGCTCACTTTTCTGTTTGGCAGGTCAATGGGGGCAGCAAGGCAGAGCAAGCAGACCTGCAACCTGGAGACATAATATTGGAGATCAATGGGGAAAACACAGCAGACATGCTCAATGTGGAGGCCCAGAACAAAATTAAGAACACTAAGACCCATCTGCAACTGGTCGTGGAGAGGTATACAGCATACAAATCAGCTACTTTAGTTTTCAGCAGATTTGTTCGTGACATAATGGCTATTAGTTTGTTTAAAGATAAATGTGTTGGATTTGCTTACTAAAAAATACATGAACCACTGCAGATTCATTCATATAAAAAATCTCTCATGGGCTTGGTATTCTGCGTTTGTGCAAAAGCCAAACATTTTCTTTTTTACTGTTTTTTTCATCTTTTTTCACCTCTATCAAGTAAGTACTGTACAAACAAAACAGCTGATTGTTATCAGGGGAAATACCAGCATGTATGAGGGCCACGATGTTCCCTTCCCTGGTCCCTCCTAATAAACCTTGTTTTGAGATTTTCAAAGAACTTGTTTGGATGACAGGGAGTTGGCTACTAACAAGCTTCTCCTTTAAGCCAAGACTGCTGTTGGCTTGCATTTTGATTAAAGGTCTTCCCTAAATTCTCATTTGGTCACTGTAACCCCCACACCCCGCCATTATTCTGTTTTTCTTAGCCTTTTCTTGTGTGCAAACGCACACACACACACACACACACACACACACACACAGACACACACGTTTTCATGTACTTCCTTCTCGGATGTCCTACGTCCATGTGAGTGAATTTTTCCTTTCTGACCTCATGTCTCCCGCCATGCCAGAAACACCATTACTCCCTGTCTGCCCACTGCAAATGCCACTATGTAGCCCTGTGTTTGAAATCCCACTCTGTTGTTCACTGCTGCTTGTTGTGTGCACTTAACTACGATGCACCTTGCACATTGTTTTTTCCTAATCTGATTTCTCTAGCATATTGATTTCAAAAGGCTTTGTGTGATATGTAAATTGCATCCTTAATGGCCATTTGAATCACACAGTGGCATAATTTTCTTAAAATTGTCTTCTTATGATATAACTTACTACAATGAAATAGAGTAAGCAGAAATAAATAACAAGAAAAATGATGGATTGAAATATTAGTTGTTATAATTATGCTCAGCCCAGCTGTTATGAGGGCAGCTTTGAGGCTAGGACAGCGTTTGCATTGTTCTTTGCTGAGGTGAGAGCACCAAGCAGACACTGAGCTGGAAGACATAGCAGTGTTTTGTTTTTTTTATTGCGATCACATCAGTGGCATCAACCAATGACTTTTTTTTTTTAAACAAATGTGTCAGCATAGCAAAGCAGCCACAACATTACTCTGAACCCTTAAAATCTTTTCAATCTGGCTTTGTTTGTAACTTCTTGTTTTGACTTCATTGTTCATTGATGCTTTGTGGGTGATGTCATTTTGAGTGAAGCATGTTAAACTCTCTGATCCCAGTGCTCACTTTGATGGACAAATAACCAATATGCTGTAGAACAGACATGGTTTTCTGCTTTTTACCTGCACTTTTACTTCCCAGCTATATGAAATTTATTGGAAGTAAAATCCAAAAGTAAAGACATGAATTAGTAAGCAAAGAAGAAATGGGCATTTGGACTCATTTAACTTGAAGTTGAAAATAAATAGCAGTTAGAGATTTTACCAAGGATTGTTACAGCCATTGATCTTCATTGTGTTCTAGCTTGAAGTTGGCTCTTTTTTTTAAATCAATATGATCCTCCTCTGAATAGGCTCATTTGAATGAAATGTTGATTTAGCTCCCTTATTTTTTATCTTTGGTTTAAAGTATACAGTTAAACCACAAATTGTTAAACAGGAAGTTTCTAAGATAGCTGCTCTGATCCCTGGCTAAAATATTTATTCGTCTTTTTTGATAATCCGGTAATTTCCCGATGTTTTGATGGACATGGCTCAAAGTAGAAGTTTTAATCCAGAAACTGACATTATTCAGTTCCAGTTCATATAAATGAGTATTTCATGCCTGTAACAGGTTACACAGGAGGTATGTCATACGGATGCAGGACCATTTTCCTCGTCTTGGCATCTCCTTGGCGTTCAGCATGTGGAGGCGAGCCCACTAGAGGTGTGTCCTCTGGGTGATTTACCACAGGCATCTGGGCCTTCCTGTGTGCCTCAGGCTCAACCAAGAGACTGTCAGTCTCTGGCCTTACAGCCAGGGGGCCACTCCATGTTTGCATTGGCGCTCACTGCTCATATTTTCCCCTCCAAATTCAATGATGGTTTACCTTAGAATAAATTTTATATTTAAGCAAAAAATCTAGAAAGGCGAGAGAGCTGGAGATGAAATTTTCAAAGGCGATGACAGACTGCAGTGCTGATTAGCTGCATTAATCTGCCAAGAATTAAAGCAGCACAAGGATAGAAGTGTTCCAGAGCATTAAGCAAAAGGGATTTTTTTTCATTTTACTTTTTCGTTTTGTTTTTGCTAGTCTGTATTTTCAATTAGGTCTTCTTGTACTTTTGACCTTTTTATGAAATGGATCACTTTTCCCTCACTCAGCATTTTCCCACTAAGTCTCTAATATGATATTTCATACTGTGAATACATCAGCTTGTCTAGAATGCCATTAAGACCAGTTTTTAATAGCTAGCTTATTTATCGTGCATGCATTTGCTTACTACTTTTTAAAATAGTTTTAAAATGATTTTTTTTTTACCATCCTTCCATTTTACATTGCACAGTACAGTTTTACCCAGATGTATGGCTGGAGAACTAAACTTTAGGTTGTGATACACTGATTGTTCTACAAATACCAATTGAATTTCGGGTTTTCTTTCTCTCAAGACCTGAACCTCCCAGCCCTGGACAGACTAATGGCCTCAACACCCATGAACAGCTCGCAGGACGATTCCAGGTAAGGATTTAAACCTGACAAGACTTTTAAATCTGTTATTTGTCCTGATGACACAAGCCGCTCAGCTGTTTTACTCATGTCTCCTGAATACAATCTTTTTATCATTTCATAAAATTCCTTTATAGCACTTTTTTTTTGTTTATGATTTCTGACTTTGCAGCATCCTTTTTATACATTATTACATGTTTTTTAGAGTGCATGACCTCATATTTAATGTCTTCAAAAAGAAACTACGGGCAGGACATAATACTATTTAAGCTACTGTTCTTTTTTCTCTCCTAAGCTTTTGTATCCTTTGCTTTTTTTCTTGTTGTGGGAAAAAAAGAAGGCTTCATAATTTTTTCTGATTGTACTATTTTTCTTGTTTGTTTATTTTTATCATTATGTATTTGTTTGATGTTTTTAGGAAGCAGTTATAGTGAGTCGAGATGAGAACCAGAACTACAGAGAGTATACAATCTCAAGTCCTGCATCACTGTCCCCAGGAACCTACTCACCAGATCCTCCTGCCAGCCCTGACAGAAAGAAAGATAGGATGACACCGACCATGAACAAAAAGTAGCTACCTTGCTTGATATTTTCTATTTTGCTATATTGATTTACATTATCCAGGCAGACAAATTAAAGTTGAATGCATACCTGGTGGAAAATAAATTTATATCAGGATTTCTTGAATATGACAATTGAGAACAATGAACTATTCACTTTGGAGAATTGTAAGAATGTGTGATTCTTTCATCAACACAACAAACGGGTCACAACATTTGAAGGTACAAACTTACTCTATTTCTTGAAATTATACCTTGACCTAGGCCTTGTCTATGGTTTGAAAATACTCTTTTTGATGGAAAGTTGAGTCTCTTTCAGAAACCCAGCTATACATTGTATAAATAGGTCTGTGTCTGGACAAAAGCGTTCAACGAGTGCTCTTTTGACTCCACATCAGGCAAGTCAATAGGTATGAGTGTAGCACTCAGAAAGCGGACCCATGGGGTTGTACTGCTGTAACAAAGGATATGCACAGGATATCACATTCCTCCGTTTGCATTCACTTTAACAAAAGACCGAATGGGGAGTTTTTACCAGGGTTTTTTCTTTGCGTGGACATTTGTTCACTCTTTTTTAATTATTTATTTATTTATTTTTAGCAGATCATATTTTACACCAGAATGTCTGCTCCA